CTCACTCATTACTAAATCAAAAATGACAATTATTTTTAAACTTTTACATTATTTTTTGTAAATACTAAGTATGCAGCCTGAGCAAGGCTGGGTTTACGGAGTCTTCCTGTGGAATACTCTTTTTGGCATAGCAGTTGTGTTTCTGCCTAAAACTGGTGATCTTGGTGACGGATCTTGGTGATGGTGTTGTCCACAACATTATTCATTAGAGTAAGTTAAAAAGAATGGAAAGGCTCAGCAGCAGTGAATACATTTTTTACATCAGTGTGTGCACAAGATAGAAACATGGTGCTGAATTATCAATTATGATCATCATCCACAATTTAAACATCAAATGTGTAAAAGTAATACATGTTCCCATTTGTTGGCAAATAATATAGTGTACCCTTAATTTCTACCTCTTAATGATCAGTTAAACATAAGCCTGTAGTTTTTTGAGCCTAGGACATCGCATATAAAGTTGCTTCTTTCTTTGCTTAAATGTTGAATGAGAAACCACCTCTTTTAGCAGATCAAAGCATGAGCTTGGCTTATGATGAAAACCTTTTGGGAAAAGTACCACCCAGACATATTCTCTGGACTAGATATTCAAGCTTATTTCTTTCAAGCAACTTGAACACAGAGATATATAATTAATATTGGCCTACTTAATGAGTTCTTTCAGTGTGCTGTGTGTAATTTGTTCCTTTTTTTACACAAGTCTCAGGATCTTTATAATACCATTAATTAATGATTTAATCTAAACTACTGATGCCACTGACACAATATGGATTGTATTATTATATTACAGATTTACCTGTAACAGAAGTGAACATGCATTGCTTTTATTTTAGTCTCGGAGACTCAGACTGGCTTACTGATCCAGACTGAACAGAGGAATATTCAGTATCCTACTCAGTGTGCAAATTAATGATTTAAATTCAGTTTACTCTCAGGAATAGTGTTAGCATGTTCACTGTCAGATTTCACCTCAAATTTCTTTGGATGTTTGGAATAAATAACTGTCTTATTATCATGCATGGTTGGCTTAAGATTTGTTTTTTTTAAATAATTGCAATTAGCGCTGAGTGATTTATTTTGACGGCCCAGTCTGTTCCAGAGTTGCTTTGTGTTAATTGCTTTGGGCTTGACTTGTGTTTAAGAGCCGTGACAAAAAGCAAATTAACTAGCTGTTTCCTTCAACAGTCTCTAGCCTCTCTGAATAGGGTTCTGTTTAATGACAGTGAGGGTAGCTTGGGGAAATGGCCTGCACTCCGATTAATGGTCTTGGAAATGAGGGGCCTTCATCATTTCATAGGTCATCAGCATTTTGTACTTTTCATATTTATGTGTCAGTGTCTCTTTTTGGCCTGCAGACTATACAGTAATGCTCTGAAGATGCTTACTTAGTCAGCTTATGTCTAGGCCTGGATGATAAAATAATGGCGATAATTATTGTAATAATGTTTTTGAGAATAATATGTGTTTGCAGTATTTATGATAAAATGATTGATTTCCTCAGTTTAGTCTTAGCAGCGACAGGGGCAGGAAAAAATGGAAGCATGAGGTGACTTTAGGTGCACCATGTGGTCAGCATGATGATACATTGTTGTTAGCCATTTACTCAAAACAGCACAAACCAGCGTGACCATTAGAAGAGTTAGCTAGCAAGCTATTTCAGTGTTGAAATTATACTTAAGGGAGATGGGTTGGGATATAAGAGAAAGTCTTCTGAGTTTGAGTTTTTAGTCATGAGTCACAACAGTCATGAAACCCTCATGCTGCTGACAGCTGTCGTAGATTCACTAATAAATAATTTCCTGTCAGTGAAATTTGACATAAACGTACGCAGCAGGCTTGAATGATGTTGGCCCTTGTGTAGCAGTTTAGCGGATATCATTGCAGTTTTGGAATAACTTTTCAATAACAGCTTCTAAATCTCATCTACTGTCTCCTGCTGTCGCTCACTAGGTGGCTGGACAGAGATTTCTGTGACAGTATTGGCATTCGTCATTCCTTAGCAGTCATCACAGGTGATGGCAAAAACATGGTGTAATTTTATGTTGATTAGTTCTCACTTGTAACTCATTGAAAGAAGCTGAGAAATTTTATTTCAGCTGCAGATTTTCAATCAATACCACATTTGTGTTTGTAAATAGAGGACATATTTTATTATGATTTAAATTTAATGAATTGTTGTTTGCAATTTTTTTTTAGGAAAAAACAAATAAGTGCAAACTCTAACCTCTAAATACAGCATGTAAATCAAATGTGAAAGTAGTTCAACATGTAACTGTTATGTAATTATGTAATTATTTATTATACTATTATTTATTATACACACTGTTTTATTTTCTTATGCAGGCATCTATAGGTTTATATATTTAAATATATCAATGCTGTTTGGAAGAAAACCTTGCATCTCCAAAATGAGAACTTTACAGGAGATGGAAAAACATACTTTACTTTTAATGTAAGTCAATGGAACCAGACTTTTTGGACCATTTCGTCTTCATCATCATCATCATCATCATCATCATAAAATTTACACACAATGTAAAGGACAACAGGCATTTTCGAATTTTGTCAAAAAATGAAAAACTGCAAAAATGGAGATACGAGGTTTTGTTCCAACAACAATGATATATTTATATGTAAGTATATTTAAGTATAAGTAAGTATAAGGTAAGTATATTGTTTTCAAAGAGATCCATTTTGCTCACTGTTTTAGTGCTCTGGGCAACTCATTTTTTATGCATAAAATGGTCACAGTTTTCCTTTTGAATTGGACACATCCTTCTTGCTTTCCAAAATTAAAGAAATGTCCCACACAGAAGGTTAGATACAAGTTTAATTTTTCTTTTTAGCTCCATTCATGCCGTTTACTGAGGCTAACGTTTTGCTGTGATGTTTTTTGATATAACAGAATTAGGAAGCTGCCAGGTTCCCCTTATACTGGCTCTGGCACAACTTTCTCCCAATATGTATTGAAACAATAGCTTGCTTGCATATAACAGTTACAACGCTGTTCTTGCTTAGCAAGAGGGAGATGTACAACCAAAACCCTCAAGGAAAAAAAAAATAGAGCCCGGGCAGTATGCCTCGTGTTTTTTCCACCTGTAGAAAGAAAGTGTTCCTTATTCATCAGAGTTATGCAAAAAGAGAGCAAATTTATGGCCTTTAGTGACATACAAACTACTTTGTCTGCTTCATGAAAAAATCTTAAAACAAACAGAGATTTGAGTGCAAGTAATAAATCATCTTCAGTGTGTGAATCAGGCAGCAACCTACCAGCACCTCATTTCATTTACATGAAGCACACCTCAGTTCATGTAGATCAGCGGCTCATGAGCCAATGGCTTTGCTTGTAGGTGGAGTTTGAGGTGCTGCAGTGCTGCAAGCTTTATAATTAAAATTACAACTGGAAAGAAGAAAATGTGAAATAAACAAAATGTCTTTTTTTTGAAGAATATAATGATGTGATTTGTGTAGTGTGATAATTTTTCTAAAGTAACATTTTTTTTATGCTGTGTTTTGCAGTGTATAAAATGCTTCTGCACTAACTATGTTTTGTATAGTTTATTTTTTGAGTGGTGTCAGTAGTGTTAAGCAAAGGCACAGTGCAATATATCTATAAATTCAACATGGAGTGGAACATTTGTTTACACTAATGGGCCTGTAAAATACCTACATCCACATTTGTACTGGACTGCCATGTTCCCAAATTAATAGTGTCATTGGGCTTCAATCACCAATATCTTTTATAAGTTTTTTCTTAAATTTGTTTTTGAGAAAGGTCCTAAGAAAAAGTCTACATTAGATTCTTGACGTGTTTTAAACTGGAGAATTGTTCTCCCCTTTGTGCTCTTGAGTGTATAAATTTGGCTCTTATTTAAGAACAAACCCCAGATAAGAACACTTTGATGAATGTCTGAATCTTAGTTAAAACTGCATGTGTTTTAAGAAAAGATTTAATCTTAAAAACGGTTGAGGCTTTTTTTTCAGGATGTTACAGTATTACACTCACTTGGTTGTACAGATGCACCAAAGATAACACTGATGAATAACAAAACTGTGAAATTTCCATGCGCTCAATTTACGATTTTTTTTTTTCTAAGAAACAACTTGCAGTTTGGTAGGATGCCAATTCTTCTGATTTTTCACTGACACCAATTTGGTTTGTTTGCTGCTTTAATGGTCGCTGAAAACTCATTGCCCCTAAACTTCTTCTCACCTTGTCGTGATGTGAAGAAGAAACATTAGAAAGACAAAAGCGAGTGTGTGCTGTTTCCACTTGACCCCCTGCTCACACACTGTGCATCTATTAGCTACATCACCAACTGCAGTTGGCAAGTGAGGTGTAGCTGAAAGCCTGCTTTTGAGGCCAGGGCAGTGAGTGTGTGGTCTGCGCTCCCTCTTCGTCTTCACTCACACAGCTGTGCCTGACACACCAGCTGTGTCTTTCTTCTGCTGTCGTCTCTCGCTGCTGCCTTGCAGAACTGAAGTGGCTTTGCATTGCAAAAGAAGTCGCTGTAGCAACCAGAGTGACTGTTCAGTTCTCACTGTTCTTATAGATACAGATGGGTGTATTTATTACATTATTTTGTGAACCAACTGTATATTAAGAAGAACCCAAGAAAGACTCAGTGTTGTACATTTGAGTCAAATGGTACCAGTTAGTAGTAAGTGTAATATGTGAAAGTGTTTTACTTGAGTGATTTAGTATATCGCTGTTGTCGGAACAAAACCTTGTGTCTCCAAAATGAAAACTTTACAGGAGAAGTTAAAAAAAACATGCTGTACTTTTAATGTAAATCAAAGTAACCAGACTTTTGACTGAGTGATTTTGAGCCATTTCTTTTGGTCCATTCGTCATGAAATTTACACAGAAATTATGTCAAAAACTGAAAAATTACAAAAATGGAGATGCGAAGTTTGTTCTGACAACAGCAGTATGTCACAATTATTAATGAAAAAATGCCACTTGTTGCTTAATAAATCTTTTCATTTTCCCATTTTAGGAGACTCCTTCACTCAGTTTCGCTTCTCTGAAGAAAAGGACTGGGAAATGGATTCACTGGCAGTTAATCAGGTACATGTACATTTACATACCAAAAAAACACCTCAGATTAGCGTTAGTGAGTAAAGTGCTCTCTAGAATTATTAGAGCCCTTGGTAAAAATGAACAGAAAAAGACTATAAAAATGTTTATTATATGTTATATGTTTATTAGATTGGTCTTAAACCGAAAAATAAAAAGGAAGTCTTACACTCTGTTTTACCTGTATAAAAAACACAAAATTGTTGTTCCTGATGGAGGATTGTTTTTCTTCTTATTCTTTTTTTTCCTTTTGTACATATATGCTTATTCCAACTTTGATGCCTGCAATATGTTCTAAAGACTTAGGCACAGGAGCATGTTTACCACTAAGTTACAACACCTTTCGTTTATAACAACTTAATAATTGTTCATAGATTGAAGACACCAGTTGATCATTGTTGTTTTTGGGGTTCATAATGTGCCACGTTTTCAGTGGGTGACTGTTTTGAACTGCAGACAGGCCAGTCTAGCAGCTAACACATGCAGAATGTGACTTGGTGTTGTCATAAGCGTGAAATAAGCACGCACATCCCTGAAAAAGACGTCATCTAGAAGGCAGCATATGTTGCTCCAGAATGCATGGATATTTATCTTTCAGTGTTAAAGTTGCTTTCCTAGATGTGCAAGTTACAGCCCCATACCATGACACAGCACATCCATTTTTTCTATAACCTAAAAGGTTGACTCATCAGATTTGCATCAGTCCATTTCAAATGAGCCGGAGTCCAGAGAAGTCATCAGCGTTTCTGGACGTTGTTGACATATGACTTCTGCTGTGCATAGTACAGTCTTAACTTGCATTTGTGGATTGTGCAAGTGATGAACTAAATTTATTGACAGTTTGTCCTGACACCATGTGGTGATATCCATCACAGAAATATACCGGTTTTAAAGTTGGCCTTGGCCTCCATATTCTTGAATGTTTTGATATCATCATGCACCATAAAGGGTGAAAATCCTAAAATCCCTGCAGTTGCTTGTGGAATGTTATTAATAAAAGTATCTTGTATCTTGTCTTTGCACTGTTTTTGTTTAAATACAGGTATAAGTGGATTCACAAAACACTGATTTTTTTTATTTATTTGCATTTCACATACTGATCCAACTTTTTTGGAATTGAGGTTTGGAAAGTGACTCATAAAAATCATAAAATTTGTCTTATTAGTCATCCAACATCAGAGCCTGACCTCAGTGATGCTCTTGTGGCTCAATGGTATCAAATTCACAGAGTAATGTTCCAACATCTGTTGTAAAGCCTCACCAAAAGAGGGGAGTCAAACTCTCAAATCCTTGATTTCAGAAGAAACATTGGAGATGACATTTTACCAGACCAGCTTTAATCTATGCAATGGAGAAGATACTTTTGAACACTAAGCTTGAACCACAATCAATGCATTAATGTCTGCATAATGAGCTAAACAAATGTACAATTAAAAAAAACTTAGAACCTTAACAGAGCATAGTAATGATTTATTACTTATGTTCTAATTGACTTTTCTTTCTACAGGTGCCTGCTCTCTCTGTGGACCTGGAAGCTTTAGCCCAGTCTCTTCAGGAACTCCCACTGCACAAGAGGCTAAACCTGGAAGCTGATCTTGTTCAGGTAACAAAAAGACAGCAGATGTTAAAGTAATCTATCTGTAACATGTACTGTTTTCCTGTTTTTCACTGTTTTTTTTTTAATGTTTCAGGTGACAACCCCAGTAGAACTTCCCTCAGTAGGAGTGCTGCACAAAGTTGATGCTAATGTTATAGGTGGATTTAAGCCTCCTGCCCCACCATACGTGAGTCGAGAGCCAGCTTTGGGAGGTTCCTGTCCTGTCAAGCCTGTTGTAAGAACCAGCACATCCTCTCAGGCCTGTGCTGCTGTCATAAATCCTGAAGATGATGCTGATGGGGAGCTGGATCTTCTCCTAGGTCTGCAGAAACCTGTCACAGAGCTTTCTATAGCAGAGCCCAGGACCTCTAATCCAGCAGAAGAGCCAGCTAGTCCAGAAAAGGGTGAGTATTAATAGCTCAACCTGGAAGGTTAATAGCAAAAACTATTAATCATGAATTTAATCTTTTTGTTTCAAGATTTGTTGTTGAAGTTTGATTGTTTCATCAGCATCAGTTGAAGAAAAGAAAGAAGAGGTGGTTGAAGTCAACCAGTTGAAGGCAGAAGAAGAAGCAGAGAGGAAGAAAACAGAAGAGCTAAAGCCTGAAAGTGCCTCAGTAAAACAGGAGATGACAGAAGAGGACCTTGAGGGCTGGCTAGACAGCATGATCTCCTGAAGCACAGCTGTGAAAGGTGATTAGTGGTCTAGACAGTGGGACTACACTAAAGGCTTATACATACGAGGCCCTGTTGATAACAGCTCATCTCTGAGCTGGTATCAGCATTAAAATCTCTGGATAAGCAACATTGTCTTCTTATTATCAGCCAGCTGCTGCGTTAAACTAATAGAAGACCAGTGTCCTCAGAAACTGTCCATACAGGTGTACAGTATTTTCCAAAATCAGTCCAACGTGGTTTATGACCCTTGAATCAGTGCAGTAAATGACATGGGATTTATTGCGTTGCTCACTTTATTAGTCTTTCCCCTTCCTGAAAATTAAATACATTGCACAAGTGGCCATACAATAGTGGTTTACAATTTTGTCTTGTTTCAGTTCAATAAATTTGTTGCTGTAATAGTATCGGATTCTCCTATTGACTTCCTAATGCTGTGGGAGATGTTCAGCCAAGCATGTTTCTGCGATTAAAAAGAAACCAAACATAACAGCAGTTGTGTTCTGTACTTAAAACAATTTCAACTAAATGCACAAAACTAATCCAGGTAAGACTGCCTGTCATTCTAAACTAAAATACAGGCTTTCTACACATACGAGAAGGGGCACAATGTTTTGCATAGGTTTCGTCATAAGGCACTTTGACTTGATGAACTATTCTAATGGGCTCAAGGATAAATATTCTGCATTCAGTGTTCCTCATCCTGTGGTTTGGTTTGCCATCTTAAAAGGCATTGCACATACATCAGTTTTTGTCCCAAGACAAGCTTAAATCTTTAGTTCTGCACTCAGTGAATACAAACAAAGTACATTTTGTGCATATATGTTCTGACATTCACTCAGCATGTCAAATATCTCATGTTGAAGGAATACTTCACTCAAAAATACTAAATTTGCTTTTAATGAATGACTGCTAGTAGGTGCCTGTTAGCATTATGCAAGTGATTACACTAACTTGTCCTGACAGCCATGCTCATTCTTTGTCAGCGTTTTTGGAAGAAGTGTTCCTGTAATGGTTATTCACACATCTCACTGTGCAACATCTGAGCATCAGAAGATGAAAAAGGCAGCAAAACATCAAAAGAACCACCGCAGTCTTTAAAATTTCGTACATTATGTTTTGGCAGGTTGGACTTTGCGTCTTTGTGTTTCTTTTGGCATGATGTTTTTATCCAAAACAAGTTCTTAGTCATGTCATGTAGTCATGTTGTTTCTGAATGATTGAGAGGAAATGTAAGCAGCATGTGATTTAGAGCTAGTTTGAGGTTCTTGTTCAGGTTTGTGATCTGATTATAGTTTGGGCTGGGGGCTGTAATTACTCCCTTTAGCCCAACTGGTCCTCATATTGCTTGCGGAAGCAGTCTCCAGCAGGGAAGAAGTCCCAGCACCTCTCCTGATACATCTTCCACACATAAGACTCCTGTAGACATAGTTAGTAACAGTGGCATGAATGGTTGTGCAACCTTGATAAAATGTAAAAGTGATTATAATTTTTTTTGCTGTAGCTGGATGAGTGCATGTACACACCTGACCCGTGTGTTCAGTCTCATCTTTGTTAATGAGATACATCAGGAAGAATCTGTCAAGAGAATCACAAAGAAGGTTTCATACTGCAGAGTGGTGAATTTAACGTCTTGAACATTTTACAGCATTTACTAAACAGAAATGGCTCAGTAAGGCAAAACAGATTTTCAGAGCATGACTGATGTGTCTGAAGAAGTAATGAATTGGCAGCACTCACAGGTAGTTGGCCAGGTTGTGCTCTTGTAAGGTGTGAGTCTCAAAGCCATGTGGTGTGGTGTCAAAGTAGTCATTCCCGATTCCGCAGATAAAGCATTTTGTCTAAATTAAGAGAAAAGATTGTTAATAATACTTAGATTTGTCATACAAAATAGGAGTATCAAGGATACAGAGGTATCAGAGTATAAAGAGTGATGTTTTCCTCTCCATTGTAAATCAAAACTTGATTAACTGATTCCTCTGTCAGTTGTTAGTAACGGTAGTAGTTGATCTGACATGTTAGGCCTTCAGTTAAGCTTCTGAGGTCGTAACTAATAGGAGAGCTCCCTTGGCTGTATATATCTGATTACAAAGAGGAAAGAAAATCAAGATGTTAACTCTTTAACCAAAAGCTAATAAGAGTATTACTACAGCAAAGGCATAGATTTAATACATCATGATGATTCTATTAAATAAATACTAAACATAGATTCCTAGAAATGATTAGGCCTTCAATGAAAGCTGAGAAGGTTCCCCACTAATTTTATCATAAGAGTAGTAGTAATAATAATAATAATAATAATAGTTGTAGTAATAATAATATATTTTTAGTATAGCGCAATATCATATCACTATTGTCTGGATAGTGGAAAGTAACCGTTCATATCATCCAGTGATACAAAATTTAAAAACCTGTAGGCAGCCCTCACCTCCATGTCCTCCTTTACTTGCTCCTGCTGATCTCTCAACTCACCAAAGGCATCAATGATCAAACCTAGTTTGGAATAAAAAGGCATTGCATTACATGTCGAGAACAGCATTTGATATTCTGAACTGCAGCTTTTTTATTAGCTGTGTAGCAGGTCTGTGTGCGGGTCATTTAGGGGGGGAAGGCGAACAACAGGGGGGGACAAGAGCAACCTGAATGTGAATTAAACTTAATTTAATTTACACCATATTTACAAGACACTCTTATCAAGAGAATAGTAATCATGTTTCAGAGGAAACCAAATATAGTGTTGAGGTTTTTCCTCAGTAAGACAGCAGGCATTAGTGCCTAAGCAAAGACTGGAACCATAAACTTCAACCATAAAGGTGTAACGTTACCCTACAAGTAGCGTCCAATCTTATCTGCAAAAGGCCGGCATGGCTGTAGGTTTTAATTCAAAACAAACAGGAGCACATCCGATTCCACTTGGTCAATCAACTGGTTTCAGTCTTTAGCCAATTGAACATGAGCCGCTAGTGCTAGGCCTCTTTGCCTATCCAACCAATACTTGAAAATTAAAAATGTTATATTTCGAATATTACTCAAAATTGAAATTGTGATAAAACAAACATGGTCAAATGCCAAAAATAACTTCATACTATAATTTCTCCCATAAATATCACACATATGTACAAGTTACCCATATATTATTGTCATTTGTCATTTACCAACTCCTTGTAGTTTTTGTGTTAGGGCCATTTTTTATTGCTCTTTTCTCTGGTCCAAAAAAAGTTTTTCATACTTTTTTTCAACTTTTCATATTTTCATGAAAAATGAATGTTTATCAAAATTCGATAATTTCTCCCAAAGTGATAAAATGGGCCTATATCTCAACAAATGACCATTAAAATATATCATTTCACACACGCACGTGCACACCTGTTTGACCAATTAGATTTTGTTTTCAGATTTGTGTTCAACTGAGCTCTAAGAACCAGTAAAGGAAATGTAGAAATTCCAGTATGGACATCAGTGGGTTAAGATCTCTTTAGGGCCTGGATTTTACTATAACAACAACTTGGTTTGGAAAGTTATTGGCACCTTTTCAAAATGTTGTCTTAAAAAGATGTTATTGGTGTGATTTTCAGCACTGTGGTGATGCATGCATCCATGACAAGTAGGAGATATTGAGGTGAAATCTCCCCAGGTGGTCTTTACTGCATCAGAGGAGGCTGTCAAGAGTGATGGCCCACAAGCTCTATTTCTGGGGTTACGCTGAGCCAGTCTGAGGGCAATACGACAAGAGTTCAAGCCCCCCTTGGGGTTTATCAGTGGGTGTGCCTAGTAGTTATATATTGTCAGTGGTTCTGTCACTGACTGTAGCACTCACCCTGAATGATGGCCAGCAGGATGACAATGACGAAGAAGAAGAACGTAATGTCAAAGAGGATGCGGTAAAGCTCGTAAGGGTCTCCAGCTGGATCCTCAATCTCGTCACCAATACCACCACCGGCTCTCACACCCACATACATGTGGAATAGGTAGCACTGAGAAACAGATATTAAGCAACTTTTAGTACACGATTGCTAGATGAACACTTTTTTTATTACAGTTTATTTGTGCTTTAAAAGTAGAAGCACCCCCAAACACTATCACTTTGCCCTGGCAGTGGAACTGATTTAGCTTTAACTCACAGTCATCATATCGTCACACTTCATGTCAGGCTCATCCTCATCCTCGCTTTTGTTGTAGAACTTGCGGAAGAAGTTGAAGGCCACCACAGTGTACAGGTAGACCACAACAGCCAGCAGGCCCACAGTCAACACCAGCTATTCAAATGAAGAACAGAAATATCAGTTTATAACTCTAGCTTACAGATAAACAAAGCCTGCTTTGTTTAATCTGAGACATGCTCGCCCCCTGGTGGTAGAAACCTGCCTGCTTGCCATTGTGTGTTACAGAGGACAGGATGGTCCTCAGGGTCTTGAAGCCCATGGCAATATCCAGCAAGTGAGCAGCAAAGAAGAAGTTGTTGTAATGTCCCAGAATTGACATGGTGGTGTACCAGATCAGATAAAGGAAAGACTGCATTGAGAGAAACAATGGGTGTTAAATTAAAAAGATTAGTAACTTTTATTATAGGGTTTTTATGAATCTTCATATTGTCTCAAACTCACATTGTCAGTAAGGACAACTCCCATTTTCCAGATGTGGTACTTTGTGTCAATAGAGCTCAACCTGTATGTGAAATAGAAGAACAGCATTACAAAAAGCACCTCTGCAGTCATGCCCTCAGCTTGCTCTTCTAATCTGTACAGTCTGGCTCACCACGACAACAAAGAGGCCTCCTTCACCACAGCTTCCTCAGTGGGATCAAAGTCGAGTGCGCTCTTATCCAGACCGAGGAGTTCAGCAATGCGCTCTGCTCCATACAAATCCCCATATTTGTTGATGACCTGAAGGGTGATGGCATGAGTCAGTGGAAATATAAACTGGCTAACTGCATTTCTCATAAAAATAGGATAAACATCTGTACACTTAGTCTTAAAGGGAGATTCCAGAGATTTTTCAAAATTTCTTAAAAAAGTTATTAGAGTGGGTTGATGTGAAGTTTAGAGTCAGAATTGTTTACAGTGGTGGTGTTGGGAACCAGACGTCTCAAATGCCTCTAAAAGCTCCATCACAGAAAGATATTACATGAAATGATTACAGTCGGCTGATGTCTGAGATATTGTATTTTTCATGGTGGAGAGGTATATGGGGGATGTTGTAAGGCAAAATAGTACCCAAAGAAAATATATTTTTTCTGATTTAGCACTAGGTCACCATCAACATTATATATAAAAACACAGAACACGTGTAGGTTAACTGGTTGTTTTGGATAGAAAATAAAAAAGTTATATTTGTGTTGTCGATATAGTGACCCTCCTTATTACCACCCTTCGAAAAAAAATGTAAATCGAAATAGAAAGTCTGTTAAGTTTCCATACAATTAATTTCACATCAAACCAATCTGAATAACTTTATTTACCGCACAATGACTGAATAATGCAAAATAAGTCAGTGGGATTTCCATTGAACAAGCGCTTGCACATTGTTGATAAATGCATTAATGCATCCCATTAGTGCGCACTTCCGCAAAACCCCAGAACAATCATGGATTTAGGAACAGACTGCAAGTAAACTGAACACATTCAGTAGGGAAGAGTGGTACACAGTCTAGCACGAGGTAAAATGTAGCATGGATATTTTATGTAGTTGAACAGCTTCAAGCAGTACTTTTTATTATTATCTCATGTTCCCACTGAAACCTCATCTGTAAATTTTTTCGCTTCATCCTGAACACTGTTTCTGTACCATGAAAGTTTTTTCATCATAAGGGTTTTGTATTACTGAGTTATATAAGAAAAAAATCACACCTATATTATTTTAATCATTGATAGCTGTAATATAGCACCATTTTTGAAGCATTTAAACAAATCACAGTAAAAGCATTCCAGACTCCACACAAAAAATACAGCCTCCACACAGCTTTTAATACAGTGTTACAACTAAGACCCCTCAGATTAACAATGAGAGAAGCTCATATCCGCCTCATAAGAATTCAAAACTGTTTGTTTTGGATGTTTTATGCACAGATTCATAAAAAATGTCATGTAAATAAAATATTTCAGTTTTATAGTGCTGATATTTGCTGTTCATCTTTATAAATCTGTCACTTTTGACAGATTTGCCTCTTTTCACTAATCATATACATGTATTTTATGTATTTAGGTTGTAAAGCTTGTCTGGTTTACATAACTGGATTGAATTAACTGTGCTTGAATCTATTTATCAAACTATTTAGTGACTGTTACAAGTAGCCCCTCAGTCTGTGACGATTATGTTGTAATTGAAGTTGTAATATTTGTACTGCTGCTGAATTGTTTATAAACAGTAAACGCCCAATACAAAGGTTACAAATCTGTAGGGTGCTTTATATAAAAAAATTATGTACTTAAATACTTTTAAAATTATTTAGCAAAAACCAAAATGTGTTAGGTTGTACACCGTTCTCCCCAGTTCATCTCTAAATGATGTTACATACCTTCCTCTTGACAAATTTGTCCCAGTAATTGTTGGGGAATGACCTAAATGGAAAAAAGAGGTGTGTGAAGAGATATACTGCAAGTGATTTATTGAAGAGTGCAATTAAGGCGCCTTACGGAGTAGCAATAACCAAACGATCCCACTGTCCTTTGATGTCATCATCGGAGGGCTGTTCAGTGATGTACAAGCCATCAAACTCAAGTTTCCTGGCAATCTCCTTCTCCCGCTTAAATACCACCAAAGGAACCTACAATAAACGAGAGATATTAGGAAAGGATATGGTGTATCTTAATTTTTCATTATCTGCTTTATTTAACAGATGTTATTTATTGCGGTGATAATCTACATTCTGTATAGTGACAATAGAAACAGAAAATACCTTCAGGCAGTAATACCCCACCACGCACAGGAGGGAAATGATGGTGTGCAGTACGGCCAAGAAAGTCAGAGTGGGTGCCATATAGCCAGTGTTCTCCTGAAGTACATAGAATTCCATACCACCATCATCCTCATCATCATCACCGCCCCACGGACCCTCCTCCTCCTCCTCATCATCAGTTTCACCAGTCACCTAAGAACAACAGCTTATTAGAATTCTCTTCAATAATATATGCAGGAAAACAGTCATTTCCAAGTCAATTTTCATAATTACTCAGAAAAGTGTTTCAATGCATGCAGCTAATTTGACTTAATTTGATGAAAATATGTAAAGTAGAGGCTGAATGAAAAACACCTTGTAGAAGAGCAGGATGAAGTTGATTGCGAATGCCACGAACAGTGCCAGCAAACGGAGGTTGTAGAAGTTACGAGCCAAGTAGTTCTGTTGAGGGAAAATGAATTGAATGATTGATTTTATCATGTAGAACCTTCAGAGCATTTTTCACTCATACAAGCTGCAGATATTTGGATTTCTGTGAACAAAATTATTTTAACTGCATAAATCAGGTTTTAGTATAAAACCTTACCAGCATCTTGGTCTTGTAGACTTCTAAGCCGGCAAAGAAGCTGGCCATGAATGCTGGAGCTTCCTCCTTTGTTGTGCCATGCCGTTTTCTTGGCGCTGGTTTTTCCTCCACTTGTGGCTCCTCAGGCTGTTCCTCTTTGGGCTTATCCTCTTTTTCCTGATTTTCCGTGCTGTAATTCAAACACACGTCTATATATGGGGTTTTCTACCCACAGAAAAAAACACTGTCCCTCCATTATAAACATATGTTTGAAATTGCACAAATTGGAAATTTAAATACATCTAAATAAATAATTTTGATAAATTTGATGTTTATATGCTGCTCTATATTAAACACAATTTTTGCCAGATTTTAAAAGCTATTTAAATTTCCCCTATGATTAAATGGAAATGTCACTCCAGTCTTTAAAAAAAATAATAAAAAAAAAAAGCTGAAAATATGCTTGCTTCATTTTTCAGTAACTGAAAAGATGCTTTCCTCAGTTTTCATGTCACAAAGTCTGAAAGACACAAAATGAATCTCTCTGGTCTGGATCAACATGTTAACACACACCTATAATAAACCATTTCATCCACTGCTGCTAGTTTCCTGCTGTGTACACATTTAGAGAAGTGCAGAATTAATCATTACTGAAATAAATTTAGGCTTTTTGGTGTTAAAATTTTTTGGTAGTGACGTTCAGATGTCAATTCATGATTTCTTTTCTAAAAATAATGCATCACACTGATATGTTGTAAACTGCAATTGCAAAATGTCTTGACAACCACAAGCCATCAAACAATAGCAAAACGTTTTTATTGCTCAGTCAAAAAAAAATTAATTAGTAATTTCCTGTGATTATTGATTCAGTTAATTTTTATATTTATTTTGAATGCAACACAAAGGTTAAAACATAATTTTTAACATTTTTCTAACCCTCAATTTGATCCACTTCTATAGTGTGACCCAGATATGCTCAATCAAGCTTTATTTATTGGAAAACAATGTTTATGTTTTTGGCTGTTTGGAGCACAGGCCTAGACACTAGGCAAGTTTAGATCTTACACAGTATGGGTTTAACAAAGTACAAAACTGCCTGACTTACTCTGCTTTCTCCGGTTCTGACTCCTCTGCGGCAGCTTTCTGTTTAATGCACAAAGCAATGGCTTTCATTAATCCTATCATTTAAAATCAGGACACAGATGAAAACAAAGAAAGCATTATAATTCAGTGTCGTGTACTAAAAATGCAGACCTGACTTTTCTTCTTCTCAACAGGGGGACTGGCTTCTGTCATGATCTCCGAGACATCCCCCAGTCCTGGCTCAGGTCCATGCTTTCCCTCTCTCTTAGGCGGTGTACTTATGAGATCTATGATGGCATCGGCCTCTAACTTCTCCCCAGGACCAGCCATTTGTACCATTTCCATAGACACCACTAAATCACCACTCTCAGTTTTCTCTGCCTCCAGTACATCGCCATGAATTCCAAACTGTGTGGGATCAGGCATGTTGCCCAAGATGTCTGTAACCTTCATGTTTTTAGCTCCCTCAACAAGGCCTCCTCCAAACATTGAGGACCATATAATATGGAAAAATCCGAAGATCAAGCCGAAAATGCCTTTGAAGAATCCAGTGAAGAGCATCCAGAAGAAGGAAAAGAAGCCAGTGATCATTTCTCTGATGGTTAATTTCTTGAACTTCTTGAACTGTTTCCGCATGCTCTTGAAGGTCAGCGTTTGACGGAACTTGGACATTTTCTTCTTCACAGAGGTGCAAGCGACAGTGAATGCTGAAGCTGACTCCTGGGAGCCGTCTTCGCCCTCAGCCAGTTCCTCCAACAGACTCTGTACCTCGTCCTCCTCTTCCTCAGGTCGTTCCACAGCATCTGGTTCGGATATCTGGGAAGCCAGCTGCATCTCAAAGATTGTGTCTTCACAGAAGTTTACAAACAGCTCCATCTTCTCGCTCTCGCCTCCCTCGTTGACCACATCAAAGATAAATTGTCGCTTGGACTCTTTTACCTGAGGCTTCTCCCACTGCTCCCTGCTGGACTCACTGATCTCAAAGTAGACTCGCTCAATCCGCTTGGCGCCACCCATGATCTCGATACGGCCCAAGTAGGGCTCAAAGTAACTGAGCACGCTCTCAGCCAGGTCCAAGAAGGTGGCTAGACGTGAATCGTGAGGCATGTGCTCAGACAGATTGGTGAGCAGCACAGCCACATTGAAGCCAATGTCCTTGGCTGGCTCATGGAAGCGTTCCACAAACTCCTTGTAGTTGAACATGTCGTTTTCATCGGCCTCAGCACAAGAGAGAAGAAACTCGATCTCAGACTGTGTGTATTGCTTTTGGCTCTCCATTGACTTCTGGAACTCTTTCTTAGAAATAATTCCTTTTCCTTCTGGGTCATACTCTTTAAAGTTGTCAGAGGTAGTAAGATCCTTCAACTTCAGGAACATGTCAAAGAACTTGAGGATCATTTCCACGTTGCTTGAGGACTCAACTAGGGTGTCGACCATCTGCTTACCGATTGTGCCATTCACCACATTACCTATAAGCAGATAATTAAACGTTCTTTATCTATAGTCTGCTGCTACCCTTTTGACATATGTACTTGTATAAACCATAGACTAAATAGACACCCTCTTGCTTTGTTTTATAAATAAATATTAGAGTGCTTACCCTCCAGAAGAGATAACATCATGACCACCATATCTTTCTGCAAATCCATCAGTTCCTTTAGCAGCTCAATCTGGCTAGAGTCCTATTAAAAAGCAAAATGAGACAATAACTTAAGACTTTGAAAGATTCATTTAATAAATTTGCATAAAAAGAAACTCTCAAAATAAAAAGGCTACACATTTACAGTGTATGGAGGATTACCTGTGATAATTTCATTTGCATGTTGGCAAAGACATGAAGGAATCCAACCACGGCATCCCACAACCTGCTGTGAGCCAGACTCTGCTGATTCCCAATGCAAGGGCCCTGAGAAAGAAATTATAACAGAACTGTCATGCAAAAATAATCATACACTTGATGACCGTGTTAAAGCTGTGTTAAGTATTTCATGATAAGTAGGCAATCTGTACTCCTGTGGCAAGTTTCTGCAATGCATTCTTCAAGCTGATCAACATTACCTGAATGTACTCAGTGAGTGAGTTGAATATCTGTTTAGCTACTGCCAGGGCTTTGGAGAAGTTACGTTGTCCATGCTCATCAATGACATCTTTTCCAGAGTAATACCAGTAGAAATCACTTATGGACTCCTAGAAGCCAAAACAAAACTTCACCATTAGATCTAGGGACGCAGATTGGCAGATTTTTGCTGCTAACATGCAATCAGCCAATTTGTTACTCTTTTATTAATTCTGGCCAACTTCTGTGGTCATTTTATAACGTATATGGCCTGAGCCAGGTAACTGCAATCATGCTGTATTTGAATGTTGGTGATACATCTGTACCAAAATGATGTAGCATAATTATACAAGCTAAATAGCCAGTTGCCTCTTACTTTCGATGTAGCACGTCATTAGATTCATGTCATTTAACTAGGCAACTGATTTTTCATTTAAGAATTTAAAATGCCACTTTGGCACATTAAAGAGTAAATAATGTTATTTATATTGTGACACTGGCTAATAGAAAAGTACTGGAAATGTGTTAGTGTTTTTCATGTGTTTATTTATTCCACAATGAATAATCAATATGAGCTTTGGGTTTAAAAATAAATAAATAAGAGGCTAATTAAAGTCAGCCAAAAAACAAAGGGAAAAAAAACAAAAAGGCCATCAGCTGTTGGTTGTAAAGAAATTACAAATCAGACATTAAAAATCATGATCAGTGCATCCCTAAATAGAGCACATAGCTTTGAACTGTTGTATGTTTAGTGCATATCGCTGCTGTTGGAAAACCTCGTATCTCCATTTTTGTTCGATTTTCAGATTTTCACATAATTTGAAAATGCCTGTCGCCCTTTACATTTCACAATGAATGGACCAAAAGAAATGGCCCAGAATTACTTGGAAAAAGGTCTGGTTCCATTGACTTACATTAAAAGTAAAGTGTGTTTTTTCCTTCTCCTGTAAAGTTACCATTTTGGAGATATGAGGTTTTCTTCCGACAACAGCGATATGTATGTGTAAGATATTAACCCTTCAATGAATGTTACCTGTAGACGTAGCAGGTAGTCCACTGTGCTAATAATGATATTCACTGTAGTTGTGTTTCCTGTCTGAGTTCGCAGAAAGTTCTGGAAATCTGTTGAGGTTATCAAAAAACTTAATAAGACTTAAAACTTAATAAGTTTCTTAACAAGATGCAGTCAAAACATTTTGCAGAACTTTGCAGCATTAGTAAATGGTATAATTAGTGTCATAATTCAGTTCAGTTTGGGCTAAAGCGATCACTTAATTAAGAAAGGGTAGAAGCACTCCAATGACTCTTAGTGTGAAGCAGATATGTAAGGGTCTTACCATTGTTGTGGCCCTCACAGAGAAGCTGCAAAAACCGAAATAAATCCTTCGTAAACTCATCATTTTGTAGTACTTTGGAACCTTGAAACATAAAAGACAAAGACAGAAATCATTACTGAATCACATTAGAAGCTAACAAACACCATGAATATCACGCAAGCACAAAACTTTGCTTCATTACGACCTCACAGCACTTAAGATGAACTTTAGATTGCAGACTTGCAACTGCATCCAAAGAGCTGACTGGAGAAAGAAATGCTTGGAGATTAATATGCACAACTGACAGAGATTTCAAGAAGCTGGGGTTAGCAAGGATTCTTTCACAAGTATCACATAGTGTAAACATAGTGACAATACTGGAAAAATACCCAAATACAATAGTGAAAGTAAACATGTAGTCTTGCTTTAAGAAATGACACATTTCTTCCATTAATGACACGAAAACATGGGAGTGAAACAGTTCTACGACACTGTTACATATACTATGTCATATTTGTGAAAGTCATACACAAAACCAGCTTTGTGAATAACCCCCAGATTCACAGATTTAAAAACGTCACTGCTCATTTTGTAGCTTTGAAAGTCTATCAGGAGGTAGGCCTCTGTGAACAGGTATTAATCTGCTGAGACGCAGTGCAGGAATAGCTGGTTAGTCATGTTAACGTAGGAGCCAACGTAGACTCATTAAATGAATAAGCACTAGTTTAGTACCAGGATAAGGTGAAAATGCCTGGCTCTTTATTTTAGTTGTGTGTGTCAGCATGCATGAATTCCTTCAGGAGAGTTTAACAGGAGAGTGCACCCAAGACACTGGAGGTAGGCGGACGAGGGAAGAGATGGTTTAAAAATGGCGACATGCCGAGTGACAGCATAGCAAAATGAGGAGTAGCTAAACTGTATTTACCCCGCTCACTCACGTTGACTGCCATCCAAGAGTATAAAATGATAGAAGACAAAGAAAGCAGACATAAGCAAGAAGAAGACACTGGATTTCAGACAAAATGAGAGAATGTGACAGACAAAATATCTAATTAAGGAACATACACATGCAGCTAAACTAAACAGAAGGTTTGACTGGGGGTAGGAATGTGTTTAATGGAAGGTGGGACTGGATAAGTTGTTCAGAGCACCGCACAACAGTTCAATGCATAGCAGGTTATGAAACAATGTTGCATCACGACAGGAGAATTGGTTTAGTTGTGGTGAGTCATCATGCAGCTCATAATAAATTACTGCTTTAATGGGAATGTCTGGAAGTATAGTCTGTATTCTGCACAAAAAGAAGCTGTATTTATATGTAAACACTGTAATTATTTGACATCCTTCATTGTTTTCCTTACAAAATGTACTCCTCGTAAAACTAATACAGAAGACATCATCAGACACCCTTAATTATTCCACATCATCTCACATAGGAATTTATTTGGATATTAAAAATATTAAATATATCTTAGACAATAAAGATGATTTCATTTTAGAAACTACTTAATAATAAAACTGATGGTTAATTCCTAACTTGTTTGATTATAATGTAAATAACAAAAAAAGTTTTTTATTATATAAAACTATTTGAAGAACACTAACTTCTGTCCTGTGTCCAAAACTGACTTGTGATACTTTTAACTTCTTAAACTTCCAGGCTTATTATTCAGTCATTACATGGAAAATGATAAAAAACTGACTGATTATTCTTAAGTTCTAAGCGTGAGGAAGGCCTTGGGCATGTAAGGGGCTAAACTGAAACACATAAATATATGTACTGGACAGCATGTTAAGGACACCACACAGACTACATAAGCATAAGCAGTTATTCTTTTGTAAATTACATTACTACAGCATTAATTACAATGTAATGCATTAGTAATGTAATTGTAGAACTGTCACACTGAGTTATAATAGCAAATTGGTCAAATATGTAGGAAGCTACAGTATTATGACAATGAGGCACCCTTGTTTATTTAGTTTCCAGTCAAAACGGCATTCAAGTACAATGTACTCGTTCTTTTCAGTGTCAGCAAAAAAGCAGGAAAAATAAATTTAACCAATGTTTACACGTAAGACTCCAACATTAAGTATAATATCAAATCTATCAGTATGTAATTTGTTCACTCTTTACTTTTGTGCATCCTACTGCCACTTTAACTCTGCCATCCTTCTAGTCTTAAAATTACAGTTACAGATGTTTCCTCCTAACAAAAGATGTTCACAGTAACAGATCACTAACATTTACACACGCAACTACCCAACACACCTTAGCTGCCTTCAATTTTCTTTCTCATGTGCATCTAAAATAGCTACAGGAGATATTTCTGAGGAGATCACAAATAAGATAACCCACCTGCATGATGGAGGTGAAAGTCAAAGGAAAATATGTGAAAAAAAGCTAAAACTGGACGTATTAAAGTACTATTAAAAGATTGCGAGAAAATGAGACACTTAACAACTCCAGCTCCACTCTTGATTCAAATCTGAAAAAATCCACGTTTCTTTCCATGCTTCCACAGTGAGAAGACAATTCTAGGTGATTCTGAAAGGATGTGTAGCTGTCAAGAAGCTGTTTTTTTAAAGAAAATAGACAAAAAAAACCAGAAATCTGCACTAGAACAACAAAAGACCTTTGAGATGTGGAGTTTTTATAGTTTTATGGACAATGTCTAAATTTGTTATTGAGATTATTTGGATTGTAAGAAGCAGACAGTGCAACTAATGTCTACGACTGAACTTTGGAGGTATGAAAAAATATCCCTGCAGGTTTATTTGTAAAACTAAAAGCAAGACTCCAGAAAAGAATGGAAGCTGTAAAAAAGTCCTTAATACAGAAAAAAGTGTATTATATTTAGTTATTTGGGCTTGTGTGTTATTTTCTGTTAAATATGGTTTCTGCTTTTTTCTTGGTGCTAAAAAATTAATAACTCAGCCGTTTTGAGTGGAAATTACAGAGTTTTGCCCATTACAGTAGATGTAATCACTAAGACAGTATGACTTCAACTGTAGTCTGTCATCTCACTACTACCAAACATTAAAAGTAACAGAAGAAAAGTAGTGCAGCTGCTCAAACACACAAGTTTTCATTCAAGCTGGAGGTTGCTAAAAATTATCCACTCCATTCAATTCCATTTTGAAATTGAATCATTTCCAGACACTGCAGTGCTGAGGAAGGCTAGAAGATAGACTAGTAACAGAGTAACTGTTCAGCAAATGTGGTGAGTGCTGAACACTAGTAGGTCAAAACACACTGAATTTTGACAATCAAATTCAATTGCTGTCCATTATCTAAATGCTGTTTGTGGTGGAATGAGAAAAGTAAATCAATGGCTGAGCAGGAATGATTGATAGATTCCATAATCTTAATTATGAGTTTTAAATCGCATGAACTTACTTGACCCTTCTTCAGTCACCATTCCAAGGCTCTCTGCCTTATTTTGTCTCTCAAATGCATTCAAGTCCAGTACACTAAAGGACAGAGGGACAGTACACCACATTAAAATGACTGTGCAATGAAACTAGGGGATGTAAGTAGGTTTGTAATATCACCCACCTGCAAGACTGCATGAGTCCAGATAAACCTTTGAAAAAACCTGCATCTCTTTTCTCTTTTAGGTAGTCCAGCATTTTCTAAAGATATATACGTATTAAGAAAATTAATATTTAATGTTATTCTCTGAGCAACATTTTCTATTAAATAAATACACTAATGTGATTTTGATATAGTAAAATGTACCTGCTGAACAACCACATTGCCTCCATTAAGAATAGAGATGCCCAGTTTTAGAGTGCAAGTCACCATGGGGCCAAGTCGCCCTGAAATCAAACAGAAACACTAGTTAGGAGAAGCAATTTTAAATTTATATTTAACGACATAATGGTTAGGTTGATAGAGATAAAGGGAGAGAAACAGCTACTCACCTTTGCTGGCACTGATCATCTGGAGCACCATCTCAGCAGCTCCACGTGCATGCAGCCTGGCCTGCTGGTACAGAATTTTCTGCTTCTCCATCTCTTTTTCCTGTGACGGCAAATACGCATGCACATTGTAACATCAAATCAGATCGAAAACAAGCTTGTTATCTGTATGATTGTACTGTCTAGTACTGTGTAGATGTCAGAGGTCATCCTTCATTTGTTTAATTTCCAGTCAAAGCAAAAAGTACAAGTTATTAATTGTTCAGCGTCAGAAAAAAAATGCAGGAAACATTTAATAGAGAATTACACAGACGCCTTAACAAATAAATATAAACATTTTCAGTATTTTGTGTTTTCAACCTTTGCCTTTGTCGCAGCATGAATTCTTTTTGAGCTTTTGAAGCTTTAAGGCTTTTCTTTAACATTCCCCTTCCTTATGCAAATGGATTATCTTATGTCTAATCTCCTTTAAAATAACTTGTACTAACTTTTCACTTCAAATACTTTTTTTATACTCAAATGTATACTTGTGTATATGTCTTCAGGTATGGATGTCTAAATGTGTGTGTGCATGTGTGAGAGGAGTCAGGTATGGATATTACTGTACGTGTGAATCTTCTAGTGTGAGTTACTGTGTAAACAAGAGCTACTGTGTAACTGAAGTATGTGCAAACATACTTGGCTAATAAAGCCTGATTCACATTCTGATTAATGGGCACTTAAACTGTAAATTAAATATATGAAGAGTGGTCTCTGATTTTAGCAGTCCTGTATTTTGCAAAGCAGTGGTTCCAGACGGCCCACATGTTTTGCTCAATCCCATTTCCCAACCTATAGGGATGGGGAAAAATGTGAAACATCTGGGGTGCCTGAGGAGCATTTTGAGAACCACTGTTGTAAAGTACGTTGCAAAGACTTTTCAAATCACTAACAGTTTAATTTGGGGTGCCTTGAACTACTGAAAAATACTCAAGACACTTCAATAATATAAACTCACCCAAGGCCTATCAAGGTTTGACATGGATGGTAAAATGTCACCACACCAGAAAGATGTGTCCACATTCCTTCCTCTACTGTTTCCATAGTTTGAGCTCTTCCCATAAATAAAACTGCGGAACATCAGATCACAGACATACCTCAAATGTTTTTTCTTTTCCCTCTTCCTCCTCCTCTTCATCTTCGGCACAGCTCTGAAAATGAACCATGAAACATTTCAGGAAATATCTGTGTTAATTATAGTCATTTCTGTATTAATTATAGTCATTAAAGTACAGACAGTGAGAAATACCTTTGCCATCATATCTGCATAAGCAATATACAAGGGATCTTCTTCCAGGAAACTAAAGAGAAATTTAAGAAAATAGTATGATTTTTTTTTCTATGATTTCATAAAGAAATTGTACACTATATGACCAAAAGTATCCAGACACCTAATTAGTGAATTTCTAATTTCTAATTTCTAATTAATGAATTCAGCTACTTTAAGGTGCTCCACTGCCGACAGGTGTACAATCACACATACACAGCTTGCATAATCTCCCCAAAAAAGCACTGGCAGCTTAACCTACTATGGATATCACCTGTGGGTGGAGAGTCTCAAGTTAAAACTAAAGGATGGACAAACTGATTTTTAAAAATTAAACTAAGGAGCAGGTGTCTACATACTTTTGAACATATAGGGTACATAAAAAAAAAATCTTATTTGCACATGTATGTATTGAGGGCTGTTTGTCACCTTCTCTCAGTGAGGGCATTATGACTGAAGTGGAGGATGAGGTGGTTGAGAGGATCTGGCTGAACCTCAGCTTCTGCTTCCTCCTCTTCCTTTTCCACAACCATAGGGGTTTTCTGCAGGGGAAGCCATTCAAGTCACACAAGCCTGATCTTCATCCATCATTTTGCAAATGTTACACTTTAAGCTCATATTAAGACACCACCGTCTCTCTCTGGCATGTTCACACACACCACCAAACTCGCCCCCTATCCTGTCACAGACCACTGAGGAGCTTTGGTTAAAAAGCAAATTCTACCACATTTTTAACACTGACCTAATCAAACAACATTAATCATCACTGTCTAGTCAGGACATCAAAGCAATTCACTTGATTCTTCTCCAGAGGTCCTCTGAAACAATGCATTGACTCTGTACTGTTTTCATATTTGCGCTTTCTGTCTCTTCAAGCGAGCCCATGTGATCCACACGTAACTCACATGCAGTTATATTTTCACTTTCACATGATGGCACACTTAAATGCTCATTAACACAATGTCTCTCATCCCTGGTCCTATGGAACCATAAGATGTTCTTTGCTTTCGGTACAGTTTAATCACAACTTATTCCATTTGAAAGGTAAAGAGAACCTTTGGGCACTTGATTCAGATGTGCTGGAGTGCAGTTTCATGCAGTTCTAGGACCGGAGCTGAGAAGCACTGGTTTAGGTGACATGCTGGACAGAGCATGGTCATTGCCTGATGTGATGCTCCAGGACTGTGTCCAAGGGATGGTGCCATTAGGGGTCAATGACCAGCTCATGGTAGACATGCATAACTGTGTGATCACATAGCAATGAAAATGGCAGTGCAGTGCATGTTCAGAGATGTATAGTGATAATTGGGAATTAATATTGTGTTTTTACAATGTTAAACCATTTTGCTGACATTAGTAGTTAGTAGGCTGTACTTCAAATCCAGTAATACTGCACACTAAACTGTAGCATGTTTGCATAATGTTTGAGCTTCTAATGTTTAATATTTAAGAGTTAAACTAAACACTTCTATAAACGTCCTTACTGCAATGTACACGTTTTAAAGGGCCCATATCACAGATAACTGAATTTTTCCTTGCTTTTGAGTTATGTGGTTTGAAAACATACTGTCTTCTTCCCAGTTAACACAGTTTGTATGTGGGGTACTAAGCAGCAAAAACCCAGCCTGTTTTGAATAAATCTAGGTTGTGATGTCACTACCAATTTACATAAGATTGCAAGTTCAGCCTAAAGCAAATCAGCCCACCCATTCACGTCATAAGCTGTGCTGTTACTGCAGATAATCTATTAGCAGAGTTATTGGACTTGAAGATGTGGGGAAAATTAGTAAACGTTGTGCTGTTTTTGGCTGTCAATAAGTAAATGAATCATTGCGAAGTCTTTACATCCATTGAACAACCCTGAGTATTTCAGTTAGGACTTAACAGTTTGTTTTACGTTTCAGCTCGGACATAGGGCAGCCAATCAGAACAAAGGTCGTTTACATATACAGAGTAACAAAAACAGCCTGTTTGATTTAAAGTGAAGTTGAAAATATGAATAAATTAAGACTGCTTTTGGTACATTAAACCACACACACACATGGACTTCAAGGAAAAAAATTACATACAAGAAAAATGTAGAGTATGGGCTAGAGCGGCACAATATGGTTTGTTAGTCATTATCATGCATTATCATGACACTTGTCTTCGCAATACCAATATCACAGAAGTCAAATGATATAGTGACTAAATGTTTTCTTGTGTGTTGTGACATCACATCAAGGGTTAATGTTTTTTTTTTCCAACATATTTAAGCAATAGAACATGAGAAGGAGTGTGTTATCGAAATAACATCACGGCTGTGATTTGGTCGCAATAGATCAATACAGCCATTATGTTATTTGCGATAACACACAACCTCGAATGTTCTATTGCTTTTATACAACAGTTAAATAAAGTAAGTAATTAATAAATTGGGCCGTGAACGTGGCGTTTAATATGTTTTAATGTCAGCAATTCCTTCCGCCAAATTATAATTCCTTAGAAGCAGCTTGTTGCGACGTCAGAGTAACGAGCTCCACTCACTCGCTGCACAGCCGGCAGTTCGTTCTCCAGCTTCTCCAGCTCTACACAGACCAACTGACAGTTTCGGAATTTAGTGTAGTCTCATCTTCAGCGTCTTACCAAATCAGCTGTTGGTCAAATGTAATCTTAAAGGTATCCGTTTTCTGTTTGTGCGCAAAGAAGTAAAACGTTTAAATGGCTTGAGCGTCTCCTACAGCTGTCAAAGTCATCGCTCAGCGGAGTGATATAGTGTTTGTGAAAAACAAAACACGGTTAGAACGCTTCTCAACCAATCAGCTTGCGTGGCCAGAACTAACTGTTGTATAATGAAAGATATATTGCAACTGCTGAATGTATTAATATAACCGCTATATCGTATTCTGTCCATATTGTACTGCCCTAACCATCATATTAAATACTTCTGCCTTAATTCACTCTGCAAACACACAATGTTTACTAGAGCACTTGTTAGCTCCATTTGGTAATAGTTTGCCTGGTCATTTTTTTATTTTTCAAATGTTGCACTATTTGTCACAAAAACCTGAAATATCGCAATGTGACTTTTCCCCCATATCGTTCAGCCCTAATATGGGCCCTTTAAGATTAATTTGTGTAACTTTAAAAGCAACTGTACTGCCTGAACCTACACAGAGACATGATTTCTAGATGAGGTGAACATGCCACCGACTCTCACAATTTACAGTACCAGACTTACGAAAGAAAGATGATACCCAAACAGAGAGGCAGAGTGTGGTGGGGCGCGGCCGCCCCTCTTACCACTGCTGTGCTGAGATAGACTGCTCTAGAGAGGTGGAGAGGGCTGAGGCTCAGCCGAAACTCATGCAGGGCCTGTCTGCTGTGCCTCTGTCTGTAGAACGCCACACAACCGGGGGAGCCAAACCGGGAGGAGAGCGCGAGGCGGGCAGGGGTGCGCTCCTGCGTTTCGGCAGGCAAGGTGCTGGCCGCGAGGCAAACAGCAGGCACACACGGCACACGGGGCAGCACTGAGGCCAGCCCAGTACTTACTGCCAGGTCCTGCACTAGCTTCTCCTCAAAGGAGTACTCCTCTGCTACTATCCAAAGTTTCTGATAGCCCATGAGGAAGAGATTAATAGAGCGATGCCTGAAGAGTCGGGGGGAGAGGGAGGTTAGGACGGAGAAGAGGCAGGGTAAGGAGGGAGGGCAAAAATGGGAGGAAGGAAAGTAGGTGCATTCGGGTGAGGGGGTGAGAGGAATGTACGGCCCATGGCCTTATCTGACTGGCCACCTTGATCGTTTAAAGAGGAAACCCAGGAAATCAGCACAGATCAAATATTAACCCCTTATACTGCAAGTGTTGGCACTAACAACATAACTTACGTATTAGTGTCATAGTAATTACTGAATAATTAATAGCAGTAACAACATTATGCCTCAATAACTGAATAACAGGCCAGCAGTTTAAAGGGTTAACTGTATAAAAAGTAAAGATTTTTTGTAAGACATAATTTTATAGCCAGTCTCAAATTTACTGGAGTAAGTAACATTGATTCCTGATTCCTCACCATATTAGCTATTTGTAGTGTGTTTTTTTTTTCACAGGTTTAAGTCACTAATGTAATAGCAAAGGGGAGCACATGAAACTGGAAGGTGACCATTCAGAAGTAGAAACTGAATGTTTGTGCTCAGTCCTTAGGTTGGAAAATGGACTGGAGGAAGATGTTGGGAACATGAGGTCTTTTAGTCTCACATTACCGTTAGCATGGAGAACAGACGGTCAAAGCTGGAGGTTTGGTACACCTTTTCCAGCCAAACGTACCCATAGCCATTCAGGAAGTAATTATTATTTTTGTATCTGAAGTATATTGCAGAGACAACAAACAGGAAGAAATTTTAGGACTAAGTCATACTGCAAAATGTATAATACCCAAACTTTCATTTTGTCATGTGGTAAATTACAAAATAAGGGGAGCTAAGATCATGTTGGGTTGCAAATAGGAAAGCGGACAAGGTACAACAAATCAAATCTGCACCTGGTGCAATCTGATTTGTTTGACAGGTATTCTAAAGTAAATAATAAACAGGTAAGCCACATGGGTGGGACGCCAGGTACTGCTCTGGGGTAACGCAGAATAAATAAACAGACTAATTGAAAACACTAACAGAACTAAATTCCAGCTATGTGTCCATAACATGAGAAAGCAGGCATCTCTTTTGAAGAAGCAGTTTGATGAAAGGTAGAAGGCTCCAGAGTTGGTACCTTGGTAGATTATACAGTGGTGCCATGCGGAAGCAAGCAACCACAGCACGCTTGCGTTGTTTAGACAGCAGCTTCTGCCACACCAGCTTCTTGTTCCTCAGAGGCTGTTCCACCTGCAGAGAAAATCACTGACGTGAACATGTTATAGCACATCTTCAGTCTTCAGTCAATCGGAATAAAACCTTTATGTGGAGATTCTATAAACGTACAAAGATTCATCACCCTTGCAGATCTCATTTACAAAAATGGCTCTTAAAATGGAGACTGGACAAAATGAAAAAATGTAACCACTGCTTTCCCTGTTGTAATCTTGCATCCCACAGTGGTGCTGCAGTAGTCTCTAGAGATTAGGAAATTCCTTCCTAATGACATATCTTGAAGGTAGGAGGAATCTTCAAAACACTGCTTTGGGGTCCTGGGGACGTTTGGGGTTGGGCTGTTCAAATGTTTTATTTTTTATTGTTTTTGAATCAAGGAAGGAAGGCAGATAGATACTAGGAAGCTGAATATCTTATTGCAGACAAGTAACTGTGGAAACAGTTGAGATGATCATTACAAATGGAGAGAATTGATTACTGAAATGCCACATCAGATGAGGAAGAAGTGAGCAGGGTGACCTATACCAGGCTAGCTAGATACCTTACCTCAGTTAGGCTCCTTTTGGCTGAAATGGTCAAAACTTGTCTCTGGTGTCCATTTTGTACTGAATAAAAGATAGAATCCCTGTTTCTTTACAATTTTGGTCAACAACCAAGGTGAGTTACATTAATGCTAACTTGGTTGTCTTTAATAAGCTATAGCTCAGAGGCTAGAACAGCAGTCAGGATTAGTTGACAGCGCTAGGATCTCTAATGGTTATATGATGTATTTGCATAAAGCACGCTGGGTACTGTAGTGAGGGAACACTAATGAACGAAAACATAAAAACAATAAAAATAAAATACACAGAGGGATGCAGTGCTGTGCTACAGAGCACTTCATAACATGACAAATACATTATTAAACTCTGGGTTTAGGCAAGTTTAATGCCTCTTTAAAAGACAGGTTCATCAGGGAATCACAAGGTGGTTCTTCTATGGCATTACTCCAAAAAACCTTGTTGAAAGGTAATGCTTGAGTGAATGACAATTGACAATTGCGTTTCATTTTAATAGAGATTCACTAAAAGATGGACAAGCTAAATGGTAGAGTAGTCACTGCAATGTATTCTTGGGTTTGTGTATTTAGTAAAAATCATGTAGTCGTGAAGGGCCTGCATGTAGAAATGTCTCTAACCTGCTCCAGATGGAAGACCGCAGCCGAGATGCCCTGTATTCTCTCCACAGTGTGTTCAGCATCTGGAGGTTCCTCGCTCTTCACTATCACATCCTTATAGAGGTTCAGCTGCCACTGCACTCCTGGGTCCTCTGTCTGTAACATCAACAGATGATTTTATTAACCCCTTAAACCTCAGGCTTATTATTCACTTACGAATCTTACGATGTAGTGATGACTATAAATTATTCAGTAACATAAAAGTAATGTAATATAAGAGGAAGAAACTGATGTGTGTGCAAACACACAGGCTCTGGTGTTTAAGGGGTTAATTTTTTTAACTATTGCCATTATCAATCATGGCATTAAAATAATGTTGCTGTTTTTATGTATTCATATATCTTTCATATATTCGTTATCTGACAGTATTGCTCATTTTCACTTCACCTTCTCCTGAAGATGGAGGTTCTGCTTCAGGTAATCCTTCACCTCATCATCAGTGTCTTTCTGTGAGAGGCAGCAAACCAGAGATTCACCAAGGAGCTCGTATGGCTTGTATTGGAGTCAATCTAATTTCAAGAAAGTGAAATGATGAGTGAGCAGGCTGGAGTTGCAATGAAGATTAATGCTCACCAGACTGTAACGGATCTTGGCCAGAGAGACGAGCTCCTGATCTCCAGGGGAGCACATGTTGAGGCCAATGGGCAGCAACTTCTTATGAGCTGCTACGATTAGGGATGTCTGGACAGAGTACAATTCTCTTTTTCTCTTCTTCCCTCTCCTCTCCTGATCCTGGCCTCCTGACTGGTACAGACCACACAAATACAGCACTATTACTTTTCCCTCAGCCATATTTGTTTACCTGCATGCTTCAAATACTTGTTGGTGTTTACAAACAAGCACTTAAATACTCATTCTCAAAATCACTCTTAAAGAGTGTGTTTGATCATTTTTCACAATTGTAACTAAAAATGTTACGTTTTTCAATTGGTAACAAATAGTTTTATATATATATAAACATCCTTCATTAACATTGGACATTACAAAAATGGCAAGAGATAGATGTGCTGCAACATTATATCACATAAGGAGACAGAGGAGCCTGGCTGGATTTCTGGTTACCCAGATAGCAGTGATGATAGAGAAGTAAGTTCTAGAAAGTGGCAAATCTTTGTTTAGCAACATGTTTTTACTGTCAATTTACTTGGTTTACTGAATGGACAGCCACAATCATATTCTGTTGCTAAATTAGTGTTCCAAGATCAAATTCCATCATGAAAATTCTTCCAAATAATGTTGATAGAAAAACATAAATCTCACACAGGATTGACAACACTGTGAGCTATTTCAGTGTTTCATACTAAATTTGTACATATTTTCACAGTTCATAGCTTACAGGATTCAATTAAACTATTTAGCTAGCCTGCTGTCTCTGTCCACAGTGGGTAAACAACATGCTCAGCTTCTTCACCTGTATATCATTGAACAGTCAAAACTACAGCCAAAAAATGAATGTGAATTTGGTCTTTTCTTTTTGTTCAAATGTTGTTTGCCATTTAAATATATTTCACTAACTTATCTGGCTTCAGTCTTTGAAAGAAAAAGAAGGGCAAAATGAGAGAGTGTGGCTATGTTTAGCCTTTAGCTAATATTATATGGATATTACACAGTTTTTATTGTCCTGGTTTTATGATAAAATGTTTGTTTAAAACATGAGCTTCTCAACTTTGAAAATCTCACTATGAAAATCAGAAATCCAAAGGATTGTTCTAGAAATCTGCTGGGGTCTAAAGTGTTGCAAAAGACAAAGCTTCTGAATCCCAAATAAAGAAAGAAACAACATTATGAACAAATATTCAAGTATTCAAACAGTATCCACAGCATACGAACTTCATAATGTTGATTCTTTTGGTTTCTAGCAGTGTGTTAGCTAATCGGACTGTCTTTTTCAACAGGAAAAAAAATATTTAATAGCTAATTTATAAACAATCCTTACTAGATGATGTGGCTGAATCATTACAATACAGCCATGTGTTCAACTGTCTAAAACAATGTAAGAGGATCTAGGATGTGTAAACAGCATGGAGGAGTACATCACAAATAGACTGGAGCTTGTGATAATTTGAGAGGATTTTAGCACTCAACCATCCAATTAAAGAGAGTTCTCTGTAATTCCACAGGCTTACTAGCATATATTTGTCTGCTTGTCTGTAGCTGAAGTCCATTTTATGTCAGCAATTAGTTTGTTTGCCCTTCTGCAATCTTACCTTTGACATCTTGGTCTTGCTGTCTCCAGTGAGGAAGGCTAGGTTGTTGATTTCATTTTGCACAACAAAGTTTTGCTCTTCTCTTTTGAAATTCTGCAAGTGAAAAGGGAAATGTTTTTTTGTGAGAGTGTTTGTGATGGAAACAAGTCAATCATTACCTCTTTTTTACATAGAAAATATGTTGATAACTTACGTGAGATTTACACCAGAGGATGAAAATCTCTGACACCATTTTAAAAAGCTCTGTTGAATCTGAATCAGGCTTCTTTAGCCATTTGGACCTTGATAAAGGAAAAAGAGTTATTGTCCTGTTTCTAAAAGTGCTGTTCATCAAATACTACTTCTGTTTTTCTGATTTTGTTGTTTTAAAAAAGAGTGTATGCCATAGTTATAAGTCTCCTCTTCTATATGTTTCTTTATTGAACGTCTTCTTTTATCAACATCAACAAGTTTCAAGCAGAGAAATTACCATTTTAAGGAGACCTCAGTTAACTGGATCTTTTAAATTGCAGCACCTCAACCTGGAAAATCCCCAAGTTACCTGTTGTTGTCCACATAGCGGATGAGCATGGGGTAAAAGGCATACAGGTCCCTGCAGAGGACAGCAAATTCATCCAGAATCTGTAGTTCGGCCTCCTGGGTATCAGCCCTGCTCTCAGCCCTCAGCAGCTCCTCTTCAGCCACCACCTTCACCGTCTTCTTTTTCAGTTTCTCCAGTGTGGGAAGGAAGTGTGTTCGCAAGAGATCTGCACCGGCCTTGCAAATGATTGGCTGGGTGTACACTGAATGTAAGTGAACAAAGTAGAGTCACAGTCAGCACTGGGAAAGCTTTACTTTAGTTTCCAAGTCCATTATTTTCTCAATGAATAATGTAATAAGTATGTGGTAATAAATAAATGGTACATATTATTCTACAAAACTTCCTTTATGTGAATACATATGATGTACATCAAAATCAGGTTACTTTTAGGCATTTATGTCTCACAAAGGCTTAATTTCAGGTGGTGCAACCATCCAATCACATATTCAGATAAAGTAAATTACTAAATAAGATTATTTAAGATATTAGTAAATTATAAATAGTTTGGCAATTTATTTTTTTAAATCTTTAAATCACACCTTGTCGTAAAAGTCCTTGAAAAAAATTCAGATTTCCTCAAATGTCACATGCCACAACCAAGAACACTTTTATTCTGACATGCTCTTAAGAAAGAGTGAGAAGGGTACTGCATCATAAAGAAGACCCCAAATCACCTTCATGGTGCAATGCCATTGTCAGAAGCTCTTGGAAAAATATTGAAAAAAATGTGATTTTTGAGTTATGGTTAGGCTTGTTCAGTGTATCAAGTCAGATGGTGTGACCAAAGGAAAACAATGAACATGTGTTTTTATTACAATAATGTTTATTTATTTGAAAAAAATTTATGTATAAATGAATATATGTATGAAATTCAAGGATAAAGGTTTATATGGGTAAGTACAAAGACTTGTTTATACATGTTTTCAGTGTTTTCTGAAGTCATAAATAACTTTGAAATGTAGTGATGATGTGGGTTGTGTCAGCTGACATTTTCTGGGTGGTAAGCTATGAAAGCTATGATACAAATATAAACACACTGAATAGACTCTTGTAGATATTATTATTATCATTATTATTATCATTAAATGCCATTAAATGATCATTATCATTTGACCCATGTACATGTAAATCAATGATAGTGTAATGCAGGGGTGCATAACTCCAGTTCTAGAGGGCTTGGTGTCCAGCACAGTCTGGTGATTTACCTGCTCAAACACAACTGACACTAAACTACACTGGTAAATGCCAGGGTTAGCAGGTGTGTTTGAGGAGAGTTACTACCAAACTGTGCTAGACACTGGCCCTCTAGGACCAGAGCTGAGCGAAGTCTACGATCAGAGTTAATCAAATTATGATTGTAAAGGGTTAATAAAAAAACCATGGGGTACATAAGAGGAGCAAAAAAACTACAGACCTAACATTCTAAAAAAGGTCACTTCGAAGGATTGATTTCACGTTTACTGAAATCACACAACACCCACCTGCAATCCTCTTCATCCAGGAGGCTTCATCAATGCCAAGGTTGTTGTTGAGGATCTTGAGGATGTTGCCAAGGATGAGGCTAAGGTGCTCAGAGGTGACCGTGGTACAGCAGCTTACATCACTCGGTGAGTTCTCAGGGCCTTTTGCCCACCAGTAGGAAAGATAGTTACACAGCATGGGCAGGACGACCTCAATGATGTGGGGCATCTCAGTGTAGCGTGCCCCAGACTCTGAGATGTCATGGATGTCCTTCATCAGGCCGTCCAGTCGAGGCATCTCAGGACACATCTCCTCCACCGTGTCAGGCATACTCAGAACTGGTAACAGACAGAAATGATGCAAACACGTCATGCCAATGACAACAACAGAAAACTTGAATCAATTAGTTCAAGCCACGTATCAAAATATGGATTTTGTATGGGGACTCACTTGCCCTCTCTCGAGGTGTTTTGGTGTTGAAGACAGAGCAGGGATTGTGCATGTTCAGATGAGGCTCCAGGAAGGCCACTGGCATGGCACCCACCAGAGTGGCCAAGCACTCCCCCAGTGCAGGAAGCTGTCTGTTTAAACATGAACCCATTTTTTAGTTCAAATAAAAAGAATAAATACCGTCTCACCAAGATGATCACAAAAGCCAATTACTTCTCAACATAGATGTTCTTTCCAGTTCCCAAGGAGTAGAGGCTGGTTAGGATGCGATAACAGGACAGCTGAACATCGTCCACTGAAACATAGTGAGAGGCCATAAAATAATGACAATATGAATCCAAACATTCTCAAAATGCCAACAACTGGTCATTATTATTCTTTCAACAGTTTAAACCTGTGTTAGTATGCCCTGTAGTTATCACAACAAAAACATTATCAATTCTTTTTAGATTTTATTCTGTGGGTCTTCATTTGAGTCTGTGATGATTAATTGAACTGTTCACTCACACAGCAAGTCCACGCCAAACTGGTGCTGGGTGATGTGCTGAAAAAGAGCAGTTAGAATGGGCAACAGGGCCACCGAGGTATAGGCGATGATCTGGGCAACTCCTTTCATCTGGGTTCGGGACTGTCCCAGTTTGCCCAGCTTGAGGTTCTCCAAAGTCTTTTCCAGGTCTTCTGCTGCATTCTCAAAGAATGTCCTAACTCCTGCCTTCACCAGCTCTGAGCCAGACTTCATCACTGTCCTTTAAAAGGAATCAGGCAGTCAGACCAACAGATAAACTGCATATAAAGTTCTGTGCAAAAGTCAGACACCACCCTTCACTTATTTAATTTCTAGTCAAAATGGCCTTTAAGTATGTTATTCGTTTTTCACTAGATATTTCTGAGGAGATTAGAGATAATACAGGTACATTAAGAAGTCAAAGAAGAAAGTCAAAAAGTGGAAAAAAAGTTTCTAAAACTGGAGTTCAAAAAAAGAAGCTGCTGATGTTCTCAGAACAAAGAACTGCCCACCCCAGAGCCCAGGCATCAACATCACTGAATGTGTCTGGGATTACTTGCATCATAAAAAAGAAGCAGACAATGCAACCAGCTTCTAAGACTGAACTTTGGAAGTGTGGAAAAACGTCCCTGAAGATTTCTGTGAAAAATGGAAAGCAAGTCTTCTAAAAAAGAATGGAAGCTGTAATAAAGGCAAAGGGTGATCACAATCTAATTTTTCTGTTTTCTGCTTTTATCTTGATGCTGAAACATGTATAACACATACTTAATGGTCATTTTGGCTGGAAATATAATAAATGAAAGGCGGTCTCTGTTTTTTGCAGACTGCTGCTATATCTTAGAGATAGTAATAGAAAATTACACATAGGACCACAATATTGGTGACACAAATCAATCCACTGCTAGCCATTCAGTGTAATTACCACAATTAACGACAAAGATAAAACAATAATAATTCCTGTTTTTTCAATGACATCAACTGTAAAGAAATATTTGCAATAAGGCTACAGAACTACTAAATTTGTATGAATCTGCTCCTACCTGAAATCCAATGAATGTGCCAAGATGTGCAGACAGCTCACCATTGTGGCAGAGTCACTCCCTGAGAGAAAAGTAGTGGTGAAGTTAGATAAGTTACCCAAAACAGAACAGAAAATGATGATCAAATTGAGGATGTGCTTACCAAACAGAGAAATCCTATGTCTGACAAGAGATGCCAGCTTACAGAAGAGACTATAGAAACACATGAGAAAGTAAAGTAAAGAAAGTAAAGAAAGGGGAAGAGTGAGAAAAGAAGGATTAAAACTAACCTCTACTATATAACTGTAGCCATTTTATTGCATTTATAAGCATGCATGTAATTAGTGACAACAAAAAAGGCTGAACCTGGTGATCATCTCCTTCTCTTTGTTGGAAGCATAGCCACTGCTGCTCAGGTTGATGCTGGGTGAGGACAAGAAGTAGAGGCAGTGGTTCTTAAAGTACTGGTCAATCAGGGGCAGGAGAACCTGTAATGCAGGGGGATCAGGGACATAAATGTTATTACAGCATGGGAGAGGGTTAGTTATTATTGCAGGACAATGTATTCGTTTTCAGGTTGTCAGATGTCCATCCCATACCTTTGCAAAGAATTTTATTTCTTGTTCATGAGGAGATTTGTCTGTTTTTCCACTGGTAGCCATTGCCTCTGTAAAAATGATTCAAAAAGATTAGCGCTAAACAAAGAACTGTTCAGTACTGATATTTACATGCGTTACTTTGCATGTGCTTATATCCTTCATTCTCTTTCAGGTCTCATTCTTGTGTGTCATGTTTTTACGCATTATCTTTAATAGATGAACTCACCGAGATGTGCTATGAATTCCTGTGCAGAGTCCACATAACTAAGCAGTCTCTTAAGGAATTTGTAGGCAGTCCTCTTTTCCATAGAGGAAGAATCCTGCTCCATATCCTTCAGACCTCTGGCAAACACATAGAAAATCATCTGTAATGTTGAATTCACTGAAATAAAAGTACTAGCTTTTTGCATCGTAGCAAACTATTTTTGGGTTAAAAAGTTGCTAAGGTTTTACTTACTAAGGTTTCCCCTCAAAGTGCAAAATACTGGGAGGTTATTATAATGAAACACCTACTCCAATTTGCCAAGATTGATTGACTGTCCACTGCTTAACGCATTTGAAAAGCTTGTCTTATTTTTGCCTCTATCATCATTACAGGTGCCAGCTGGGATGGACACAAAAGAAGGGCAAAAGCTTACGGACACACAAACCTGCTTATTGCGTATCCATTAACCTGCAGGAATTTGAATAGCTCCTGAGCCTTCTCTCTGTCTCTGTACTTTTCCTTAGCAGTCAGAGTGTCATACGGCACCAGTAGAGGATGAGTCCCACCTCCTGTAAAGAAAAACAACATATGTGGCTAACTGTGAAACATTAGATACAACAGACATGTCTCCTGGACAATATTATTACCTTTGCTACTTAGCTCCATTTTCTTTTTCTTTGCCCAAATGTTGTGATAATTCTCTGCTACAGTCTCTACCATTCCCTGCAAAAACATACATCAGGCCGGTTTGACAGACATGTTTCCAGAAGACAATATAAGTATCATAAAAAATACTACATTTTTAGAAGTATATTCATGAACTTGAGTTCTGTGCAAAAGTGAAATACCTTCTTTCATTTATTTAGTTTACAGTCAAAATAGCCGTTAAGCACAAGTTATTCTGTTAAATATATATTTAGAAAATTTTCACATTTAGATCATGCCCAAAGGTGAGCTTGGAACAGAGGGGTATACTCTGAGAAGCTTAGGCAGGAATTCTGAGCAGCTTTACGGAGATCACAGAAGCTGGAAGTTGGTCCTTTGCCCAAACTTTATTCCTCAGTAATATATCCTGAAAAATTAATAACTTGTACTTAATAGCCTTTTTGATTGGAAATTAAATAAATGAAAGTTGATCTCTGACTTTCACACAGGACTGTATTTGCAAACCATTCAAAGAATTATGCATACTCTATGCTAACACCAAAAACATTCCCACCTGTAACTCTCGGGACAGGACTACATTATCCAAATCCACAGGTGATGGATTAAATCCCTGGAAAAATTGCACATGACACAAATAGAAATTTATAAATACATTTTAACCTTTTTTTGCGTGCCTTATTTGTGCCTTACACAGACTTCTCCCTACCTGGGAAGACTCTGAGGTCTTTTTGTCTGTCTCACGCTGCTGGAACATGGCCTCTCCCTCTTTGGTCCTCTCGATGTTCCAGCCCATGGCCAACATGCTCTTCAGAGACTCCTTCACAGGATAGCGGTAGGTCTCCCTCTCCTGGCCAAATTCCAACAAATGGATTAATGGGGGATTAGCATGGTATCAGCTCTGTGGATGAATGCTCTGTAGAGGAGGTTTCAGAAGTATGTGGTACCTTCTCGCTCAGTGCTTTGTATGGTTTCAGTAGAGGGTGAGTTTTGGCTTTTTCATCCACCTTCTCTCCTGCAGTCCAGCCTAGTGCAAACTGTCAGAAGACAGAACGTCTTTGTAGCTGTGGCACAGAAGTGGATGTGCGTTCATGCAATTCTACAGAGCATGAAGTGAAAACGTACATGACAGGCCAACAGCATGGAAGTAAGCACTGTTTTTTTCATGCTGTAAAATACTGGCCTCAAAGGTAAAAAAGGAAAATGTTTTGCCTGAAAGGATGTTTGATTTTGCCAGAAAGTTGCTTAATCCTCTACTCCCTTAGCCAATGAGAAAACATGCATTTTTATACAATGTCTTATTTTCAGGTACTTATTTTTATTTTTAATTGTATTACTTTTGGTGTAATGTTATAAAATGAACGGTAAAAAAATCTATGACCCTGGAAAACTATTGTCACTGACTGCAATGCAGATGTTTGATAATACAGGAAGCTATTTATGACATTTTTTTACTGAACTTAAAGGCAAGACACTACCTTGTATGTGTATTTCTCTACATACACTGGCAAAGTGCAAAAAACACAAAGCTTAAAAGTGGCTGGCTAGTCATTTCAGCCGCCTGCCTACTACAATAATTATATAAAAAATATTTGGGCACTCCTGATCTAGTTTAATCAGAGACGTCTTTCAAAAATCTCACATTGAATTGTAGTTCTTTACTTCTGCAAAGATGTATATACATGAATGTATGTGCATCATTATGCATTCTGAGGATGTGATGGCAGAAGAGGTGCAAAGTTGCATGGAAATATACACCACATCCATGTTTTCTGTCTACTCTGGTTTAGACACTGACCCCTAGTGCAGGTTCATGGTACATACAAGCATGTTGGCAGACACCCATGAATGCGTGTGCACAGTCCAATTTATATATATAAATTTACCTTACTCTAATGAATTACATAGGAAGAGCCTTCATGATCCTTGCTGATAATTGTCCCAAACCTTGAGCGGTTATATATATATACTTCCAAACTACAAACTACTTATTTACTACTCTTGATTTAGTTAATCAAGTCCTCAAGAGCATCTGAATAGGTGAATCAGGGGGGTATGATTAAGAATCAGTTAGTTTAACAACAAAATGTCCATGTTATTTTTTTTCTTCCAACATGTCCCCCATAGTGTACATTAATTTACCTTTTCAGAAGACCACTTCTCATGGCAGTGCTCGGCATACTTGTTGGCAATGTACTCCAATTTTTCAGGCAGGGAGATACTGAAAAATATGATGTATTATTCTGTTTAGTTCAAGACAGAATTATCTTTAAATACAGACGGTTTGTGTCCTCTCCACTTGGTGCTTACTTGGCAGTGCTGATGGGCTTAGGGTCAAAGTTGCCCTGAGCATCCACAGAGACTTGCTTCACCAGAGTAGTGCTTGGGCTTGTGTCAACATAGTCTGGTGGTAGTGCTCCAGCTATGGCACTCAGACAAGGCATGGCCATTTTGAAAAGCTCTGCGTCGTATTTCTGTAGGAGAAAAATTGTTAAGAGAGTTTCACACACACATACATATTTACTCCGATACTCAAGGATTATATATATACATGCATTATATATATACGAAATTTCTTCCCTCCCAGATATTCCACAATCAACTGCAAGTGGTATTTTTGAAAAGTGTTTAGGAATGACAACAACTCAGCCACAAAAAGGGGTGGACCATGTAAAGTTACAGTGCTGAGTCACAAAGTGCACATAAGTCACCAACGCTCTGCTGACTCAGTAACTGCAGAGTTCCAAACCTCCTCTGGCATTAACATCAGCACAAAAAACTGTGTGCCAGGAGCTTCATGGCATTGGTTTTCATGGCCGAGCAGCTGCATGCAAGCCTTACACCACCAAGAACAATGCCAAGTGTCGGATAGAGTAGTGAAGCAGTGAAAACGTATTCTTTGGAGCGACAAATTATACTTCTCTATCTGGCAGTCTGATGTACAGGTCTGTGTTTGGCGAATGCCAGGAGAATGTTACCTGCCTGATTATATATGATATTTGATAATGTGTAGGTGCCCCAATATAGTTGCTGTAAAATGAAAAAAGGCTTATTCTTATGATAATTTAGCTACCTATCTTTGCATGAATCTGGATTTTGTTTTTGACATGCAGTTATTTATAAAATTAATCTCTACAAAAGACTTTAAATACAGCTAGAAACTGCTATCTGGGTGCATGAGAAGTTGTGCAGTACCTTCTGAGAGAGTGCATCAAAAAGGCCCCAGAAGAGTTTCTTGGTGAGATGTAGCTCCTCCTCTGAGGCTATGCCATAGCTTCCCAGGCCAGTGGGCAGGCAGTAATATTTCCAATTCTGCTCATAGTGATTGGTCAAAAGCTGCAATAACAAGAAAACATATAGGTTACCTAAAAAAGCAATCTGTGGCAGATGTTTAGATGTTTAGGCAAAACAATTTAAATAGTATATTCATAGTTCTTTATAATTCAACATATAGCTTGAAGGAATGGCTCAGCGAAAAATCACTTTTACCTAATTTTCCAATTTCCCTTGATGCAGTCATTCAGCCCAGACATGTTTGGTGTTTCAATTTTGCTTCTTTAGCTTAGCACTTGAGCTTTGAGGCTAAAAGTTGCAAACACCGGAAATCAAAGTCACAAAAAGTGTTACTATAAATGCAGCCACAAGGTTTCTCTCAACCCACCCAAACTGCATCCTGGTCTCAATTCAGACTGCACAGACTTATGATGTGGATCCCGGGGACACAGTGCCCTGGACTATTTCAGGTATTCTATGCACCACCAACACTCCTGATCCAGTTCATGATAATCAGCTGACGAGCTGGATCAGGTGTGTTAGGGCAGAGAATACCTGCAGCGGATTAGTACACAGTATTACTTGATGTGAACAAAACTTGGGCTGTGTTAGATATAGCATTCTGTGTACTGCATACTGCATTAGTATATACTGAATACTGTATGCTACTCTTCTACAGTAGTGTCCTGTACAGTATGTAGTGTGCGACACAAGCCGTGTGCTGTACTACAGGGAAGGGGCGCGGCAAGTCTGCCAACATCAGGCACTGATCCAATCAGAACGTCTCAGAACTCGCCCATTTTCCTCAGCCCGACAGCTGCTTTTCAGCATGTACATTTATATTTTGGTCGTGAGGTGTGCCTGTGTGACCTAAAAGACCCCACACCATGACAAAGGACAAGATGTTTTCTACTCGTCTTCAAAGCTACAAATAAACTTTAATAATGTGAGCACTGGGTTCATCTGTGCGGTAAACATCTGTGGTTTCCGAATACAGCTGTGAGTCATTTAATTTTTAAAACACTCAGATTTGGCAATATGAATTAATCTGACTGAATAATAAGCATTGTGACTCCAGAGAGAAACCTCAATAGCCAATGCTGAGCGTATCGTACAGCTGAGTTACTGTTTTATCCACATTATCCAGAAAGTTACAAAAACAGCAAACCGGCTCCAAGCCTAACAGAAAAGGCTGGTGTGGGTTCAGAGTGTATGTAGTAGGTGATTTCACACACAGCCTTGGTGTTTGATAAAATAATTGACCATAATATTGGATTATAGGTTTTTTTTTCTTAAATCTTAATGAAGACATGGATGTGGTCTGAACAGGCTGAGAGAAGTTTTTTTGTATGTATTTACAGAAACAATTTGGGTGTCTAGTGTTTGTTACCACCATTCGCTTCAGCACTCCAGGGCTAAACCTAAAGAAGCAAAATTTGGACACCAAAAATGTCTTAGCTGATCTGGGGTAAGTGGAAAATTGTGTAAATTAGATTTTGCACTGATCCATTCCTTTAATTTAAGGACATGTTAACATATTCATTTATCCTGTTAGTTGATAGTCATGGGCTAATGGACAGTGTTGCTGGTTTGGCCCATAGTTGACTGGTTTGATGTGAGACTGATGAAAGGAGGGTAGTGGGTCACTGTTACACACTGGCAGCTGAGATGTCAAGAGAAGATTCATATATTCTCACCTACTGCTCAAAGGATCATCACTAGATCTGACGTAACAAATCACCTCATGTAATTTAAAAGCCAGAAGCACTAGGTGTGTCTGTATATGTGTGTGTGTATATTTAGCACTGACCCTTGCAATACTTGTTACGGTTCTGAGGAGGACTAAGGGGCTATCAGTGGACTCTGTGGACCACAGAATAGAGCCTACATATATAAAAATCTGTTGTCTATAAATAAAAGCAGACAATTAGAGAAACAGTCACAATTGCTAGTGAGCGAGAACTTTTAGTAGTTTAAATATCACTTATCTGAGAGAATGGATATTTACATATGATTTTCCATATATGGATTAAGTCTAGTCTCGGGCTAAAATGCAGTGACAGTGGTGATTCAACAATAAAAATAATTTTTAGTCCAGATAAGCCTAATGTGGGCCTAAAAAGACTGGCCTTTAATGTTTTACAGCAGACCATAAAGTACTAATGTTTAAATTGTACAGTTGTAAGATGTGTGTGACACGACACAGTATGAAGCATTATTTCACATACAGTACTATGCAAAAGTCAGAGACCACACTTAATTTCTTAGGTCCAAGTTATTCATTTTCCAGCATCAGGAAAGCTGCAGAAAAAAAATATTTAGTGGAAAATTTCCCAGAGGCCTTAACAATGAATCATCAACAAAATATAACATCACATTTTTCAACATCTTGCATTTTCTGCTTCTGCTTCTGTCTTTGGAAATGGAAATAAATGAAAGGGTGGTCTTTGACTTTTGCATAGTACTATAAATAATGACCAATAATAAGAAAACTTAAAAATGCGAACTTTAGAATGATGTAGCTCTGAAATGCTCACCTTTATGGGCATCTTGCAGTACTCTGTGAGCTGTGGCACATCAAAGACAAGGCGGCGCAGGAGCTGCTGCAGCATAGAGGGCCGCAGGTGCCTGAGGAGAAGAGCAATTAAAGCATATTTATTCGGAAGGATGAACAACTAGTTTTACTGATAGAGTTAGAGATAGAAATTCTCCTCAAAAGACAGAACTGGATCTCTTACTTGCAGATGGCAAGCAGGCACTCTTCAATGGAGTCTCTCTGGGCCTTGGTGAGTGAGCGGCCTTTGGAAAGCCGGTAGATGGTGTGGAGTGTGGAATCCACCAGCATGGCATAGTGCTCCGTATGAGCAAAGAGAGCAGCACAACGGGTCAGCAGCGGAAGCACGGCTGAGCCAATGTATCTGTTCAGGGCCAGGGCTGTCTTTGTGGTGCTTAGCACTTCCTAGTTGTGGAAAGGAAAAAACAACACACATTCATTAGTTAGGTTATAATCACAATAGTCACAATACGGCCTAAGACCTTTGTCAGTTACTGTATTTCTATTTTTTTTTATTGGCCTCAACATTTGATTAAAATACAATAATTTCTAATTTCTTCATTCATTGCTACATTTCTTTCTCAGTCATTTTAGAATTATCTAGAGCTTCCAAATATGTAATACAAGCTGCACTTGACTAGTGTATTAGAATTATTTTCATACATTTATCTGCAACAAAACTGGTTTATTGAAAATATTCATTCCAAATGTCAACAGTGATTACAAATTTTCGACTGGCAATCATTTTTTCACTCATGCTTGGCGCACCTTTCTGTATTGTCAGCAACATTTATACAACATTAACAAGCACTAGAGAACCAACCATATGTTAATATGTTACTGTTTCAATTCAGTAAGATATGCTGTGTTGTTACACTCGTAATACACTGCCACTTACCGTGTCCAGAGAGGCGGAGGCACGCAGGTCAGGCAGAAAGCCCACCTCCAGCAGGTTCAAAAGGAAGCTTTGGTCCTCTATGCCATAGACTCGGTCCAGGAAGAGCACCATTGGGGCCTTGTGCTCAGGACAGAAACTAGCATTCATATCTGGCTCAGTGACACTACCATCTAGAGAGCAGAGGGTATGACGTGATGCAAGAGGAAAAAGCAAGAAAAAAAGAAGAGACAATTTTTTAAAAAAGGCCTTTGGATATACTGATTTTCACTGTTATTTGCATATGACAAAAATACCTGAAAAGATTTTTTGATTTCTGAAAAGATTTAGAGCAGATGCTGCCAAATACCTTATGTGTATCTTGCAACACTCAACTTCATGTTTGTTAAAGTGTCTTTCTTGGTATGAGGTAGGACTGAATAACACAGTGCACCAGATTGCCAGTTTAAGCTCTGCGTTATAAGCTTAAATATTTTCACTTAAAACTAATCAAATTCTAATTAAAAGAGTGATATATTTAAAATTTTCAGCTCTTGTGATTTGAAAACTGCACTCTTTCAAACTGTGATTTCTATATAAAAATGATTCATTACTCAACCCTAGTATAAAGACCAGGTTTTGTGTAAATAATGATTTGACAGTTTTCCAAGCTATTGTTAAAAATATTTATTGAAAGTCTTTTGAGCCAAACGCTTGAAGGTGTTGAGTGCTGACATTACAACAAAGGGATAGAATGTGTGTGAGGCATGGTATTAACTTTAAAGTAGTACTTTTGACAGTTGCCCCTTCAGTGTTGCAGTTTTTGCAAAGTAAAATGGCAAGATGTCAGTCAGACACTTATGTTTATGTGTATGTTTTAAGAGATTTTAAAGAGGTCGGTCCAGGTACACAGAAGATGATTCTGAAAGTCAGCTTACCTTTGTTGACCACAGGCACTTTGAGGGGTATGCTGATGATGCCCACCAAGTCTTTCGTAGGCACTAGAGAGCGCAGGATGGCACGGATACGCAAGGCTTCACCTTTGCCCTTGTTGATTAACTGTGAAATATCAATAATACAATGTTCAGACATGAGGTGATAAATTCAAGACATAACTAGAAACCAATGAATCACCACAAAAACAAAGATATATAAGCACTGCAAATGCTATAGTAGGTTCAAGACTAGTATTGTAGTAATTCTGCTTCAGCTCTGTGGAATGTAATAGGAGGAGGGCAGCACTCACATGCATCTCAGGGGCACAACGCCCCAGAAGATCGATGAGGGCTGAGTAGAAGGACATGATGGAGTTGCCCATGTGGGCCACCTCTTCCTCCTCCTCTCCCTCCTCCCAGACCCTGTCACACACACACACACATAGTGTGAGCACTCAGTCACAATCAGTGAATCACTCTCATGGCCTCCACTGGGAGTTCAGAGTCAGGTTGGCAGAAAATGGCCTATGTCAAATCAAAATTCAAAGGCTTAACTCAGATGCTGAGGACCAAATGTATAGTGCCCTTTAAAAGTCTGAGAACACCTTGTCTTCTTTTGAAATGTTTGATTTAATGGTTGCTTTTCACTTTCCAAATAGTACTTCCACCAGTTATTCCAAAGAAATTTGGCAAAATCTCAACAGATTTCTACTTAATACTATTAGAAACTGATAAAGAAAATGTATGGAAAAACTAGATGTCCTCAAACTTTTGGTCAAGTTACATATTTTGCTGATTTTCTAATTGAAAATAATTTAACATATCCTTTACACACTTCTACACATTTTAACGCACAATCACTGTTTATTTACTGAATTTAAGATATAGGAAAAAATAAAACATAAAATGTGTCCGGTGCATAAGGTATTATATTTCTTATATTTTATTTTTTCCAATTTGTTAAACCCAACAAGTGAACAGAAACTGCGCACTAAGATGTGGAAAAATGCCATGATAATGTCTGTTCTCTGTAAAGGATGTGTTAACTCATTTTCACCTAGAAAATCAATAAAACATGTAATGTGACCAGAAGTGTGACCAAAGTATTTTCACTTGACTGTAAGAAGACAGTGAGACAGTGAGAGGTCCTTTTGAGTCTTACACAGGTGCTCCTCCTTCAGGAAGAGTGGGCAGGTCCAGTGCAGGATTCTCAGAGATTTTAATGGCCTCCAGCACGGCAGCCAGCAGACCTTGCCCACCCTCTCCCCTTAGAGCCGGCCCAAAGCACTCAGGATGCCTGATCAACAGCTTCACCACCACATTAGCGTTCTCCTCCACACTCTCACCTGAGGGGACAAGAGCATATAAAAGCTGTTACATTGTTTAGGTGGTTTGGGTATGTGAAGACTCTAATGACATTTCATGCATGAACTTCTCAAGAGCTGAAATTATGGATAATAAAAAAGGTGACAGAATGCACCATTGACAAAGACAGCAAATCGGAGGAAGGACAGGTAGCGCTCTCCTTCTATGGGATTCCAGCCGATGTCAGGGTATCCCTTGGCTACCAGCATTGGGCAGCTTTGTAGCCCACAGCCAGCCAGATATGTTACCACCTGGACAAACACACAGCAAAGAAAGAAAAATGAGCTTCAATATCAAATATAAAGTGTGTCATAACTTATGGACAGGCCGCATTTTATGTTTTATTTTTTTCAATATGTTAATTCAGCAAATAAACAGTGAACAACCATTAAATGTGCAGAAATGTGTTCTCTGTAGATGACGTATTAACTCATTTTCACTTCAAGAATCAACTAAACATGTAATTTGACCAGGAGCGCATTTTGCATACAACTGTATTGTTACACCCCTATTGTTCTGAGATAATTTACTGCAATAACAGCAAGACTGATATCATCATTTTATGATTTGTGGACATTAAATGCTTTTTCCATTTAATTCTTTAAAGCAAATTCTGTTTCACAGTCTTAATATCTATCATGACCAGTTCACGTCATCACGTATATTACCTTTTCCAGGTCTGGCTCCTCTAATGCCAGGGCCAGACTGTTGTTGTCCATCACAGAGGACGCAGCCACATCCAGTGGAGTGGAGCCCCTCATGGCTGGACAAGCTGTGAAAAGAACAAAATGGTTACAGAGTTTGCCCAAACAAACAAAAAAAGACCTTCTGCACCCTTCTTTTAGGTATCTTCACCAGCAGAGGGCAGTCTTTCCTCACTTAGTTTATTAAGTCTACACCATCTATTTCCATAAACATGTATACGAATGCATGTAGTATGTACCTGAACTTTTTAATAACTTAATTATTACTAATAATTAATATACCACCTGGATTACTTAAATTCCTACTGAAAGTAAGGTTTATGTCCTCTCAAAGATGAAAATCAATTTCATTCTTTTCTACAGCATGCTACCAGTAAAACAGATATTTCTTTAATAAATCATAATTATGTATAAGCTGTTTCTTATGGAGGACAAGATTTGCCAAATTGAAAAATAAATAAAATTAAAAAATAAATTGCTCAGTAAATTAATCAATAAATAAAAAACTAAATAAAGTATATATCGCTTATTGTGATTGTACCACGATGTACCACCTCCTCCAAAGTTCTGAACATTACGTGGTCGACCTCTGAATCAGCAGAGGCAGCAAAATGGAGCAAACTGTCCCCTCAGCCTCCAACGGAAGAGTGAATAATCCGGACCTGCATTTTCAGCCAGATCAACCGAGACTCTCTGATCTCTGACTGTCTGCTGCTGTAAGAAGCCATTATTGTACTGTCTTGTCCTTAGTTACCGCTGAGAGAGCAAGACATGTACAATTGATCTACAGAGTCTGACATCGATCAGCCAATAGGAATATTAAGACACTGTGACATCATTGACTGACAGCCCCTTTATTAGCATAAGGACAAGGAAATACAGAAATAAATAGAGAAATAAATAAATATAGAAATTAATAGTTATGGAAATAAATTAATAAAATAAATTAATAGAAAAACAGAAAAAAATGTTAATAAAGAAACAAATAAAAAAAATAAATACAAAAATTAGTGAGAAGGGTAAATTACTAAACAGACATAAATAAATGCAGACATTAATTTATATAATTTAATTTAATTATTAATATATTAATTGTTATGTATATCTATTTATTTTTAGATTTATCATCATTATTCTTTGCAATTCTACTTCATATTTTAATTTACATCATTTATTTAAGTCATTTATTTTATTTATTTTTCATTTTGGCAAATCTGGTCCTCCATAGTTTCTAGCCCTGAACATGCACTGATAATGTAATGCACTGCTCTATAGTATAACACAAGAGCCGAATCAGGATCTGTAAAATTAACAGATGTGGCAATAATGCTTTATCTGTGCCCTCCAGTGTTATTGATTGTTTGGGCCTCTGGCATGCTGCTAGTCGATTAGAGAAGGCGGTGAGGTTTAGAAGGGAAGAGTTTACTCTTTGCTGAGCATTAAAGTGCTGAGATGTGGAGAGAGGGGGAAAGGTCTCCTGCAGAGTCAGGCAGTCTCAGCAGCCTGAGCCATTCCTCATAGTCACAACAGTGCCTTGTGAGTCAGCTCAGCCTGACCTGCATTCTAAAGTAGCCAGACACTATGTGAGTGTGTATGTGAGTGTAATTACCCAGTCCCACACTACTGTTCTCCAGCAGGTAGCTCAGGTGGTCAAACATAGCTTTCTGATTCTCACGGCTGATGCGGCAGAAGTAGCAGAGGAAACGGCAGCAACTGGCCACCACTTTGGGAAAAGCAATCTCCTGCAGAAAGATAAAGAAACTCATTTTACCTCTCCATCAGCGACCTCTCTTTCTCTCTTTCTCCTGAAATATCCTGGACAGATAGCATATTCTACAGTTCCACATCAGCACAGGATGATGATCGCTCCTCTAGCAAAAACCTAATGGATTTTTTTTTAAATGTGCACTTCAAGCACACAAACACATCAACCAACAAATCAAATGTACACAATTTTCTCTAACACTAAATACAGTCATTCAACCAAGACATGTTTGATATCCTAAGTTTCTGTAGTTTTGAATGGAGCTAGGGGAGCTTAGATGTCTCTGTTGTCAGCTATGTGAATTATGTAAGTCACAGAGTCCAAGAAACCACATAAGCAAGTCTATTTGTTATCCCTTAACAATTCAACATGATTCGAGGCAGGTGTGAGATAATTTAAACACCCAGTTTGCTAAATGCTTTGACAATGCTAAATGGACAGCTATAAGCAAGGCCTGTCACAAATCAGAAATTTTAGCTGGCGATTGACTGCCATTTAAGTAATTGCGATTAAAAATGTGTCTTTTATTGTTTCTTGTATACTTACTAAGGTGGCCAAACTGGCTGGTTCCTAGCTGTAAATAATTAGTAGCTCCCAAATGATAACAGCTCAAGCTCTAGCAAACAAAATGACTAACCGCTCAAAATGCATTATTGCACCAGTCAGAAGTGAGTAGAAAGACCCATTACGTTTCCCTTATTTTCATGTATTTTTCTCAACTCAACTGATAAATACAGTGATCAGGGGATAATGTAATAATTATGACTATAACCTTAAATTGCTCATAGCTACATTAGTCTCCATTGTATATGTGTGTCTGTCTGTCTGCCCTGCGATGGACTGGCAACCTGTTCAGGGTGTATCCTGCCTTCCGCCCAATGACAGCTGGGATAGGCTCCAGCACCCCACCGTGACCCAGAAGGATAAGCGGTTTAGATGATATATGTATGTATGTACATTAGTCTCCAGTAGCACCAGTGCAAAGCTAAAGAAGCAAATGCTCAACATTTATATCAAGAGGAAAAATATTTTTTTTTACAAACTATTCATTTAAAAGAACAAGCTTAACCATGCATATAAGCAACATGTTTTGTATTTAAAGTGGACTCTGTAAGAGAACTGTATCAGGTCTCAGCCTCAGTGTCTGGAATTCATGTTCCCCATGCAGAGGCCCCCTTAATGAGTCTGCCAAGGAGAGCTGAGAAGTGGTAGGGTGATGCAGCACCCCAGAATCCCCACCCCCAAAAAGCAACTTCATGTTGGTTGCAGCCACTAAATCACAAACCTGTCACTCGGCGCTCCCCAAAAAGGACTGGCCCGAGAGCCCACTCACGCCCCTCTAAAACCCCATCAGTCATTAGGGGTATTAAGTTGTTAAGTGTTGGTAGGCTCTCTGTCTGCTGAAGTCTGTGACTTCAATAAAGACAGACGTTACTGACAGACCGGTCTTGTGCTTGCAATTCAAGCAGCTTTTAACAACAGCAGCCAGTATGGAACCTCAAGTGTCCCACTGGAGTTCATTAAGAGCAAGTAGGGATCTTCGAGTATCATCACTAGTAGACAAATGACCATTTTAACTACATTCTCAAACCCCTCATGCCACAATTTAAATACAAAGAGTCCAATTCAGGCGTCCAAAATTTAATAAAGTACCGTTATTTGTCACCAGAGGCTAGACGTCATGTGTTTGGGCTTAAATATGCACTATCCTGGAGACTAGCTAATAAGAACAACTCATCTTCTTTACAGCTACATTTTCTCTAATGTTAAAGCCCTAAGCAGAGACTGCTGCAACTGACAGACCAGTTTTTAGTATAGCAGCAGAGGGTTTGACAACTAAAATGTACAACACATGCCTTTGCCAAATTAAAAAAGACTTGTCCTGGGGCAGTTGTGGCACTCTTGTAGCAGCTCCTGATTCAGTTTCCACCTCAAATCATTAATACAGAAAAACACATGTACCTTAGACTTGTCTCCTCCGAGCACGTTGACCATGACCTCCATGACTGTCTCATGCATGCCTAGAACACGCATCAGATTTGGGTGCTGATAGAACACTTTGTTGTTCATAATATCCCTGTGAGAAAGTGAAAATAACAAAAAGTACTTAAATGTCAGTGGGCAATAAAAATATTCAAAAGAACAGTTTAAAAAAAAAAATTGAATTTATGCAATTTCCCTTAACACAAATGTAGATGATCAGCCAAGACACATTCTGTTTTTGTTTTAGCGTGTTTCATAGCAACTACTGAAGCACAAACCTAAACTGGCCAAATTGGCTGATAAGCTACCTTGTTTCCTAGCTGTCGATACTAAGTAGCTCCCAACTGAGGACAGACACAGCTCAAGCTCAATTAAACAAACATTACTCACCCCCACCCTCTAAAGGTGTTATATTTGCCACAATCAGACTGATTAAAACACCCAATTTACATTCCGTTTGCTGTAACATTAACATATGATACGATCTATTAACTATGGAAAAGCATTGCGATCGGTTCAACTACTTAAAATTGTGTGATTATGTAATAATTGTGTCAGTTAATATTTCATCTCAATTCAGTCAAACTGTGATTATTTATTTACAGAATTTAAGATGCAGTTTAGAGCCCGATTGGGCAAACCTTAAAAAAAAAAACATAAAAACTACATGGAGCACAGTCTTGAAATTTCACATGGTTTCTTGAATTAAATTCAAGTTTTTGCTTGAAATAATTATTTGAGATCTATGATCTCACCAATTAGGGCCTGTTTGAGTTGGTGAGGAATGACCAATGAAACCATCTAATGAACTACTCCTTTAACCCCATACCTAACTCCAGCACTGGGCAAGTAACTATTTCACCATGACTACTGGAAGTAGGGCTGGGCGATAAAACGATAACGATAAGTATCGCGATATAACTTTTCCTCGATAGAGCGATAAGACAGGTTCGATAAATGTTCGATATAATACACCGTTCTCACACTTCCACGTTTTAGCGAAAGCCCTGGTGGGGCCATGAGTAAAAAAGGGTCGCCAAATATACTTTAGCAACGGCTGAAACGCGGAGTTATACAGTCCCTGTTTGAGTGGAGCGACCGGCGATCTGTTCTCCTGTGACCGAGTGTGAGTGACAAGATAAGTGACGTAACTGTACTGTCCTACGGTGAACTCACCTCTTTCCATGCATCCTAACAACTTTAGCGGTGTTAAATCACGTCTGCAGCGCCGTGTTACAGCGCCAAACCGTCATATTTTAGTATTAGTGCATTCACGAGCAACGAAAGTGAAAGAAAGAAGTGGGTTCATGTTCGAAAGTAAACTGAGGAAGCTATGAGGCATTGGGAGGCGGGAGAGCGCTATCTTTCCAGGCTAGCTGTTTTTAGCTGCTGGCTAATTTGAAGTGGCGCTCCGGCACAACCCAGTGAATTGATGATACGGTAGATCAAACAAGACACAAAATCACCGCTTTCAGTTTAAACATACCTAAAAGGAGGACTCTGTTTGACTGGTGCGAGAGATTCACACTGCAGATAATGCTTTTACACAGCGAGCGTCAGATATACTGCGGTTCACCCCTCAAACTACTACGGTAGCATAGAGAAACCCAGCCGTCGCTAGCTGGTGTCTGAATACTGTGATATGCTCTGACATGGATGTGGTAGGAGTGACAGCAGTGACCTACCGAACTGAGTTGACGTTGTTGAGAAACTAAAGAGTTTAGCTCTGTTGTTGGCCACTTGTTTAGCATTTGTAACGGGGTAGCCGAGCGCTCGTCACCAGACAGCTAACAATAATCTGTTTTCTTTCTTAAATCATGACTATTACAAAAATTGCAGCTGTGCATTTCAAGCTGATAAAAGCAGCTCAGAAACTTTCTCCCACTCTTCCATGACAGATTAGTGAAATGTTCCACTGTTTGCCGAGTGTTTGTCATGATCGGACCATAAATGATAGTTTAAAACCACAATTAACCACCCAGGAGCAAAATCAGCCTTCAAACGTGAAAGAAATCATGATTTGACATTTATCGCGATATGTATCGATATCGGACGATATGAATTTTGTTTATCGTGATAACGTTTTTGGCCATATCGCCCAGCTCTAACTGGAAGGCGTGTATCATGAGTGTCTCTACCCCAGGCCGTCGATCATGAGCTGGCCCTCCTCTTCTCCCATTCGGACACTAAGCAGTGAGCGGATCTGGCCCAGCGAGGCCAGCAGGTTGATGGCATCCTGCACAGACTTTTCACTGATGGTGTAGCTCTTTCTCATGGCACGCAGCAGCTCTCCGATGCCATCATACTGTCTCCTCAGCAGGCTGAACATGCTGCGCACCAGCTCCGGGTCCTGGATGGTGTGCTCCTGAGCCCAACTCACCATCGTCTGAGAGATCAGCTCCTTCAGGTTAGCTGAGTGAACAGAGATATGTGACCTGGATTGTTTTTGTGCATTTTTAAAAATCATTTTGTCTTCTCATTGTTGCCTACATGAACAACACTAGGAAGAATAACAGACCAAAAGGCCAGTCAAACCCTTTTTTCACAATCCCTTCTAAAGTGTGGATTCTGAACTTTTAATCCATTCCAAGTTTGTCTTTGTTAGTAAAACAGCCACTCTTCTGCTATGACTTGAAATATGTGTGGTGTTTTTTTGTGAAAAGAAAACAATCTCATTAGGTTTTTTTGACATATTTCTGTCATTTCTTGTTACATAAACAAAAGTAAAATGTCAAAGTCAAAAATGTAGACTCTAACCTGTCAATGCAGAATATATATGCAGTTCTTTACATTACAATGTAATTAATTTTGTCGAATAACTAGGCTTTTAGAGGTTAAAGTTCTGTTTCCTGTCTTCTGTACAGCTTGATGAGGTTCTACAGTTCATTAGCATTCTTCCTTTGTCAAGACTGCCATAAGGTGCATGGTATAGCTAACAGAATATTAATATGATTCAGCGACTCCCCTCAGCCTCTGCACCACAGCATTTATGGGTAAGCTGAGAATCCATTAGTCAGTACAAAATTATATCATTACAAACATGAGCATGAAGATACAGTGTCAGTCAGCTAAATCAGTTATTCCACAAGTCTCTGCTTCATCAGAAAAGATCAATATAGCAGAACAATCTATTTACGCCAAGACAGTTATCATTATAGGATGAGCAGTCATATTACAGTCAGTTTCTCAGCAATGCTCATCAGTATGTTAAAACACAGTCAATTAATTAGACTAATTTTAATTTCCTGTCATGTGATTTTTATGCTATAGTGTTAATGGTGTTCTCTATTTTGTTTTTACATGGTCCTGGCACATCTAGAACTGTTTCTCTGCCTAGATGTTACATACAATGAGGTGCCTGTTAATTAGATACATCCAGCAGCAAACATGGGCTGGAATACACTGGAAAACTGTTTTGGGAGTAAAAGTCAGGATGGAACAACGTTTTGACTTAGATTTAAAAATCTAGGCAGTTGTTTTTATATGAAAAACTGCATAAAGTTGTTTTACACTGTTTCTAAAATGTGCAAGAACTGAAGTAGTGTTTAATGCACAAAGTCCAGCCTACAGTCCATTTAGCCAATGCACAGTTGCAGAGCAGCAGGGTCTGCCCACCTAGTCTCCATGGTAACGCATTCTGCAGTAGTCTGTGAATTTTGTAAGGTCCAGTAAAAGCAGCTCCACAATTAGAAAGAAAATGTTGTTCGCTTTCTACTTTCCTCAAATCCTAGTGGTGTCATTTGAATGTCCAGTCTGCTCTATGTAATAAACATTTTTGATGATTCATATGATTGTTGAAAATTTCCATATTTAAGCTCATTTTAAAACATCTATGATAAATTAGCACATTTGCCAATGCGACCCGAAGGGGAAATAATGTTTAAAAACAGCTACCTGGCCTACTAATGTCAGCCTTTCATTGTGTATTAGACATCTAAATGTATGAAAATGCAAGTGAATGGCATGGGATGCTTTTGGATGTTCTAGCCAATTAGATCACTTCTTATATGAAAAAGTTTAGTATTTTTGTCAAAATAGTGGTTGTTTTGATGAGCATTTGACATTTTGCAAGGTTTGTTTGGTAGTTGCAATCTCAGTTCCATTAGCCTTTAGGAGCCTTTAGGTTCCATTAACCTTTTGTTTTTATGTTGTGTTGTTTGATTAACTTTTTTAATTGTTATATCTCTTAGGGTATAAACCAATTCAGTTACATTTCTCAGAACATTTGTTCCCTTGTCCAGACTGTTCTTAAAAAGCTTTCCCCCTCTTTCCTTCTCTATGTAAGAAAAATAAGTAAGTGACTGAGGTTTAAATTATGATTGGATTTATTTGCAACGATCAATTAAAAGACGCAGAATAAGAATTTTTATTCTTTCAGCTTTAGCAAAAATGGTCGGAGACCCAGATGCAAAGGAAAGTCAAGCTGCCATGCTTTAACAGAAAAATCTACTGTATTATTTTAAATTCAGGAAACGCACTAGATTCACACATTCACGGGTTTTAACTTGTCCCTACTCTGTGTCCATTTTACCAGGTAAACCTACCATAGGTCCACTGTGTAGGACCATGACAACTGATAATAAAGGGACCACCACAGGACCACCACTAACCAGATATTATTTGGGTGGTAAATAAAGATATCACTTTTTCTGTTTTGATATCAATGCTGAAACCTTGACTACAGATAGTAGTCTCTATTGTTTAATCAAAATGTTTTATTTTTAATTGAAGAACTTTAGGATGGCTATCTATAGTCAAACTGCTCAAATACTCTTCTACCCTACAGCAAGAAATACACACTATATGGCTGCTACATGACTTGCTCTTCCAGTATCATGTGTGCTTCCTACCATTTACGTGAAAGCAAATCTGAAGCTTGTTTCATCAGTGAATGTTGAGGGATCAGTATGTTATGTGCTTGGCTGTATGACTCTTACAAGGGGACGTTAGCTCAGCCAGCTGGAAATATTTTAAGCTTGCTTGCACCAGAGAACAGGTTTAATTTTGGAACCCATTAAAGCAAACACAGCAGAGAGGTTTTTATTGATCAGGTAACCTTTTGGTCAACACTTTTTTAATCACTGAAGACCTACATTTAGGTCAGCATTTTCGGCTCAGAGAGTAGAGACTTTTTTTTTTTAAATAAGATTGCCTCACACTGCATTTCGCACTTGAGCAGGCCATATTTTTGTTAAATTGGCCTACTTATTTAGAGCTGCAGATGAGTTTTAAAACCCACCTTTTGGCACATTGTCAATCACCTTAATAGCTTTTACACAGCCGACTGAGCTGATTTGAAATCTTCCACATGAGCCACTTGGACACACCTACTATTGTAGCTCCTTTAGCCCATCTACTTATGCATATTTTCCTTTAGCCATCTTCTAGCTTTGTTAATTGTCAGTATCTGACCACAGGGCCACTTTTGGCTTGATTTTTTTGGGTGGTGAACCACTCCTAAGCCAGCAATGAGCAATGACAGCAGTGCCTGATACCCTCATATCAATGCCACACACATCATCATGTCACAACCCCATCTGTGTCCCTGCTGTGCTGAGAAAGGTCTACCATTCGTTCATTACATTACATAATCAACAGCAGCCATTTGATCAAAAACTGACCAATTATGAATAAGATGCCTTAATTATTGTTTCCTTATATGAGATGTTACTCATAATCAGACATGAATTTATACTGTAATTTTTTTTTTACATTACAAAGTAGCTAGCAAAGAAAAGAGATTCTGGTTCTAATATGTGATATTGTCTTACTTGGAGCTGCTTGTTCTTGCTCTGATGGTTCTTCCTCAGTTTTCTGTGGGCGACCTTTGATTTTGTATAACAAGGATAGCAGACGACCCTTGACAGATGTGTCCTGTTCCTCTTCTTCTTCCTCCATGGGAATGCCTGCATAGGCACAAGAATACAGAGTTTTCTATCTGCATGTCCTTCAGGACTGCACTTGTATTTGGAAAAACCATTTTGGGTCATTCCATGCCAAATCACCAAGGGCTTCTCCAGTCATGTCATGGGTTTCCATAAAAAATAAAAGCAAAAACTTTAACCAATGTAACCATGCAAAATGCTCAAAAATGGATATTTAGCTGTGAACTCATGATGCAGCTTCAAATACTGCATGCAGAACTAAATAATTCAGAGATCTGATAGAAATATAGTATGTAGAGCTGATAGAAATGTAGCATACTACATAAAACTTAAATTTCGCAAAAATCTGAACAATTACATTTCAAGAATGAAATACTGACATGTAAAAGTAATGTTTTATTTATACCCAGCCAATATTTTAGCTCTGTTCAGTCACTGTGTAAACAATTCAGAACATGATGGGGCAAACTATAAAAATTCATAAATAAATAAAACCAATTCGGACAGATTTGAATGTCTGCAGTGTCTGTATATGTTAAACTTTCCTTGAATGTTTTACTGGAAATCCATGCACATATAACATAAAAGAATAATAAACATTTATGCTGTGCAAAAAATGTATGTGTATTTATGTTAGACAAAGTGAGATAGATATTGAGGCTCGAGGCATACCACAGTGTAGTCGCAGGTCATCATGAAAGGCTTCAAGCTCCTCTTGGAGTTCCTCGGGGCAGGGGCAGTCCTCCCCAGTACTGAAGTTCAGCAGCATGTTAATCTGGTAGAAACACATAGTGTATGAGCTCAAGAGCAAGTTTGTGTTTATATTTCAGCTTTTCATCTCTTGAAAAAAATTACCATCATGTGGCAAGTCAGGGGTAATAAATGTAAATATTAAACAATAAATACACGTTATTTTTAACATGTACGTGTTGTTATAAATTTGAATATGAAAAAATGATAAGTTATGAGGCACAAAAAACTCTGACCTTTTCTAACATTCACATTTCAAAAACAGAAATATGCTGTGTCTATGCCATGACAGACCTCTCTGTTGCCCTGGATACGGAATAGGCTTATTTCTGACAACAGTGTAGAATGACACGTGGCTAAAATAAAAGGGTTTATATGAAAAATGCAATTTTGGAAAGAACAAAGCAGCAGATTCTTTTATCAACACCAAAACAGTGGCAGAGAGAATAATGGAAGAGGTGATGAATCTGCTGAAGGTAAAGTGCAAATAAAAAATGTGAAACAGAAAGCTTCTGGGAACAGCTGACTCATTAATGCACCACTGGACCTATGTGAAGCACAAATTAGACAGAATTAGATAAATGGCAAGGTTAATGCTCGTACTACTACTCTCCACAGCTTTGAGTCAAAGCTAATGAAAACAGATGCATGTGGCATGTTTTTTATTAGCTTTGGCTACTCTTATTAGCACTCAGTAACACTCAAATCACTTTTGTGAGCATCACTGAAGAGAGAAACCCATACCTGCGGGATCTCACAAAAGCATATATGTTTTACTAATTTCATGAATATGAATTGTGTAATAAACTGTGTATGTATGACTGCTAAACCTCAAAATAATTGCTATTTTATTAGTAACGACTCAATGACTAATACAATCAATAGTGACAGTCTTAATAAGATATCAGTACAAAATAAAGAAAAAAGCCCTTTAGGTTCCCTTGAGAAGCTTTACCTGCTCTTGAGGAGGAGAGCGGAATTCCTTGGTCTTCTTGGCAGTGACAGCAGCAGACATGTTGAGGGCCTGCATGAGTTCATTGTAGCGGAATTTCTGGTTATACTGTAGCTTGGCCACAAAGCTGTCTGAGAAGGCCACAATGGCCTCAATACGCTGCTTCAGCTCACAGTCACAGAAATAGTGCAGCAGTTCACACATCTGCAAGAGAGACAAACATGTGATGGTGAAATCACACAACTAAAATAGAGTTTATTGTAGCCTGCTTTATGGTTTTACATAATTAACAATTGGTAATACCAGAATTCTGTGAAGTGACCAGCAAAAAACACTTTGTAAAATTTTTAACCTTTTGACTGTTACTCCATTTTTGCCTGAAACATCATAGCCAAGTAAAAGGAGCACTCTTCCCACATGCTCTGGTGATGATCTTGGTCTCATTTGAAAAGTAACACTTTCAAGATTTTTTTCCCAACTGTCAGAATAATTGTATATATTACTGACACAGAGTAACAGAGGCTAGAATGGAGGAGTTTATTTCTGACTCATAGATCTCTAAACTGATCTCTGACTCTTGCCATGTTATCAAGTCCACGTTTTGGATTATGATGTGTCTGTGGATAGTGACGAGGCTTTGAAGGACCCACAGATTTGCTAGCGTTTGCTCATTTGGTGCTTCTATTGCAAATGAGAGAATAGTTAATGCTGTGAATAACAGATGATAAAATGGTTTGCAGGCATCGAATCCCGAGATTTCAAGCTTTCTAATGGCATACTGTATCACTGTATTGCTGGACAATTTGATGCATACAAATAATATATAAAAAAAGGAAGTGAACGCTTCGATGTGTGCCAGTACTGGTACACTGATACAGAAAAGCTTAAACCATTCTGGACTTATTTTCAATAATATAATAAACAAATCATTTGCTGGAAGCTGTAAAAGAATAAGAAATTTCGGTGTCCAGAATGATGAACAGAGCTAATTATAATTTTAGAAAGACTGAAAAAACTGTATAACATCAAGAATAAAGTTTAATATCCAGAGAAGTGGTGATTAATTCCTGAGGTATAAAATTTGAGGAAAATATTACAGTACATTATTTTTCATTTAATAACTGCTTATTGTTCTCCCAAATTAGAATAAAACTTGTGTAACTTTAAAAGATATTATTTAATAAATTAACATAATTCCAAACCCTCAAACAGCAGTGCGCATTTAATTTTGTGTCTGTAAAGTATTGAGCTGCAATAAGTTTCATAAAGCATGTTTCTAGACATTTTCAAAGATTTAGACAGATGGGTTCAGCTTTTTCAGATAAACATAATCAGAGTGAGATGAATACTCACCTGACGTTTGACTGACTCTGGCAGGCTCTTTTCCAGAAGGCCTTTAGGTGCCTGCTTGGATTCCTTACTTTCTTCTTCTCCTGCCTCCACTGTTTTTTCTTCGTTGCTGCTCGTCTCCTCCTTCTCGGCTGCCTCTTCTGGCAACGCAAGCTGCAGCTCCTCCTCTTTGCTCTCAGTGAACACGTTGGGCTCGATGAGAAGCAGGATGAGCCTCACTTCCTCACTGCTTAGCGCTCCCATGATCAGCAGAGTGCCAATCAGTTTAAGAATTGGCACAAACTGGTACGCCACACTGCCCCCTACAGGGTCTCGGATGTGGGCTCCGCCACCCTGCACCGCCTCCGTCAGCATGCTGATGGCTTTCTCCTTCAGTATACGCAGGGGGAGCTGGGGGCTGTAGAGGTACTCTCGCTTGGTGATCATGAAACATGGAGGGGAAAAGTTGAGGCGAGGTGCGAGACTCGTGCTCAGGCCCACGCCAGGTAAAGAGTGACGCTTGGAGTTGTCAGGGAAGAGGCGGATGCTTCGCGTTTCATCTGTGACTGGGATGATGAACTCATTGTTCATCATGAGGTGAGCTTCTTTAGCTGTCTCCAGGTGGATGCTAATGAGGACATCATAAAAGCCCTCGCGCAGCTGGCCAGATAGGTATTGGTTATCAATAGTGTAGAGGAGCTGGGATTGGTCAAGATGACTGCAGAGGGCATGGGCTACTCGAGTGTTTCCCAAAGCACACAGAGCGCAGTAGAGCTTCAGAGTATGGTAGTGGAACTGTCTCAAGTCCTCGTGCTCGGAGAGCTCCATGATATCTAAGCACCTGGAGGCCATTGGGGAAGTCTGCATTTAACATCTTAAATACTAGACTTATTATTCATTTATCAGTCTTAAGGCATTTTCTCCTGTAACTGTACTATAAATTACACACTGAAGTTTATAAAACTAATATGAATGTTATGTAGTTACAAGGCTGAGGAATGAAGGTCTAGACCCACTAATGGACTCTTTCATCTAGTTCATTTAGTCCAGAGTTTGGGTGTTTGTGACATTGTATCTTTTTCATTTGGTTTCGGTTGGTTTCACATCTATTTCTCAGCAATAGCGCATCAGTTTATGCATATAGGTTGATTGGGCAGAAATTTGGTAAGGAAACAAGCACTCAGTTACTTTCATGTTTGCCTTCTTTAGTCTCAAAAACAGCATATTTTTTAACTTTCACTAGGATATCATAGCGTATCACTGCATTTAAATAGTAAATTATTCTACCCATTACACTGAATTAAAACTAATATTCTTACGATCTGTGTGTGCCACAATTAAGCAATAAAACGAAAATAAATCATACTAGATCTATATGATTGATTGGACTGTCAATATGAACATAATTGCTAATGCTTGGCCAAAAATATGTTCCACATTCCATTTGCCAAAATCAAACACACTACTTTGCTATTAGTTAATTGCTTGTCTACCATTATAAGCAGCAGCTTGTGCTGCACGCATGACATGAGCGCCTGTCGAGGCAAACGTTAAAACACGCAGATTATACAGAAGGAAATGAATGCATGCTGTGATGCATAATTCTCTTGTTTGGAACGGATCACAATAATGACGCATTCGCAATAGGTTGTTTGTTTGCAGTTTGGTGTTGTCTGAACATCTGAGTTTTGATATTTCAGACTGGGTTAACTGTGGAAATTTGGGGAAATATACAGGAATCAAATCCTGTTTCAATCAGCCAGTCAGTCCCTTACATGTTACATCACAGAGCCCTTCACTATTTCAGCTTGAAAGGTGTTTTAGTAGGTTTGTCTACACTAGTGTTCAAAGTTTGGAATCAATGTTTTTAATAAGGTAACACCAATGTGGTTTCAGGCAAATGTATAAAATGAATCTAATATGCGAGCTCTGTGCAACTTTACAGATTTCAAATTACTAGAACACTAGGAAGCTGTAAATAAAAAAGAAATGTTAGATGTATACAGAACGATGAACAGAGCTGTAAAAGATTCTAAAATGCCTGAGAAAGCTGTACAACACTGAGAATCATAATAAGATCCAGAGTTCATAAGGTAGATAACTTGACAAAAAAATCTATGTTACTAGAACATTAGTTATCATTTTATTCAATTATTGTTGACAATTTTTGAAATATAATTTTTTCTAATTTTATAATATTTTTTAAATATTTTAATTAACAAAATCTAAAAATAATTACAAAGTTTGAACTCACATTCTTAGTGAGGTTATTAATTAGGATTTTGGAGACAGGATACCTGATATGCAGTGGGTAACTCCTTCCCCTTGGCAGTGAATGAGACCAGGCCAGAGGCCTGTTTTTAAAGTTATTCATTTATAGGAACTAATTTACAAAATTATTGCATCTGGAAGAGGTTTAAACTTACATTGTTATCAAAGTTATTAATTTATAGAAACTAATTCATATAAACAAACACAAAATGTCAACATGGCAAACTTTTAAACAGTAATGTATGAGAGTGTATTTGCATTCAAATAAGAGGTCACATGCCTGTTTTCCTCAGGAATGTGCACAGCCATCATCTGCAGAGGTTCGAGACACTGCACTACCCAGCCATGCCTCTCACTGACACGGGCTGTCTCCACTGAGAGGAAGGTGTTTGGCATCCTGCTCCACAGAACAGCCACAATAGTCTGCACATCCAGCCGTGGAGGACACTGAGGCTCGGGGTTACTGTGTAAGCTCTTGAAAATTGCTGAAGACAAGGGCATGGCATCCTGGGAGGTAGGGTAATGGACAGACAGATAACATTACAATTGAAATACTGGCACAGCCAGTGCCCTTCAAGTCATTCGTGTATGGCTTTAAGATAAGCCAGAAAAAAAGACCCACCTGGATCTTTGGAAATTCAAACTGGAACAGGTTGGGGCTTGTGGGCTCAACAAACACAGCAGGGAAGAGTTTTGTGTTGGGCTCAACCTGATAATATCACGACAGAGAAGAAAAAAAAAACATCAAACTTTTTTACTTTCAGGCACCACAGGAGTTGTTCTCTTTTGATAAAGCAATATTCTGAACATTTGTCAGGATGAATGTGTATCCAGTCTGCTGTCAGACAGGATACTGACTCTGAGCACTCCCTATTGCCAGTGTAGATCTGGCACTGGTTCAGCTTCTAGATTCAGAGCCCCAGGCAAACTAAGATCAGAGTCAGCAAAGGACTCTATTAATTTTAAATTGGTCTTCCCATAAGTGGTAATGGAGGCTCTCTAAAAGGTTTCATTACAAGCTAATGTTGAACAACCTCATTTATTGTTTGCTAATGTCTAAAGGACAAGTTAAATTTTTGGACTGATATCACTGCCCTGGAATGGACATCACAAAAAAAATATTCCATTTTCCATGTGTTTGTGGTTTGCATAGGCTGTGCTCCTACAGAGCTACTTACTTTATTTTTTTAGTATTTTGAAGACAGGATACCTGATATGCAGTGGGCAACTCCTTCCCATTGGCAGTGAATGAGACCAGGCCAGAGTCCAGGTCAATGTGACAGCCGATTTCCAGATCAATATTATTGCGTCCTGTAGAGCTGCTGGAAATTTCTCCAGCACACACCATGTAGCAATTACTCCTCCTCACACTGGACAAATAGTGTAAGAAAGAACATAGAGGTTGAAGTAGAGCAGGATGTGAAATACAATAATACACAGTTCCTGAACTCCATCATAATAGAGAGGCATGTCACTTGAGAGTGAAATCTGCAAGGATACTTTTCCACACCTCCAAAGTTTAGTCTTAGGCTACGTTCACATTACCAGGTAGAAGTGGCCTTAATGTGACTCTGATGTTTTCAGAGCTATGTGGAAACAAATTTTCAAATTCAAATCCTGGGGTGGTTAGACCATTACCTATTAACAAATTTTCTTCTTTTTTGTCTATTTCTTTTTCTCAGTAAGGGCTTCTTGACAGCTACACATCAGACCCATTGCGCTAAATTGTCTTCTCACAGTGAAAGGATTTTTTTTCAGCTCTGAAGCAAGAATGGAGACTGATTTTCTCCTTTCTCTTAAAGATGGAAGTTTTAAGTGCTGTTTATTAGATAGTGACAGTTTTGGTAGTCTAGTAGATCTTGCATGGTTGCTAGCAGTCCCATTTTCTTTATTTCTTTTCATTTATGCATACATACATACATACATACATACATCATCTAAACCGCTTATCCTACTGGGTGCTGGAGCCTATCCCAGCTGTCATTGGGCGGAAGGCAGGATACACCCTGGACAGGTCGCCAGTCCATCGCAGGGCAGACAGACAGACATACACAGTCACACACACACTCACACCTAGCGGGCAATTTTAGCACGTCCAATCGGCCTGACTGCATGTTTTTTTTGGACTGTGGGAGGAAACCGGAGTACACGGAGGAAACCCACGCAGACACGGGGAGATCATGCAAACTCCACACAGAAATGACCCTGGTCGCCCGGCCGGGAATCGAACCCAGGCCATTCTTGCTGTGAGGCGACAGCGCTACCCACTGCGCCACCGTGCCGCCCTCTTTTCATTTATATTTTAATAAATTTTTAAAATTCCAGTTGGAAACTTCTGTTGTTTTTGTTTTTTTTGTTTTTTTTTATTATTATTAACTTTTTTCCTTTCACTTTACCCTTCCTTATGCAAGTGAATTATCTTCTGTTTAATCTCCCCAGAAATATCTCCTTAAAAAAGAATAACTTGTAATTAATGTCCATTTTGACTGGAATTTAAATTACTGATGGATGACTTCTGACTTTTCCAAAGTACTGTATATCAAAGCACACCCTACACAGTCACTCTTAAGATCCCTTTGAGAGTGTGAGGGAAGAACTGACCTTTCGTGAACACGGCCCCTCTCATCCCCAAGAGTTACCGTCACTGTGCGGACCTTGCTCAAGCTGAAGTTCTTGCTGTAGTAGTGATAATCTGGGGTTACCCAGCCAATCCAAACTGATGCAGGATCCTGACCTGCAAACACTCTCACCGAGTAGAAGTACTGAAACAAGAAGCAAGACGATGAGCTCAGACTTAAGAACATAGCTAACACCTTCAAAGTGCATGTTGTAGAAGTAGATGCACTAATAAATAACACTCCTAGTTATCAGTCAGCAGCAGCAGCCACTCAAGCATAGAGCCAGACTGTACCTTTGTAATGCTTTTATAATCTATCTTTCCACTGTCGTCTTTCTTGGCTTTTTGGTCATCAGCGATCACTTCGTTGATGTTTGTGACTTTCCTGGGACCCGGATAAAACTCAACTGGCATGCTTAATCGGCAATAGATCATGTCAGTGTTGCTAGCCTGTGTCCCAAAGGTCTTGTGGGTCACTTTCAGACATGGTGGGGTGTCCACGGTCCCGTCAATTCTAGTCACCTAAACATGAATGAAAACAGGTGGATGCCCAATTATTTGTGAATCATAAAGACATCAGAAAGTTACACCTTTCAGAAGTGCTTTCCTGTTCTGATTAACTGTACCTCAATGTGCTCATGGTCTTCCGGCACATTGACAAATGTGGGAAGGCGTTTGCTGAACCACATGGGGACCTCTCGGTTCATATTCACAGCAAAAGGCTCAAAGCCTTCCTGCAGGCCACACATAGTGTAATACTTAAAGGTGTTGGCATCTTTACCCAGATTCATATGGCCAATCTGGGAGAGGCCCAGGCTGCAGACTGGGATGAACCCTGGAAAAAGTACAAGTCACTGAGAACAGGCATACATTCAAAAAAGCTTCCCAAAACTGACCATTAATGGGAAAAGTCAAAAACTAATTCACACTGATTACTGACAGATCATTCTTAAATCACTGCAAGTAAGCTATTATTTTCCAATAATGAATGATTTCACTACACTTTTCATACCATTAATAGTATCACAAATAAATAATTCACAAATAAATGCCAAACAATAAGCATGTAGAGTACTGTATTATGCCTCCATACTTTGAATTGTTTTTGTTACAGCACTGTGCAAAAATACCCTTGATCTATTTAATTTCCAGGCAATACATTGTTTGGGATTACTTGAATCATGACAATATAACCCAATTCTTAGACTGAACTTCAGAGCAATGGAAAATATCCCCACAGATTATGTTGGTAAACTGAAAGCAAGTCTCCTGAAAAACTTGGACATACTAAATACTGAAAAATGTATTTAGTCATTTTATGTAAATTTCTGTTAAATCTGTTTTCTGAATTTTTCCTGCTAAAAAATTAATACCTTGCATCTAATGGCCATTTTGAGTAGAAATCAAAGAGTGATCTCCGACTAGTACAGTACTGTAGTTTGGTATAACTGAAAACAGGATATTGCTCATGTTTTTCTGGTAACTATCATAAGCTCACCGTCTTCGGTCTCAAAGTCAGCAAAGCAGAGCTCAGAGCCCTTGTTAGTGATGAGAATCTCTCCGTTGAGGGTGAAGATCATAGATTTGTCCTCCATGTTGATCATGCACCCCACCACATCACCCTTGTTCCATGTTCTTCCGAAGAAGTGACTGCCCATGTGTACCCTGCGACCCTGCAAGGCAGTTTTCACATTTAAGTAGAGACACATTCGGAAACCTAATTGGCTTTATCCACAATTATGTCTTTGAATAGCCGCTGCCCTTTCCCAAAGCCAGTGTAAAGGGAAGAAACTGAGAAGGGGATAGTCTGAAGGACCCCACTGACAAACTGGGGTCAAGTCTATCAAAAAGAGAAGCAAAAAAACAGCAGTGAATGCATGACACTTACTCGGTAGCCATCAAAAACGAAGGCCTGGTCATCCATTCCCAGGTCAATGTCTGGTCTACAGCCAGGCCGGGCCCACCCCACGCACATTTCTCCTCCAGTCACAGCCTCAAACTCAAAATACCACTTCCCAGACTTTACTGCGTAGGTCTTCTCCACACGGAAGAAACGAATGTTTTCAACACTCAACTTCTCAACCACGTGGGCAGCTGTGGGAAAAATAGTGACATTGTAAGGCCAGGAATGGTCCTACTCAAACGAAAAACAGTGAGACCTTAGGCGTGTTCAAATATTCAAAGATGGTTTGTATAATCATAGTTTCATACGCATGTGCTAATACAGAGAATATAGATTCATGCTCACTCTCTTGGTCAGGGGGGTCGATGTTATATCCATATCCAATTAGTGTTCGAATGGCCTCTCGAAGGCTGTCTCTGTTGGATTTCTTTGTGCGTTCATCTAACAAAGCATATGGCACCAGCCGAGGATTGCGTTTGCTCTTCAAATCCTTTGAATAATAAAGGCCAAAACACTTCAGATAAAGTCTGTCAGAGCCCAGTGGAGTTCCTTTCCCAAAGCCTTCTCAGGAAGGTGGACATTTTTCTTTACATCAAGGCCTTATTGATGTCTTTTACTGAAAATCTAATGAACTGAAAGGTAGAGATTTACCTGCTGAATGCCATAGGTCCATCCTTGCTTGATGCGATCTTTGGCCCAAACGTTGTGAGCGTTTTCGGCCAGTTTATCAACCAGAACCTCCTGACCAGGTGTGAGTTTTACATCAGAAAGTTCTAGTGGCGAGGGTTTATAACCATTTGACATCATATAGCTATAAAACAGAGATGCAAAGATTAAATCCATAACTCATATACACCTATCTTCTTAACTCTGGAATCACAGTCTTTGATAACATAAAAAGATTTTATTGCAGATACACGTGTAATATGATTCTAATATGATGTTAATATTCTTTCAAACAGTTTGTAAAATTTAGCTGTAAAATTTAGAAATGTCTGGTGATGAACTGAGCTGTATATGATTCCATAATAACTGAGAAAGCTGTACAGCATCAATAATCATATTCGAAAAAGAGTGAGCAAATGTTGCTGATCAAACAGCTATTCACAGTGTTATAAATTTAGACAGATAATTACAGTTGATCATATAATAACATTTGCTATTTAGAAGCTATTAATATGTTTGTCATGTCATCACTATGGCAGCACGTTCCAGACATTTTACCAATTCAAATGCAATTTTTTTTACAATTGCATTCCCATATGTGTGTCTATTATTAAAACATCATTCAAATTCAAATGCTGACAAAGTAAAAATGTATTTGCAGTTCTGTTTGAAATTGCATTTTCACTGTCAACATGGCATCCCTGTCAATCAAATACTGTGGGTGGGGTGTCAGGAGGGACTTTTTAGTGGGGGGCACGTTTTAAGAGAAAGTGATAAAAAAAAAAGGTTTGGCAGGACTGGCAATAATAAATATTTTAACACTTGCTAACCAGGCCAAGGAGAATTCTATCTTAAGTGATTTTTGTGTGAAAGTGATTCTTGATTGACTAGGAGAGTCTGTGTCCATCACAAGCACTAAATGTTATCGCTTTCAGGTAGAGGCTTGCAGGACCTTTGGAGGAACACTAGTCCTGGACGAAGAATGGTCCTATAGGAACAATGTTCTGCACATTTCAGTGCTTTCGCTGCTTTAACACAACCTTTACAAATACTCAGCGGTTGTTAAAAAGCTTCTTTGTTAAAGAGTGTTGTTTCGAAGTGAAGTGGCTGCACAAACAATGTTAGTGACACTGTGAAGCTCGCAGGACTGTCGGAGAAACACGTCCCTGCACACTTTAGTGCTTTGTCTGTTTTAACACGCCCATTAGAAAAGTAAGAGCTGGGCGGTCTGGTTTCCCAAAATCCTCTTATTGATAAGTTCCACCAAGACTAGGGTTGGAAAACACTGCACTAACCCACAGTGGCCCTGCATCTCCTTAACAGGAATATCCATCATTGGCTGCTCAGGTCCTCTGACAGTCGTTTAAGCCTCTGCCCAAAGCCGGTCACAATGTTACCAGGATTGGTGTTTGTGCAGCCATAAGCTCTCCTATTCGGTCAAGAATCACTTCCACACAAAACAACAGCGAATCACTTATTCTCAGCCTGGTTGGCGAGTGTTAAAATGCTGCTAACGGCAGTTGCTAAAGCTCCGGCACCACCAAAGTTTAGACGTTTTCATCACTTCTTCTTAAAACACATACCGCACAAGTCTTTATACAAAGGTCTGTGCACTCTGCAGCCATCTTTACAATGCTGCCAGGCAGTTACTTACTTCCGGCCATACAAGGCCAGGCTCCTAACTCTTTTAATGGGGAGAGAGGAAAATAATTAAAACTGGAAGGTCAAATTACCATTTCAAAAACATAATTGAAATCACTAGTAAAAGCTGACAAAAACACAATAAAAAGTTTGTAGCGTTTGGCTCAGTAACACACAAAAAAGGTATTTTTTGAGGTTGTTCTGGCCACTGTGGGAGCCTTCCACACTCGCGACATAAAGAGCAAGATGACTGGCTCTTTTTCTTAAAGAGCAGGACTTTCTCTGCAAACAGACACCATGGTGAGCGTTACGAGCTTTCTGATTTAATTTTCAACCAGTGGCCAGTCTCATCCTTTATAACATCTCTGCCCTGCACTAAAATGTCCCTCCCGACGCCCCACCCAGCGCATTTGACGATCTGAATTTGAGAAATATGCTGCCATATATGTAACTTCTTATCACCAAAATTCTTTAAATTGTGAACAAACCATTGTTATTAATCATGCATTAATTTGAAAAGTGATTCCAAATTTAACAGTACTGTATACTGATGACAGATGGTATAGATGGTATAGGCCTAAATACCAAATTACGGAAATAGAAACAGACCATAAAAGCAGTGCCTGTGGGGACTTACTCCTTGGGAAGTTTTATTTTCTTCAGATCTTCCTCAGCATTGGCATTGATGTGTACAACATGACATCCCAAAGCTAATAAGGTCCTGCAAAAAAGAGCTCAGATACAGTTACTGTGTCAGTTACACATATATCTTACTCACAAATTGCACTACGAGGGAAAATCTACCACACCATCATGTTTTTATTAGGGCTATATGAGCTGCTATAAATGCATCTGTAATGCTGACACAAGAGAGTCTGTGCTAAATTAATAAGATGGATAAAATCAGCCCATAGCCTCAGACTCACCCAATCAATACCATCTGAGGTCCACTGAAGCTATCATTAGCATTTTAATCCTAGATAAAACTGTGGCTTTTAGTTCATACTGTTGTACAATAGTGCAGCCAGTACTTACTTTAAAGTCTCAGTTGACATCTGCAGGTTATAATTCTTTTCAGTTTCAGGCAGCTTGGAGAAGTCAACCAGGCAAGGGTGCTGTCTCTTGTTGTCATCTCGTACCTTTAAAAAGAAAAGTACTTTTAAATATTTTAAAATGGTATGTGGTTAACCAGTACACTGACAACTCTGACTGAAATTCTGAGAAATGTAGAGGCCTTTCATACACATTGACATCACTTCTAACAGGGTTGCAAATGCATCTAGGGCTGGGGCCATAATGGAACTGTCTGAATATGCCTTTTAGCAGACAGAACACACATAACAAGCAAAGTTTTTAGAATGTTCTCCATTTTCTTTGCACTATACTATAAAAACATTGAATGTGTTTTACTTTCCCTATAGTCCTTACCATGCAAAAAATACCATAATTGTTGAGAAGGGGTCTCAAAAGGAAATATCTGCCATATTTTGTACAAACTGTCTGTTCAGCTTTGACAACAGGCTTAGTAGTATGTCCCACAGGCCTAAAACAAAACTGAGTGCAGCACCATGAGGCGATGCAAGAGGTTATTTAAACATACGGATATCCAAGCTCATCATAGCATCTGTTTACTTAATCAGGTGTTAGAAAAAGGCACCAAAATAAGTGGATGTTGAACATCCCATGTTTTCTCATTTTTAGGTGTTACACACCTCATGAATTTGGCTAAAGTAAAGGTTAAAGTCACAGAAATGATCACAGAATAAAGAATAATGCCTTGCACCAATGATATGAATCAACCTCCTTGTTTATTCATCACAATATGTAAGGCCAAACACCACAAATGAATGCAGGTGACCTTTGACTCCTTAGACAGCAAGGCATTAAAAACTGGCATCTTCCTGCGATGGATATCTGAAATGTGTTCTCACTGTAATGTGGTTGATGCTTAATAAATGTTCTAATTATAATTAATGTATTTAGAGATGTTATGGGATAATTACGATGGTCTTTAAATATACATTTTAAATGTACTTGGCTCCTGTATAGAAACTGTGGCCTCAATATGGCCTCACTTAAAAAAAAACTGAACTGCATGTAAAAGAAACAAGTCTTTTCTTTCTTTCCCATTTTTGAACTTTAACAAGTTCTGCTAAGAAACTTTAAGAAGCTTAAATACCTGCACCTTCTCATATGAAAATATCTTCTCATATGAAAGTATTTGCATCTCTACTTCTGAGGAGCACGTTTGAATGATTCACAGGAAGGTAAGCTGAGGCAATAAATGTCAAATAAGACAGAGTGCTTATACTATAATAGTAATATAAAACAGTCTTACTCTATGAAAACAAAATGCATCGCTAATTAGAAATTGGTGCAACCCATTTGGATTTTTATGACATAAGAGGCAACGCAAAGGCATTTAGGAGTGAAAAATTAAGGCAGGTCATGTAAGCCACCACGCTTGCCAAGTTTCTGCCATTTCTCCTGCTAAGATCCCCATCTCCTGTTCAGGACAATGTCACTTTGAGCTAATGAGGTCTAATTAAAGGTAAATTGAACGGTGAACATCTGGGCCTCCAAAATATTGTTCCTAATAAACGATAAGGTCTGGCCCCTGGAGTAATGGAAGTCCTCACCCTTAATGAATTTCTCCTGCCATGCTCTTGGACAGCGAGCTGCTCATTAGATTTGTCTTAACAGCCGTTGTGGTCTGCAGCTCAACCACTGTGTGCTCCCGCTACACAAAGAGTGGGTCTCTTATGTGTGCAAGCGTGGGTGCGGTTGTGGATGTGACCAGAATTTTTAGCAATGTTGCAGCAATGAGCAGTGGACACACATTAAATTAGTCTGCTCTCATCTTTCCTGGCCCTATTATCTGAAAATGAGATCTACATGCTCGTCTGTTGTGCAGCTATCTGCGATCCAGTTCTTCTAAATTCAGGGTGACATTTTCAATTATCCTCTCATGGCATTCTCTAAATGGTCAGTTCTTGAGGCAGAAGTAATACTGGTAGTCCAGGTAATGAAATACAGATAAAAATCACTGTAGGTCCTTGTTATGGAGATGGTGTCATTCCCTCTAGTTAACTATGGTTTCAGATCAGGATTTATGTGTCTGTATATAAAATGTTTTAGCTGTTTTCTTACCTTGCCGTAAGTCCAGCCAAGCTCAATTTTGTTCATGCCCCAGAGTTCATGGATGTTCTCAGCTAGTTTGTCACGCACATTTTCAAGATGTGGAGGCAGAACAATCTGTCGAATATAAAGATGGTGTTTTCAGTCCTTTCACGTTTGCAAAAATAAAGTCTTTGAAGGGCCCACATTATTCTTGTATTTTATTTTTTCCATTTATAACATTTGGGTTTATACAGCAAAAACAGTCAAAATTACATTTTAATATGACCATTTTTCACCACTTTTTTCCATTCAAATTAAACAGGGTGTTTTTGTTACTATGCCTTTAGGTCTAGTATATGCAAATGAGCTATGTTCTGACTGTACTGTGCCTCATTTAGAAAGCAGTCCAGGTTGAAACACTTTTTTATAATTTCAGCATGAATGGGCAGAGCTAAACTGCTGTAGGCTGAATAGGTGGATATATGTAAATGGTAGAGACAGAACGATCGATCAGCTACGTCTCGGTATCGGCCGATTTTCAGCCCAACTATGAGATCGGCCGATATCAAATCAGTGATGTAAAACATATGACCCATATTTAAGGATTGCTGCAGCCCTGTGTGAGGCCCCTTGCTCACAGGACTTTGCAGTTCCTTGTTCAAATGCTAGATGGAAATATAGACCTTTGGACTTTTGACTACAGGACTAAAGGCCTATTTACCCAGAGTTTGATTTTTATAGAAAATGCAAGTCAAGTTTTGAAAATGAACACACGTATGTTGATGCCGTCTTTCACACTGAGTCCAAAAATGACGGACTGAGACACTGTGTAAGTATTTGTCATTGTTGCAGCACACAGAGCTCAAAAGCTTAAATGAAAAGCAAATGCTGACTAAAAAAACGCGGAGGTTGTAGACAATATATGGCAGAGGAGAGCTAAAAGGCTATGAACACCTGCTGGAAGTACGTTATAGCAACTGTATTCAACTATAGTTTATTCACTCTTTTTTTACTGAGAGGAGCAATAAGCAGAAGCAGAGCCTCAAATTCCTACAATGACCTGTGAAAATACCTGCAAAATCACTTATTATGCAGCTTCAGCTCGTTCCTGTAAGAGGTGATGGGACTTCCCATGTAGTTGTCTTTTTTGTAGAATGGGATATACCCAGTGTATGCACTGTTTAAGTTATTTGCAGTGCTTAAAATAAAAAAAGTTTTCAGAGTATTTAGACAGAAAAACCCTTTGGACTTGGTGTGAAGGTCCCACTACGTTGAAATCGTATCCATTTTTTTCTTCTGAAAAAATAGAACTTGGTGTGAATAGGCCTTAACAGTCCAGCCCACCCTCGACTGGTATCAGATGTCGCCCAGTCATGTTAAGAGGTGATCAACGACCGGTATTAGCACCAAAACACTGATAAAAGACATTTAGGAGTGAAAAATTAAGGCAGATCATTGCAGCTTAGTTTCCATATGTGGACTGTTTGGACTGGAGGGAGTGTTCTGAAACTTAAATAGTATTTATACGCTACATCAAACCCTATCATTTCAAAAAAGTGAGAAATATAGTGTCCATGATTCCCTTTAAGAAGGAATAGACAGAAAAATAAATAGTACGTAAAAATTTAATAAAGAAGACAAGGGTATAATGACTAATATCCAATCAGTTATTTCATACTATGCACTTCAAGCAGTTACACTGCTCTACAATGGATGTTGTTGTTTACAGGCTCTCTATAATAATTGGTCTTATAATAATAAGGTCTTTTTTGTGCAGTTGTTCAGTGTTCTTGAAGTACTGATGATACCCATAATACACTCAGAAATGTGTATTGTGACATAATTTATCAATAATGATAACATATCATCGTACTATCCACCTCTGGTATTATATGTAAGTGTAAATTGCTAAACATCCCCAAAAGGCCAATAAAAAATAAAGAATAGGAATAAAAAAACATAAACAATTAGAGAGAAAGTACAAAAGGAAATAGAACATAGGAGTTTTCGTTTATCTGACCTGGCTGGTATTGACTGGTATGGGGATGAAGGAGGCCTGAGAGAGGAATTGAGTTGTTCCCAACAAGTCCCTCACTCCCTCTAAATCTCTCTTATACTCCTTCACAGGCTCCACACGCATCTTTTCTTTTGGGAGCAGGGCCTCGTAACAAGGTGCGTAGCCGGCTGGGGGCATGAACTTAAAGTCACCATGGCGACCTCCCAACAGGAAACGAACCCTAGAGAAAAACGATATAGTAACATGTAATTGGTTCTGATCCATTATTCATATCATTTAACATGCTACACTGAGTTCAGACAAATACAATCCCCAAAAATGTCTTTTATGGTGAAGTCTGGAATCAGCTGTGAAGTTCAGTGAGTAATGGCCTGTCAGCATTCACTATAGAAAACTTGTCTTGCATTTCAAGGTGAATGGAAAGAGGAAGCAATTGTGTCCACCAAAACCCACTGGAAAAGTGCTCTCAAATGTTAAGACCCCAAGTTCAATGGTGAACTAAAAATAGTTGAAAAAGCACCTTTGAGAATTTCTGCCAGACTTTGTTCTCATCAATAATTACGACTTGCTACACTTGTTCTCTGTTGTACTTATTCAAACTTTTCACGCAGACATACTTTAGAGCAAAAGATTTAAAAAATGACCCTGTCTCCTCAGGTCTCTAGTAATTTCCATAATTTCATACAGCAGCAGATAAACTGTCTCCATACTCCCACCGGTTATTTATGTAGGAATGTAATTATGCAGGGCAGGTGAGCAGTGTGTGGCAACAGTGGCTGCAGGACTAACTTGACCCCTGCTGAGAAGCTGACGACGGGGAAGAAGAAGCCATCAGTGTTGAAGTCTTCAAACATTCCCTGCACAGGCTGGCCGTTGATGCGGAAGGACATGCTGGGTGCGCCGAGGTCCAAGCAGCAGCTTACCACATCATCTGAGTTCAGCAAGTGCTGGTTAATGGAGGCCACAGCCCGTGGGATTCTCCCTGTCACACACAGAGTGACTGGTTAGTAAGTGCTTTTTAATGCTCTGTATAGTGACGTGCTCTGCCATTTAGTTGAGTTAAGCTTTGAGGCAGGAATTTCTGAAAGAGATTGTGATAATTCTTATTAATTCTAATAATTCAAGCTATATAAATACTGTACTGTGGACAAGTCAGAAACAATGCTTAATTTATTTAATTTCCAGTCAAAATAGACATTAAGTACAAGTTATTTTTTTCAGGAGGTATCACATATAAGGTAATCAACTTACACAAGGAAGGTGAAAGTCAAATGAAGTGAAGATTCCAACAAGAGTTTAAAAATGATTTAAAAATAAGGAAACTGTAAGTCCTAACAGCAGTATAAGACCTGGCAAACTACTAAAACTGCCACCATCAGATAAACAATACTTAAAGCCTTTATCTTTGAGAGAGGAGAAGCTCCACTCTTCCTTCAGATTTGAAAAAAATCCACAGGTCTTTCTGGTCATCCTTCCACTGTGAGAAGACAACTCAATGCTATGAGTCTGAAAGGATGTGTAGCTGTCAAGAAACTGTTAACTGAGAAAATGAAATCGACGAAAGACAAATTTGCACATCAAACACAGAAGCTGCTGGTGTTCTCAGAACACTGGACTGACCACCCCAGAGTCCACACCTCAACATCACTGAATGTGTTTGGGGTTACCTGGACTGTGAGAAGCAGAAAATGCAACCAACTTCTAAGACTGAACTTGGGAAAATATTCTTGCACATTTATTTGAAACACTGAAAGCAAGTCTCCTGAAAATAATGGAAGCTGTAATAAAGGCAAAGGTGGACACACTAAATACAAAAGAAAATTATATAACATTTGATTAATTACATACAGAAAGGCTTTTATGTAACTTTCTGTTAAATATATATTGTCTTCTTTTTTTCCTGATGTTGAATCAATGAATAACGTCTATGGCTGTTTTTGCTAGAAATTAAATAAATGATGGGTCTCTGACTTCTGCACAGTACTGTACTTTGCCCATCAAATGTTTGGGAACACCAAACGTTTTTGCATTTTCCAAGTAATGTTTGATATCCACCGTTACTTTTCAAATAAATAAGACAATATACCTCCAAAGCTTACATAAAACAGCTATGAGCCCTTTTTTCATGTTTATTAGCTTCACTGGTATGAAGAGCAGGTTTTGCCTAAATAATATATTAATTAGATAAATATATTAATATATTAAATAAAATATTAATTAATTAAGAAAAAATATCTTTAAAAGCTCATATTAAAAATATTTTAATATGGTTTAAACAGCTGAAAGGCTTGAGCAGTGATCAACTGACATCACAACGAGAGGATAAAATAAAGGGGTTTTGGCATTTACCCAAGAATAATTATTCCCAAATACTGTCATAAATATTGTCACAAATATTTATGTGTGATATTCGTTTCCTCCAAATACACAGTTACTTTATATGTTAAATTATTGAAATCTGATAAGAAAAAATGCTCATTTATATTTAAAACATTTTTTTTTGAATTGGTGCCACCACACACATGATGAGCATAAATGTGCATATAAATTAGTTAATATGTTCTTCAGGTTTGTATTAACTACATCAGGTTTGTAACAGTGACATGCTCATCAGAACCCAGCAAGTACCTGACCACAAATGGAGACCATCAAAGCTGTAGGAGTAGAGATCGTCCCCTACACCATTCCCTCCCCAGCCCTCTCCACCTCCGGGGTACGGAGCATAGCCTTTTGTGGTGGCCCAGCCTACGCGCAGGTGGGTGGGTGAGCTGGTCACAAAGTGGTCCACTTGGTCAATTATCAGCTCATAGTACCACTTCTTATACTGGGCTGAACCCTCGCTCATGCCCAGGAAGATGTTGGGTCTCATACTGTCAAAAAGACAAGATACTTGGTTTACCATACAGATCTGCTGGGAAAGCGAGTGCTCAAATATTAATACTGAGAAGAACATGAACAAACTCAAAATATCACATACGATATGAACATTTTAAGTACTTTTTTGCAGATGTCAGAGTGCCATGTTTACCTTTGAACATCATTGACCAACTGTGTTTGGAGCAGCACATCCCTCCTGGGCAGCAGGTGTTCAGCAATGAAATTCTGATTGGCTCTGACCGCCACTCCATTGCAGACACAGAGAGAGCAGAGAATGTCCAAAATCTACAAGGGTGTTATGGGGAGGAAGCAGGTTGTGAAGAGCATTTTAATCAGTGGGCTGCCTACAATAACATAACACAACAATACAACACAGCCTATGAGCTAAATGATAGTCTTAAGGCTATATAATGTATGTGAGAGATTGGGCACCACTGGTCTAATTACACATTTTTATCGATTTTAAATGTAGACCTTTTTATTGCAGTTAAAAAGGTTAACATAACATCTGCATGGAACAAATCTGAATGCCCAATTACCATTTCTTTACTAAATTTTATATATTAAAAAAAAAAGACAAAATAGCTTATTCCACTCATTAGGGCTTAATTCAAATCAGGTATAGACAATTCCAGCATGTAATGAATTATGTGACCTTTCCAACCTTCCAAATGTACAAATATTTAACAGAAAAAAAATGAAAGAAAAAAATGTAAGGAAAAAAAATCTCTGAATAAACTGCTCATAGACTAGGCAGGTATGCAAAGCAAAACTCCCACGTTACATGGAAGGGTCATCAAAAGGAAAACTTACCTGTGATCTCATTAGTGAGTCAGTCAGCGTGTGAAGTAGTCAGCATTAAGATAAACCAGAGGCATTTTGGAAACAAAAACTGATCTCTTTGGCCACAATTACCAAAGGCATGCTTTAAAGAAAAGGACACCTTACCATCCCTTTGGGGTTGTTAGACAGCCAGCAGCATATGAAATATTGTGGAGATAGAAGAAAGGAAGGTATTCTACTAAATATGACCAATTCCTGATTGTTAATGCTCTGAGACGGTGAAGAAACTAAAGATAAAAAAGTTGGACAAGACAATGATCCAAAACATACATTAAAATCGACCTGAACTACTTCAAGAAATGAAGGATTAAGATTTTGAAATGGCCTTTACCATCCACGTACTTGAATACTGTGAAAATCTGTTAATAGATCTCAAAAATGATATGCATGCAAGACCAACAAATATATCAGAACTAGAAGAGTTATGCAAGAAAAACTGAAAAACAATTCTTGAATCCAAAAAGAAAAGACTGTTAGCTGGCTTCAAGAAATATTATAATATTTATAATTATCATTAATATTTCAGCCAAATAGGGTCTTTCTAAGTACTGACTGAAAGGTGTCCAAACTTATGTGCATGTACCGTTTTATGTTTTACTTTTTCCAATGTTAAATTCAGCAAGTAAACAATGAGTTTGCATTAAAATATGCAGAAATAAGTCATATTTATTTTGTTCCAAGCAGAGGTGGTATTCATTTTTTTAAAATCAACAAATGTGTCATTTGACCAGGGGTGCACAAAATATTGCATATAACTGTGCATTTAAACTCTACCACTTAGAATGGTATGACAGTGTAGCATGACGGCCATCTCCAATAATGAGTTTATGAGTGTACTTGACCTAGATTTTACAAGGCAGTAGAATTCTTAAGTGACCCTGGGTCAACATATTAGGGTAAACATCTGCCCCTTGTTAAATTGGAGGAAACCAATAAACCATTAATCTGAATTCCTGTAAATGAAGTCACATTCAGCAAACAAATCTTACCATCTTCACATACTATTCATTGATTAAAGCAATTAAGGCTTTTTTATACAGGGCTGCATTTAGAAAATTACACTTGAAATATTGGTCTGTCTCTTATCCTGACAGTCAGCTCCAGAAGGATTAAAGGTTTTTCTCAGGATGAATGGTATTCTAAATTATTTACATTTCACATTTACATGGAACTGAATCCATTTCAGAGACACCTCTGTTTTTCCACTTAGTCATTTACACTCTGCAGAACTATCTCTAGTGTCTCAGTGTGAAGATATAATGTATGGGGCTGGAGTTAGAACAGTGGCGCAGTGTGCTGTAGCAGATGCTTTCTGTTCTGCAGACAGCTACGTGTGAGGTGACTGCTTTCGCTGACCTTGTGGTTACGTCCGTGCTTGTAGAGGAGAGAGATGATGGATTTGATGTGGTCTTTCTGGATGATGTTCAGAGCCTCTGGACTCTCTGTCAGGATACAGTGTAGGGCCTCGAGAATGCCTGCAGAGACGACCAACTGTCAGTGGTTTGTTTCTAAGTCTGTACAAGCTAACTTTGAAATACTGCAACAAACATGAGATTTTACAAGCACAAAAGCCGAAGACTGAAAGATGAGCAAGCACACCTCAGCAATTTAAAGCTTTCTATTAATGCTGCAGCCACTGGACTACATGCCACTGCACTAAATACTGAATACAGGATTGTTATGCATTATACCAGGATACTCATAAAAGCGTTTTAGAATAATAATGAAGATATCAAAACTCTAAAATATCACATTTTAGAATAAGTACAACAATGAGTAATATTGGCCTCATACCAAATAAGGCTATTTAGACACATCCTTCCTCAAAACACATATGACTGGCTTAAATTCATTAATGAGGACAGACATTGTAGATAGTATTCAGAATGACTGTGGTTCAACATTTTCAAACTCTGATTGACCAAAAGTTTTGAATGAATACACTTTCCACAAAAATTTTGAAGTAAAAAATAATTTAAAAAGAGCTCATGTAAGAAGGGCAGTGTGGGTAAGGCAGATTGGACACTAAACATGAATGATTGATTAATCCTACAGAACCAAGTGTCTTGTTCTTGTATCCATGCTGTGAATCTGGCTCATGTAACTCTGCTGCCAGAGCAGTTACAGCATGTGCATGTCCATGTTAAATATACTGGAATGTATCAGCATGTAGAATTGACACTTTCTGTGTGCATCCGCATCTTCTATTACAATATAAAAGATGCACAAAGCTTCCTGTATTGCTGGATGCACAATTGTGCAGGTTAATTCAGAGTGCAGTTCAGATCAGTAAGTGCATATTATTGTTTTAATTAGCTGCTTTATTGTCAGATTAATTTGAGTAAATATGTGAAAAAATGTAAACAGAATGTGACTAATGTCAGACTTATATTCCTATTCATGTTTTTTTGTTCAAAACATTTTGAAGACAAACTAAATAAAACCCAGCTTCATTAGATCACATATTGTTCACACATCAAATAAATGCAACAACACCATCAGATAACTGTTCATAGAATCCTTGTAGACAACCCTATCTAGAACCATTCTCATCAGAAGGCAACCGTGGTAGTCTTTCCCAAGGTCTCTTATTGTGGCATTTTCTTGTTGGTATAGCACTGGCATGCTTCATGGCCATTAGCGTGCTCAAACTTCAGTATCATTTGTGTGGGGTAGTAGTGATATCCATGATGTTATCCTTTTGAGTGAGTTTAAAAAAAGAGAAATTCCCACCAGTAGTGATTACACAAGCATAAAAACAGGATGCTAAATTATTGGTTTAAATAATCAGCAATACTTTCATCATTAAATGCTCACATTTCCTGGCAAATAATAAATTGGCCAACAATATATTCTGCCCCCCTACTTTAAACATGGGCCTTTAGAGCAAAATGATTTTTGACATGCAGACATTTAATCAAGCATGTCCTGACTTTTGACTGGTATTGTATATTGCCGCTGTCAGGACAAAACATTGTATCTCCATTTTTGTCACTTTTCATTTTTTGACATAATTTGAAAATGCTAAAAGCCCTTTACATTCTGTCAAACATGCATGGTAACCAACCAGTACAAAGGGTCTAAAATTACTTTAAAAAATAACTGCTGCATTAACTTCCATTAAAAGTTACAAATATTTTTTCCTTCTCTTGTAAATCATAATTTTGGACATTCAAGGTTTTGTTTCCACAGCAACGATACACATTAAACCTATGTGTATCATTGCTGTGTATCTGCATTACTGAATTACAATTCTAAATATATAAAAATTGATTCCTAACTTTTGAACAGTAAGGTATGAATATTATTAATGGATGGGAGATGGGAGAACATGAGAGTGCATGTGGTGTATACCTGAAGAGGATTCCAGCCGTTCCAATTTGCTGACCAGCCAGTCCAGTTTGCGAGAGAACTGAGTACAGTTGGGTCTGTTTCCTCGGATCAGGGCAGCTGGAGGACGAGAACAAAAAGCAATAAAGGTGCTGCCTTCTTTTCATTAATAATAAACCTCTGACCATTACTGCATGTCCTTCATATCCTTCACGCACAGGGTGGTCCACCTGACGGGTGATATTCTGAAAACAATTTACCGGTGCGCTTAAGGCAGACTGTGAATAAAATGCTAAATGAGAGTCTGTGAGCTAACAGATTCATTCCTCAGGGAGTAATCCATCAACAGCAGGCAGAGAACTCTGAAGGGAGATTGGAATCACACTTATGACTTGCGTGGGAGCCCAAACACCCCGAGCAGGGCAGCATTGTGAGGCAGTAAATGGATCTGTCAGAGACACTGAAAGCAGGCGGATGTCACCAGCCCGATGCGTCATGCCCACTGTCCTGCACCCCAGACACAACTTTCCCTGAGGGTGACCTCCACTCTTTTTCTGGGGACATGAAGTCTTGTAAAGTCTCAGCAGGAGGGCCTGATAAATGTGGAGGCAGTCAAGGTGAACCAAGGGAAGTTTTCACAATCACAAACCCACAGAGCATATATAAAATGCAACAAAAACAACAGCTCCAGCAGAGCAGAAGCTTCAAAAGGCAGAAATCTTTCCATAGAAGAGTGTTAAAATAAATAACAGTCTCATTTAATTATTACTAACTAAACACAGAAAGAAAATAAGAAAATTTTTGTTAAAAGATCACACATCTTGTGACCTTCAATTTAACTATCTTTAGCATAATTTAAACTAACTTAGGACAAGGTTAGGGTATGAACGGTGAAGGTAATTAGTATCTTGTCCATGACACTCAAATAATCAAGATGTCATAAATAAAGTGCCATACTTAATCAGTGTAAGGGCAAATTAATCCATTTCTGATTAATTATGTCTAAACTGTAACAGAGAATACTTCACTTATTATTTGCTGGAAAAACATAAAGTCACTATTCATTACTTTACTTTTAAGTTACTCTCTAAAACCCATACAAACCTGTACCCTTTGGAAAGTGAAATAGTCATTTCAGTACTTTATAAAGAAATAGGCAATCATTTAAAAGACATTGAAAGTCCCGAAAAAGTTTGTGCCACTGTCCAATTACTTATAGAGTGCGTCGAGACTGCAATGTCCCTCATGTTATAAGCACTTACGAACTAAATGTGTGTCTGTTATTACATTCTTACCAAGCAGCTCATAGAGAAGGTTAAGAATGTCTTTCCAAGCCTCCGCAGCCTCCTCGCCTGCTAATTCCTCAAACTCAGCTGCACTGTTGTACACATTGAGCCGGTCAATGCAAACAGAGACCAGAGTGAGCATTCCCTAAAATAGACAAACAAAGAAACAAAACATCATCCATCACTATGGTCTGCATTTCTCTCTCTGGTCACTTTTCCCCAAGCTTCTAAGTTTTCCACAAGTGTTAAGCAAACAAGAGTTTGTTTTTACAGCAGTTTGAGATAATTAGACTGTAACTTTATAAAGCGTTTGATCCTATGATCATGCATTTCTGTATGTAAAGAAGCATGTTTAAATGTAATATGAGGTTGATGTCTTATTTGATAAACTGATTTAAACCCTTAAATGCACGGGTGTTTCACCAAATGTTTGTCTATGCTTTCGGTAATTAGTCCGGGTGCCGGACAGATGTGTGTCAACAAAGTGATGTATAAACTGCCATGATAGAGTAAAACTGTCAAAAGTATTTTATTAACAATAACAAAACAATAAAATCTGTTATACTTTAATATATTTGCTTTCCACTTATCTAAAACAATGGAAAATGAGGTCACAGGTTCAACATGAAGTACACACGGTTAAAAGGAGATTCAGCTGACCTCTCATGTGAATTGAACTCACCTCCTCTTTGAAAAGATCCTGGCGTTTGATGAGTGAGCGGAGCTGCCGCTGCTTCTCCTCATGATCCAGCTCTGAATCAGGCTGCTGGAAGTAAGCAATGAGATCGTTGAGGGTCTGCAGCACTTCTCCCACAGGAAGGCTCACCTCTGAGGCCTTCTCTCCCTTCAATGCATCCAGCCCTCTGAAACACAGCAAGACAGAAAGTTACTAAAAAAGAGCATTAAATAACGGTCAGGTTGCAACCGGGTTGTTCAGTGATTCTGGCTGCGAACACTCCCTGTATGGAGAATGCGTAAATGTCTGTACTACTGTCAAGCACAGTGATAGAGGTAGTACTGAACCTGATGAACTGCGTGAAGAGCTGTGTGGTGTTGCGGATGATGCGGGCCGCTCTAGACTCCTCATGCTGACAGAGCTGCAGAATTAACCCGTCATCCATGTGGCCCTCTGGATAGAGGAAGGCCTGTGCACAACAGAGACTCAAATTAATCCTCACTAACAGCCTTACAACATACTAAACACAGCTTATTTAGATGTAGTCCTCCTTTACAACTTCAACTTGTTACTTTTAAAATTATTACCAAATAATTAGGCTCAAAGCCATTATAATATTCTTTATATACACACATCAGCTGAATTCTGCATATATGAACCAAGACATTAAAGTGCTCCTTTTATGCAGGGCTCTATTTGAGGGGGAATATAAGGGGATGACATCCCGCCAAGTCAAATACAATGACAAAAACTATCCCCTTTGTGAAAAATGACACCACCCCCTTTGGAGCTCTTCTGATCTTTATCAACATAATAGTATTGAAGGGGAATGCAACTGAGCTTAGTTAGCCTTAGCCTGAACACTGAAACATTTTGTTTGTACCTTCAAATAAAAGATAAATTTAATAATTAAATCTGCGGCAAAGACATTTTTTACTTTCCATAGCTGCAGTGTTGCTTGGTGCCGACTTCTTCTTAGTGAATATGTGTGCCCCTGAGGACGTGATTCATAAAGGAGAACGTGAATCTGAGAGGCAACTGAATCGGAGGCAACACTCTGGTGGTATTGTTTTGCCCTCTATACATAATGCACAAAAATAGATATACGAATAGTTCAAACCTATGTGTTTGTCCTTTTTGGACAACTTTGACAGCCCTAGGCGCAAGACAGATGAGCAGCACGTATCACGTCAACAGTAGCTTCAACATGAGTTAGACCTGTCAGCAGCGCAGTCATCATGTCAGCTGAGTGGAGTCAGTAATGCAGCCAACTTGAAGCCTTAAGATGCCACGTCTACTGTACTGTGTTCCACTGTAAATTTTATATTGGAAATGTTATTATTTTTGTTAATTTTTAAGTTATGGCATACACTGCAACTTGTTTTCTGATCTGTCATTGAGGTATGGGCTACATTGAGTGTTGAAACTTTTGCACACAGTTGCAGTTTAAATTTCATTTTTAAATGTTTGAGTTGTGCTGATCAATCAAAAATGCTGCTTGTGTGTGTGAAAACAGCTTGAATAAAAAGAAACAGCTGTACTGCATAACTGAGTCATGCTGTGGGCTATAAAATATTTGTTTTACAGCTTGAGCATGATGTTATTCAAATGGCTGGGATCAGTGCATCCAAGCAAATGCATTATTAATAGCTTGGTCGTTTAAGGTAGAGAAAAAGACAGTACTGGATTGGTATCAGTATCGGCAGATACTCAAGGTTGTGGTTTTCGGTATCTGTATCGAACGTGCACTGAACGCACTGCATGATGGAAAGAAATCACACGTCACTTTTAAAGATTGCGGTATCAGTATTGGTATCAGACAGTGGTATCGAGCCACCCCTAGTCATAAACACTATTTTAGCATCCCACTTCATTTTTAATTTTAGCTGAATCAACTGCCTATTGAACAGCAATGCATACAATTAAAAAAACGTTTTTTTCTGTACACTGATTCATATTTCTAGTCTGAGAGGGTGTTTTTTCTACTCTAACCCAACTAATCAGTCAGTAAACACACCCTTCTTGAGCTACAGCAGGTTTGTTAAAGAAGCGAAAACACTAAAATGCGATTAATGAATGGTCAATATGTCCATGGTGCATGTTGTATCAGTGTGTCACTGAGGTATTAGACAGTGGCTGCATCATGGGCGCAGAGGTGGCCATGTTGTTCCTGGATCGTGTCCCAGAATCAAGCTGCATGCCACCGCACTGGGAGATGAGCTCTCCGTCCGTACGCCTAATCCTGACCACTCTCACAAAACACACTGTCGCCATGCCTCCCTCATTATCACATTTAAAACGTGGCCTCATATGTCCTGCACTCTGACCAGAGTCTACTGCCATTACGCTCGAGCTGACATGGGCCTGTCTCACAAAACCTCTAATCTGGGCTCAGCTCATAATTTACACTTGACAGATGTGGTCACTCAAACCGCAACGATGTAACTGCGTCAATGTGACTGGGAGATTAAGTTCAGAGGCAGTTTCAGACCTCCTGAGATTACTGAGTGGGCTGCATGCTGTGCGTTTTTCTTTGCAACTCATAAAACCCCTTCCCTTCTCTATGTAGAGCTTGTAAGGTCAAATTTCATTATGATATAGCATGAATAAGTATTCTCCCCTAGCCTGTGTAAATGTATCTATGATTCAGTGAAGGGTAATTGCATAAATCCGGTGATTGACTACTATAAACATAGAAAAAAGAGCAATCAATTACTGAAAAACGACTCGTTTTGAGTGCTGAGGAACCTCATTGTACAATTAACAATGAATACCCAATAAATGAAACATTAATTCATTAAAAAAATGAACAGTCTCAATCTTTTTAACAGCACAGTCCAAACTGCAACCAACAACAGTGACAGACTGGTAGAGGATTTTAAAAGGTGGGGTTATGGATGGCACAACGCACATGATTAGCCTCTGCTTTGTCATAGTCGAGGATCCTTTTATCACCAAATTGCAAAGTAATTAGTTTTATAGCCCCATTTGATTCTCAACGTGAAAATTACACTACAGGACTATTTTGACAATGCTTCCTCTGGCTTGCCATGCGCGGCTGGTATAAAAGGTACCTTGATTAACATAAGAACGTTTCCCATTTATAATGCGCTTTATTCACTGTACCGATTTAATAACAGGAACAGAGCTGGGCTGTGTTGTAAAAAAACACTTTCCTTTGACTTTTTTCACTGAAATCAGAGTATTGTTATACTTGGCTTGGTTTGGAAGTTCATACAGCCATACTGGCTGCAGCCAAAAAAGCAAACCCTTGAGTTCAACAAGAAAAGACAATGCAATTTGTGAGTTTTGAATTTCTTCAGGCAAATAGGTGGTTACATAGTGAACACTTGGTCAGTTGTTTACTGTACTACTGCATTGCCTCCAACTCCTCACCCTTCTCTTGAGCAGACCCAAGCGGGAAGATTTTGCGTCCGGCGCCTGGTAGGATAGCCAGAGTCCCGTGGCCACGTGCATAATGAAGCAAACAGAATCACCATACTTGATCTCTGCCACCCCCATGCCGTCAATATCCCGCTTTGGACCAGAGTCCACTTTTTCCTGCCAAGGAGAAGACAAGGCAAATGAGTCTCACACAGCAATTAGAGAGGTAGCTGATTTGGCAATGCTCGTCCATCTCTCCTGCCAGAGCCCTCGGTATCAGTGACTTCAAAAATATTTCAAGCTTTATTGAGATGGAATAGACAGCAATTTGCAGCAGTGGGAAGCAGATGCTTCTCTGACTGAGTAAATCAAAGACAGAGAAAGATAGGTTGGTGACCTTCTTGCACAACAACTTGTTACAGCAAAGGCATGACTAATGAATCACTATAATAATGATCAACTCATAGGCTGACAATTAGGAATCGAGAAGACAATGTACCAATTACAAACCTGGAACATTTACAAACAAGGGTCGCATTATGAACATCGCAGTCATTTAAGTGTGTGAGATGGAGCAGAAAGTCACAGATATCATGTGAGTTACTGCAGGATGTGAGTTATTGATCTGTCTCATTGGGGAAATGTTTTATCATTGTGGGCACCACTGAGTTTTAAAACACATCATTAATCCACATTTAACCTTTCGTACAACAAAATCATACCTTGCTTGGCCTAAAGCAGAAAGAGGTGGAAGTGGTATCAGACTTCTCTCTGTCCACCAGCACCAGGCCACGGTCCTCTGTCTGGCCCAGGTAGTGGCCAGTGGACAGATGACGCAGACGGAAGGGCTGACCCCATCGCATATGACTTCCACTCCAGCTGTGTGATACAAGAGAGCACACAAAACACATGTGTAAGTTCCACCCTAGTGAACAACATATTGTTCACTGTCTCTTGCACACCATGGGGTGATCTATGCATGAGGCATTTGGGTAAAGAAACGAATGACCATAATTAATGATTTGGCTTTATACATACAGTACTGTGCAAAAGTCAGAGACCACCCCTTCATTCATACAATTTCCAGTCAAAACAGCCATTAAGTACAAGTCATTCATTTTTCAGTGTTAGGAAAAAAGCAGAAAATATATTTAACAGTAAATTGAAAAGAAGTCTCAACAACCAAATATAATTTCATGCTTTACTATTCAGAGTGTTCAGCCTTTGCCTTTATTACAGCTTCGATTCTTTTCAGGAGACTTGCTTTCAGTTTTTCAAATAAATTTGCAGGGATATTTTTCCTTACATACAAAGTTCGGTCTTAGAAGTTGGTTGCATTTTCTACTTGATGACAAAGTTGTATTTGTTTATTTGTTTATTTTTAGGATCCCCATTAGCTGCTTTTGCGATAGCCGCTATTCTTCCTGGGGTCCAACAGACATATCATACATAACAAAAATAGTGCAGTAACATCCCAAAAAGTAATCTCAAAACATTTAAGTAGTGGGTAGTCAAGTCTTGCAGGGTTGTTAGGAGTCCTATTGTCTCAATATTTTTTAAAAATTAAAAAAAAATAAACCCCAGTTTGTGAAACTCTTTTGGGAAATTGTCTTTTGAATTTCCCCCATCCTTCAGCAAGTGAATTATCTTATAGTTAGTGTTCTCATAAATGTATCCTAAAAATTAATAACTTAATGGCCATTTTGATGGGAAATTAAATAAATGAGTGCTTATCTCTGAGTTTTGCACAGAACTGCAGAAAAAGCTGTCTTGAAGGATTCTTATCCTTTAACACAGTATTTACAACTAGTATTGCAGAATGTAACGACAGCTGAATACTTCCTTCTGTCTTTCAATACAATGACATACTAAAGAATTCAATATTCCAACTTTTTGTTTGCATAGGTTAACACCGCATTAATGTTGTATTCTGCCTATGGGCAAACCAAATTATGCATGTTAATTTGACTTGGAAGGACACATTCATTAGTGTGTCTAAAATTAGCATATGCATACTAGCATACACGTGATACAGGTAAAGGGGGAACAAGATGTTAATTAAGCTGTAAAAACTTTAATATTTTAGTGTTCAATTCAAAAACACTGGTGTTCAAACAAAAGCAAGAGTTTCTATTTATTTTAGTTTTTTTTTTAGCATTATTTTCGTATCAGTCGTTGGGATACTTTTGGAAGTGAAGTAAACACTTTAGCATTGTAACAGCCCTACTTATGACCCAGCTATGAGTTGCAGAACTGCAGAAAAGAACTTTGCAAACTGAACTAACTTCGAACTACTCTTTGGGAGTTCTCATTCATAATTGAATGTGACAGCTCAAAGAGAGCAATGTCATCTAAAATTTAGCCATCCGAGTCCAAACCCAGGCAGCACTGTATGAGTGGTTTTCTGTCTGTGTGTCCGATAGTGTGTTCATTCACCTGATCCGAAGTGGCTCCAACCTCCACAGAGACCTGGCCTTGGACCCTCCTTTTCCAGCCTCATAGTTCACCAGCCTGTAGCAGCAGACAACACTTAGAGACTCTTCTCACTCAGACAGTGCAAATCCTACACAAGCTAGCAAAGCTTAGCGAAAGGTACTTAGGAATGATTAGGGATAAGATAAACCTAATGATAACATACTTCTATGTGTTTCAAATTTATTCATTTCAAATTGTATTAATTTTATTATCGGTGTTAAATTCCACCTTTTTAAAAAGATCATGTTGGAAGTCAATATTCCACTACATTCTCCTCATAAACCACGCACCAGCATAAGTCATGTTTACATACAGGACAAACAGCACAATTTCTATTTTTTTAGCATAAGTTTAACACAATGAAAAATACAATATAAAATGTGCCATAACTTTTGCACAGGCCACATTTTATGTGTTTTTCCCAATATGTAAAATACAGAAAATAAACAGGAATTATGCTTTAAAATGTGCAGGAGGGTGCTCTCTATAGAGGATGTGTTAACTTCTTTTCACTTAGAAAATCAAACAAATGTAATTTCCCCAGGGGCGCACAAACATTTGCGTACAAACAAGTGTTAAGAGAAAGTTTAATATCGTGCCATCCATACTCATGATTAATATGGAATGTGTAACATTAAATGTTAACGGTAATTGTAATAGTTATTACAAGCTCTCACAGCTATTACTAGATAGTTATTACAGTTTGTCATACAATACAATTCTTGCAGTTTAGAAATATTAATAAATACAGAATTGCAAAACATTGTAATAAATAGCCATTACAAGCTGTTATTTAGAGGTCCTAAAAAATCTGAGATGGTGCAGCCCACCTCTGCTGTTCCTCAGACTGGTCAGATCCCGGTATTGTCATACTCTCATCATGGCCATGGAACAAACGGATCACATGTCCACCCCGTAAATATCCTAAGGATACACAAAGTGAAATTGTCTACAGGAGCTTATACTTTCAATAAAGCATAGAAAAAAACCTTATATTTATAAAATAAAGCCATATGTTTCTGATCATGGAAAGTCTGCTCACAGTCTGCTTGCCTTAATTTAGTGAAAACTCTGAAAACAGGTCATATATATGTGTCAATGTAGGGGTAGGAATGGCCTGAACTAATTGTCTAGGGAAACATTGGTTTGGGGTGCGCTGTTGTTGTGTGTATGCTGTTTGAAGTGAACTGACCTACTGCCACGTTGCTGCCAGAGCAGGTAGGCTGTACGTTCCACAGTGTTTGCATGAAAGAAGCATCCACTTGTATATTTCCATTGGACATAGACAGGTGCTGCAAAAAAGACAGGCCTAATTACTTTCACCAATAAAGAAGAAACACAAAACAGACAACAAGAGAACAATCCCTTAAGTTTGGTCAGCTGTAATTGTGAGCTTAATTCCCTGAGAGTTTCAGCAGGACTAAAAGTTCCTTTATCAACCAGAAAACCATGTTTTAGTGTAAATGTCATGTTTATTATTTCTTTGCTTAACCAATTAACATGCAGTTACAATATATTTAAAATCATACAGTGCAAATGTGCAAAAGTCAGAGACCACCCTTTGTTTATTTATGTTCCAGTCAAAACAGCTATTATATACAAATTATTTATTTTCAGCATCAAGAAAAAAATCCTGCTTCTCATGATCCAAGGAATACCAGTCACAAATTTAAATTCATTAGTCTACATGTGCACACACACACACACGCACATACCCACACACACACACACACACACATCATCTACACCGCTTATCCTTCTGGGTCACGAGGGGCGCCCAGCTGGCCTTGGGCGGAAGGCAGGAAACACCCTGGACAAGTCGCCAGTCCATCACAGGGCATTCATTAGTCCATTAAACCTTAATCCACATCTTAAAAATCCAGTTTCCGTGTTCAAGAGCAAATGTTCTTTTGCTGTCTATTTCCTCTGCTCAGTAACAGCATCTTGACAGCTACACAAAATGGATAGTAACACGTGGATTTTTTTCAAATCTGGAGCAAGAGTGGAGGCTGGTTTTTTCCTCTGAGAGATGGAAGCTTCAAGTACTGTTTATCTGATGGCAACAGTTTTAGTGGTCTACCATGTCTGTTAGAAGTGGAGGTACAAGTGGATTATCTTAGGTCTAATCTCTTCAGAAATCTCTCCCAAAAAATAGATAACTTGTACTTAATGGCTAGTTTGACTGGAGATTGAATAAATGGACAGTGATTTTTGAATTTTTCAAAAGCTTTTTGAAAAATGTTTGAAAGTACTGTCAACAAGAGGTTGACCAATTGATGAATTGAAGTGAGACCTTCTGAAAGTCAGGGCCTTCAGCTTTTGAGAGGGATTGATAAAAAGCACGGAAACCACACTGAAACAACTAAAATCCTTAAATATTGAGTGACTTTGAAGTTTTATTATTTTTATTATTTATTTCTCTCTATCATTTCAGACATTTGGTTTAGGGAAAATATTCTTTAAAAAAATCTACATTCTAAAACAGTTGTCTGGCAGAGAGGTTTGCAAAGCCTTTTCGTAGTCTATGTGTGGAAAATAATACTCACCAGGTACCTCTCTGAAGACACACTGACCAAGATGAGATCATCACCAATTCGAACCTTTTCACCTTCAGATCTCTGTTTCGAGGCTGGGTGGATGGTCCACCAACAAGCTTCCCCTATGAAAAGTAAATAAGAAATTCAGAAAACAAAAAAATAAAGATACAGTTACTTTGATTATTCTCCAGAACTGCAAATAAATCAGTCAAATTGTGAATAAATCAAATCTTTGCCATTGGCACTGTGAAAGACATTTCCGCTGACGTATCAAAATATCACATACGGGACTCCTGCAATCGCGGCTTTCTCAAATAATCATATCTGATTATCATATTCCGTTATTCTGGGTGGCCACAATACATAAAAATAGTAAGGCCTCTATGTTTCAGTGTGGATGTCAAGGGTCTGGAAGCAGCCCACTGAGTTGATGAATGAAGTTGCTTCTGTTTTTTGGTTCAAATGTCACAAAGCACAGCGACTAGTAAACTGCTGGACCTTGATTTCAAAGCAGGCTAAAAGGGGTTTAGCTATTGAACAGTCTTTTAGTCATTTAGCTGTCTATTTCAGTCTGGCATACCTGTTGAATCCTCTTGTAAGCCGACATCAAACGACAGCTTGTCTGTCAGAGACCTTGAAGTCTTTAGACAGGCCAGATACTGTGAGGAAAATAGTTCAGAAAAAAAGTTGTGCAAGAACATCAGAAAATAGCAATTAAGGGGCCCAAATATCTCAGAACAAAGTTGGTCCATTCATTAATATCACCCAGTAACATCTATTTAGCCATGTCTGTCTCTATAATTTATATTACAGCACTCATTGATAATGACTTTGAATCTGCAGTAGCTGTAAGCAGCAAGAGCCCAGCTAATCCACCTCCTCAGTGGCTTTAATCAGTGTGGCGCATTCTCACCATTCCACTAAAGGAATGCCTCAGTAGGATGGCGTGACCGTACAGCAGTGTCCGATGTCCGCCCCCCTGCCCTGCCTGCAGAAATGGAGAGAAGGACAGGGAGAGAGAAAGTTAGCGAGCAGCAGTGTGAATCTTGAGATTGGGAGCAAAAAGTTACTATGTTTCACAGCAAAGGGTCTTTTCAGAGGAGTTGTTTTTCTTGAAAACAACCGAGCACATGCTGGGCTACTCGGTTGTGTATGTTAGAGGAAGATTTCCCGTTCATTTGTTTGAACGAGAAAAAATTTCGTTGTTGTACCTTAGATGAGGAAATGTGGAGGGAAAAAAAGTGCCCCTTGAAAAAGCAAAACAACTTGAAAAGAACTTCATAAAAACAGGGAAAATGTATGAAAAATACCACAACTTTTGTCAAAATGCAAAGTCAAAAACAGAGACATACTTACCCGTCTTATAAACCTCTGAAAGCATTAAGGAAACAAAAGTTTCTCTTTGTAAAAGGTTAAATTTACAATATATGCATTGTATTAGGCAAAACTGGCAATATGAAAATAACATCATAAAATGACCCAACAACATAAACTGTTGCACAGAGGACGCTATTAGTCATGAGTTATAAATGAGAGTTTCTCGTCCTAGACTATATAACACGGTGGACCAAATAACAAATGGAGGAAAAGACACCATGTAAATAAATAGCCCTTCCTCTCAGCTGTTATTGTGAAGCCATGCTTAATATTGCAGGGCAGAAGTCAGATCTGTGGCTAACTGACCTTTGACTGCTTGTCAAGCCAACATCACAATATTGAAGGCTTGGTGATCATTTTAACTTGATTTATTTCAGATATCCACTTCATTCACAAGCTATATTGCTGAAAAAAACACTAATTGACTGCCTACTTCTTTATGAGAGCTATGTTTGCAAATGTAAGTTGAAAATGGTATTATATAACCAAAAGGTTCTGTGAGGAATTCAAACAGCTACAGTTTCTGGCAATAGACTAAAAATACAATCAAAAAGTGTACATGAAAGAAAGAAGCAACAGAAAAAAAGACAAAATATGCACATTTGTGTCTCAGGACATGTTCACCCTGGAATCAACATTCCAGAACATTTCCTCTTCCTTGGTACCCTTGAAATTTCAGTTGTGAGAATACATGACCTCAAACGACATATAAAGTCAAATACATCAAATACGTATTTTAAAACATGTATCTTACAGCCTGACAACAAAACATGGCAACTCAAAAAGTGGACAAGTCTTCATATCTGAGAAATGTGCTACAATAGTGTGCCCCTTATTATTGTTATTTGTTATTACTGTTTTCCCAGTCATTTTTAATGTTTAGTGATGTGATTATCTATTTCTTGGTGTTATAAATAGTAATATTAGATAGCAAGTAATTACACAGATCTGAAGCAAAGTGGAATGGAAAATAAACTCAACACTCTCATTTCAGAATATCTTCATAAACATTTAGAGCACTGAAGCCTTAGATTGCCATGATGTTTTGATGAAGGGGAAACGTACAGAGTGTTGCTGATGACATTCCTTTTTAATAAAAATATTGTGTGGCCACATCTTAGTAAGATGCATGGCCATGACTTCGTAAGATATGGGAATGACTTAAACATTTTATTCCCATGCCTTAGTAAGTTACCATGGCCACAAATGAATTATCTTGTCACCCCCCCCTTACAAATCTTGGCCACAACTTAAACAACATGACCTAAGTATCTCGTTCCCACATGTTATAAAATCATGTTTACAACTTAATAATCACGTTCCCACACCTTATGAAGTCTTGGCCACAACATCATCATCATGACTTAACTGTCTTGTTCCCATCCTTACTAAATTGTGTTCATACATAAGGATCCCTTGGGGTTCTGTATAAACAGCATATCATTGTTGGGCTTTTACTACAGACACTAAAAATGTAATTTTTGGATGCTCAATTACACCTGATTACACATCAATTACACTTTAGTAACTGCCCCAAACAGTAAGAAAGTGCTCTGAAATTTGCTTGTTTTTTGCTAGCATGAAAAGAGAGTGTGAAGTTCTGGTGATGTGAGAGCTGAAGAGATTAGTTACATTTCACAGATTAGTCATGTTAGTGTTTAAATAAGCCTTTGCAGGTTTAATTCCTACAGATTAAAAATTAATTTGAGTTTTACCTTTAAGGTAAGAGATCACTAAACCACAAGAAAGTTAGTTTGATTTGGTTTTAATACGCTTTTCGCACTCATGCATATTCTCCAAGTGGGGAATGAACTGTAAATATAACATACCCATCGTTCATGATCAGGATTCTAGCCATGTTGAACAGAAAATACAGATGTACAGTTAACAAAAGTAAAATACATGTACCAATTTGATAATCAATGCTAAGATTGTAAGTGATCTGGTAGTCAAAAGACTACTTTAACAGTCACAAACATGAGGTCCATTGTGTCACCAATTATTATACCAATATTAACATATGGTAATAGGTAAAAAAATTATTTTGTTTGAGTTTCACTGATAGCCTCAGTAACAGATTACTCTAATTTACTATTGGCAGTAGCTTGATTCTCTAGATAACCAGTCATCAGGTCTACTGGCTCTTTCTCTAGACCACAAATGCTGAGTGAAATACCTAAAAATATTTCTGCCATATATTTATATTGGTAGAATCTTGGAAAAAATGGACCAGATGTTGGTAACTGGTGAAACAATCCAAGTATTTGATAAAAATACAGGGAAAATGATTTCATGAATGTTGATGCAAAAGCACCAATAAAGTCAGCAAAACTGCACATCAAGCCATTCTGGCAGGCTATGGGATTTGATTTGGATAAAAAGGAACTAATGGGCAAAAGTAGGGTGAGGCACTATACCATCATAACCAGCAGTTTGTTATTTATGATAGTACGTACCTGGCTTGCGTTGTTAGTAAGTTTGTGTTGATGACCAGGTTGAGGTGTATGGTACCATATAAACTAAACAACTATACACTTAATAACTTATAAAGTCTTACAGCCTAGCTTAGAATTATGTTTTATGAGCCTTATTAGTCCATAATGAGATTTAAATAGAACTTCTAAAATCCTCCTCACCTAATGAATGTCAGCATGAGCATTAGTAGAAATGAAGAGTGTTGGTGGAGGCCTGTTGGCGGTCAGCGCTACACAATGACTATGTCATGAAGAGTAATTACTTACCCAAAGCCATAAACAAGCGAGTAGCACTACAGCTGAAAGGATATCGTTGCAATCTTTTCAATGCAACTAAAGGATGTAAATCACATGAGCAGAGTGCTGCCAGACTGCATCACTTAAAGCTGTTCTAATCACAAAAAAATCCCCACCTGTCATGAACCTGCCAACAAGCTGTTACATGGTTTTAAGAAACAGATACTAATTCTATATGAATTATCTAACGGTAATAAATGCTGTTGAGTGAACATGAAACAATCTTGAAATAACAGATCGTAAGTTCTAATTCAGACAAATTCTGAGAATGTTAGCACAGACAAACATGATATCAAGTGATTTTAAGTGATTCTGCAATAAACAGAATCAGAAAACTAGACGTTACAAAAATTACACCTCATTAGTTGGGCACTCACACATGGTTTTAACTATTATACAGTACTGTGCAAAAGTCAGAGACCACTCTTCATTTATATCATTAGCAGTCAAAATGTACTAAGTACACATATCATTTTCAGGAGATATTTATAGGAAGCCTTAGATTTTAAAAACTCCACAGGTGTTGCTATCCAACCTTCCACCATCAAAAGACAACTCAATGCTATGATTCTGAAAAAAACGAGTAGCTGTCAAGAACCCGTTACTGAGAAAAGGAAACAGACAAAAAGAAGAAAACTGGCAAATCAAACAAAGAAGCTGCTGGTGTTCTCAGAACAATTGATTGACCACCGGAGTCCAGACCTCAGCATCACTGAATGTTTTTAAGATTACTTGGATCATGACAGATCTAAGATTGAACTTTGGAGGTGTGGAAAAATATCCCTGCAGATTTCTTTGAAAAGCAAGTCCTGAGAAAAACACAAAAGCTGTAATAAAAGCAAAGAGTGGATACACTAAATACTGAAAATGTAATATTATGTTTAGTTATTGAGTGTTTTGTGTAAAACAGATCTTATATATTGAACTGTTGAGCCATTTCTGTAAATTTCAGTTCACAACGTTTCTGCCTTTTCTGACAATGAAAAATGAGTAACCTGTACTTAATGTTTGTTTCAAATGGAAATTAAATAAATAAAAGATTGTCTCTGACTTTTGCACGGTACTATAGATAATGAAGTAATCTGGATGTCTAATATGAGGTGACTACTGGACAGTAGAAGTGACACAGGTGACATATGGCTACTTACTCCTTCCCCGTTTGGCCCTGTGTTAGCCAGCATCTCCTGCAGGGCCCGCACTGAGAGCGACTGCTCCAGCACAAAGTTACAGATGCACAGGTCAGGAGGAACATACTGCAGAGAGAGAGAGAGAGAGAGAGAGAGAGAGAGAGAGAGAGATGGTCTTTAGTCTATTGTCATGAGATACAATCTCATAATATTTAAGTTATAGCATGAAATTACATTTAAATTAGTTTTAACAGGGCGTGACTTCTCAATACTTATAGAGATGATATCAAACGTATGATTCTAATGTAATATTAAAAATATAAACTTATTTCATCATTCTTTTATTGACTTATCACTTTCATCAGTCAAATCCTATATTTTTTCATTCTCTTTGATTGGTTTGTTCAAAAGAGAAAGTGCTGAGGTTTAGCATGTAATGTTTGGCAAGGTGTCTATAAGCCACTTTTTCTTTGCCCAAAGTAATTAGAAACATTACATTTCTGTAATCATCTACAGAGTCCTCTAATTTCATTGTCTTGCATAACAATTCTATTCACAAGTTGTTAGGGGTCTAACCTATAAATTCTTTTTTAAAAAAATATCCAGAGAGATTAAGTCATTCACTGTTAAGATCAGTAAATCATCCAGTCCCAGTCATTTGGGCCTGGGCTAATTCCAGGAGTAGTGTGACCTTGACTATGAAATGGACCTGCTGACCTCTGACCTCTCAATGTCTTGGTTTGAAATATGAGTAGGAAGGGGTGCTAATAAGGCTAAATGAGATTGCTCAAGCAAAATTTTGGTTTGGTGAGTAACCTGAGAGAAACAGCAGTAAAGGAGGATTTGCAAGAGTAAGGAATTTGTCTTAGCAGAGCCAGAGGCATATTCTTTACTCTGCCCATTCCTTTCTAATGGCCAATGCTAGGTAATGTCACTAGATGCTTGAATTATGAAACAGCGTTAGGAAACTGTCAAAGCTGGTAGAGTCATTTTTGAGCTACACAAAAAATTGAAAACCCTGCTCAAATGACCTTTTAAAGTTACAGTAACACATGATCTATAGCTTAAATATTGCATTTTTCTGTAAATTTGAGTTTTCTGTAAATTTGAGTGTATATATAAAATAATATAATACGTAATATAAAATTAATAGCGCATAATATATTGTGACGTGTACCTGTTTTTACCGTAACGTCACTGAAAAGAGAAAGATTAAATGGCCTGGAGCACTCTAACATGAAAAAGTCTTAATTGGCATTTTTATCGTCTTCTTCACTGACAGAAACCAAGTAGATTTACTGCAAGTCTCGATGAGATCCCTGTCACACACGCAGTAAGTGAATCAGTCTTCTCCCGGAGGCTTAATTTACTGATATATATCGAGATGAAAACCAATGAAAAAGATAGCATAAAGGTATGGTGACACACAGAAAATCCATCTAACTAATAATGTGCACACCAAATAAAAACAACTAGATCAGCATACTCACTACAGCCTTTAATCTGCCAGGTCTCAAGCTCTCTTTTTAAGGTTTTGAGCCTTTTTTTTTGCAGTTCTGACTGTCTAAACATGTAGGCCAGGTTTAAAATATTCTGCGTAGAGGCAGATATCTGAACAGATAGTAAAAACATCTTTTTACATGCATCTGTTTTATACCACACTGTATTCATACGCAACAATGCAAATGCCCTCATATCTTCTTCTCTGTCATTCCTACATGCATGGAAAACAAAGTTCAGAGGGTTCAGGCCTTCTGCTGTTGCCATGGTTCTCCATTACATAGATTTCTTCCCATTAATGTGATGTATTTCTGGAGGAAACTACCAAAGGTATCAACTTCCCTTTGGACTTTAACTAAACCTGTTACGAGTCCAAATTTATTACACTTTTATGACCATTTTATATATAACATATTTGTATATAACAGAGTTAGCAAATGTTATATTTGCTAGTGGTCAAAAAGTCAAAACTTTTGGATCCGCAGTCATACCTTAGCTTCTGAAGTGGGCTCTAGGTAGCAAAGTCGATTTCCAAGTCCCTCTGCAGAGAGGCAAAACTTACGGTTCTCCTTCTGAATGGTAGCAACACACTGGAGCACCACTTCATCATCCTGAAAGCAAATGCCACACAAAGTTAGAAGAGGTCTCTAAACAGCAGGAGAAAATGGCCAGTATAATCTATCTGGAAAAACAAAAGCTAAAAATGTATTTTACAACCTTGGTAACTTAACCCTTCTACAAGAATACTGGAAGCACTTTCTCTGCAATATCTATATATTAATTTATATTTAACCTCAGCAATATATTTAACAAAAGCAAATAAAACCTTTAGAAATCAAATGTTAGTACTATTGTTTTGCCACACTGTTCAAATATAATCATATAATAACATTTAAAGGGCCCATATCGTGGTTGCTTTTTTAGAACAAAAGAGATTTATGTAGTATGTTAACATTCTCAGAATTTCAAAACAGTTCAATAGGGGTCATCTTCCAGTCCATATATGGAAACTAAACTGCAGAAATAGCCGATTTTAAAGTTACTGTTTTTGTGACGTAAATCATCAAGTAAATCATCACATTTACTTATACTCTCCTATTCAGCCTGCAACAGTTCAGCGCTTTCCAGTGTGAATGGCCAGCACTAAACTGTTGCAGACTGTATGTTTACTATCCGGTGTCGACCACAGGAGGATGGGTTCCCCTTCTGAGTCTTGGTTCCTCTCTAGGTTTCTTCCTGTTTCTCTTAGGGACTTTTTCCTTGCCACTGGCTTGCTCATGGGGGCTTGGACCCGGATTTCTTTCTGTAATGCTGATTTCTTTGTAAAGCTGCTTTGTGACAACTGCTGTTGTAAAAAGCGCTATATAAATAAACTTTGCTTGCTTGCTTGTATAGGTGAGTATATGTAAATGTGATGATTTACTTGACATCACAAAAACAGTAAATTTCAGCCCAGAATGCTTTTGAATGAGGTACAATACAGGACAGCCAAACGGACAATAGAGATAATTTACATATATGGGTCTTAAACACACAGTAACAAAAACAGTCTGTTTAATTTCTAAGGATAAAGAGAGGTTGCAAAACAGTCATGTACAAATGAATTATGACTTTTGGATTATTCATCATCATCATCATCATCATCATCGTTAACCGCTTAGTCCAGATAGGGTCGCGGTAGCAGTTGGGAGAGCAGAGAATCCCAGGTGACCCTGTCCCCCGCAACTTCCTCCAGCTCATTCCCGGGGACCCCAAGCCGCTCCCAGGCCAACTTGGAGATATAATCCCTCCAGCGGGTCCTAGGACGACCCCGGGGTCTTATTCCGGTAGGCCGTGCCTGGTACACCCCCACCGGGAGGCGTCCCGGGGGCATCCGGATCAGATGCCCGAACCACCTCAGCTGGCTCCTCTCAATGCGGAGGAGTAGCGGCTCTACTCCGAGCTCCTCCCGGATGGCCGAGCTCCTCACCCTATCAAATAGAGTGTAGCCCGCCACCCTGCGAAGAAAGCTCATTTCTGCCGCTTGTATTCGCGATCTCATTCTTTCGGTCATTACCCACAGCTCATGACCATAGGTGAGGGTCGGGATGTAGACCGATCGGTAAACACTACACTACAGTCCGGTACAGCGACCGCATTACTGCTGCCGCTTGTCCCAGCCTGCGGTCGATCTCACGATCCCTCTTCCCATCACTCGTGAACAAGACCCCGAGATACTTAAACTCCTCCACCTGGGGCAAGTCCTTTCCCCCTACCTGGAGTGGGCATACCATCCTTTTCCGGGCTAAGACCATGGACTCAGACTTGGAGGTGCTGATCCGCATACCAACCGCTTCACACTCCGCTCCAGTGTGCGCTGGAGGCATCCATGTGATCCAGCCAAAAGAACAACATCATCTGCAAATAGCAAAGACACCACCCTCTGGCCTCCACACATAATGCCCTCCTGACCCCGGCTACGCCTTGACACCCTGTCCATGAATATCACAAACAGGAGTGGAGACAGGGCACAACCCTGGCGGAGTCCAACGCTAACACTGAAAGAGTCCGACTTAATGCCGAGTATACGAACACAGCTCTCACTCCGGGCGTACAGAGATTGAATGGCCCGGAGTAGTAACCCCGGCACCCCATACTCCCGGAGGACCTCCCACAAGATATCTCGGGGAACACGGTCGTAAGCCTTCTCCAAATCCACAAAACACATGTAGACTGGGTTAGCAAACTCCCATGCCCCCTCAACAATCCGTGAGAGGGTTGAAAAGCTGGTCCATTGTTCCACGGCCAGGACGGAATCCGCATTGTTCCTCCTCAATCTGAGGTTCAACTATCGGTCGAAGTCTCCTTTCCAGCACCTTGGCATAGACTTTCCCAGGAAGGCTGAGCAGTGTGATACCCCGATAGTTGGCACACACCCTCCGGTCCCCTTTCTTGAAAATAGGGACCACCACCCCGGTCTGCCAGTCCAAGGGTACTGTTCCCGAGGTCCATGCACTATTGCAGAGGCGTGTCAGCCACGACAGCCCCACAATATCCAGAGCCTTAAGCATCTCCGGACAAATCTCATCCACCCCCGGTGCCTTGCCACTGAAGAGCTTGCCAACTACCTCAGTGACCTCCACCAGGGAAATGGAGCTGGACACGCCAGAGGCCTCTGGCCCTGACTCCCGTGAGGGAGGCATGTCACCCGGATTAAGGAGTTCCTCAAAGTGCTCTTTCCACCGACTGACAATATCCTCATTTGAAGTCAGAGTTTCTCCACCCCTGCTGAATACAGCCTGGGCACAGTCACCCCGACCACTCCTGAGTCGCCGGACAGTTGTCCAGAACCTCCTTGAGGCCGACCGAAAGTCTTTTTCCATGGCCTCACCAAACTCCTCCCACGCCCTGGATTTTGCTTCTGCCACCGTTGCAGCTGCCACCTTTTTTGCATGTCGGTACCTATCTGCTGAATCGGGAGTCCTTCGGGCCATCCAGTCCCTAAAGGCCTCTTTCTTCAGCTTGACGGCCTCCCTCACCACCGGTGTCCACCAGGGGGTTCTTGGGTTACCGCCAGGACAGGCACCAACAAGCTTTTGGCCACAGCTGCGCCTGGCAGCTTCCACAATGGAGGTTTTGAACAGGGTCCATTCAGACTCTATGTCCCCTACCTCCTCCGGGACATGAGAAAAGCTCTCCCGGAGGTGGGAGTTAAAATCATTCCGAACAGGGGCCTCCGACAGTCATTCCCAGCACACCCTCACTATTCGCTTGGGCCTACCGGGTCTAACCCTCAGTCTTCCCTGCCATCTGATCCAACTCACCACCAGATGGTGATCAGTTGACAGCTCAGCACCTCTCTTCACCCGAGTGTCCAGAACATATGGTCCCAAGTCAGATGAAACGACAACAAAGTCGATCATTGACCTTTGACCCAAGGAGCTCTGGTATCATGTACACTTATGAACATCCTTGTGTTCGAACTTGGTGTTCGTTATGGACAATCCATGCCTGGCACAGAAGTCCAATAACAATTCACCATTCGGGTTTAGATCGGGCAGGCCGTTCTTCCCAATCACGCCTCTCCAGGTCTCCCAGTCATTGCCAACATGAGCATTGAAGTCTCCCAGTAAGACTATGGAGTCTGTAGTCGGGACCCTTTCCAGAACCCCGCCCACTTGCTCCAAGAAGGCCGAATACTCCGACCTGTTGTTTGGTGCATAAGCACACACAACAGTCAGAGTTTTCCTCTCTGCGATTTTAATACGCATTGAGGCGACCCTCTCGTCCACCGGGACAAACTCCAACTGTACTGCCGCCAGCCGGGGACTCGTGAGTATCCCCACACCCGCCCGGCGCCTCTCACCTTGTGCAACCCCGGAGTAGGAGAGGGACCGACCCCTATCCAGGAGTTTGGTTCCAGAGCCGATACTATGGGTGGAGGTGAGCCCAACTATATCTAGTTGGTATCTCTCAACCTCCCGCACAAGCTCCGGCTCCTTCCCCCCCAGTGAGGTTACATTCCACGTACCAAGAGCCAGTTTCTGCCGCAGGGGCCTAGGCCACCAAGGGCCCCCCTGCAATCTCCCACTGCCTGTACGGCACTGCACCACTCCCCCATGCTGGACCTTGTGGGTGGTGGGCCCACATGGTCCCCCCACGTTGTCTCTTCGGGCTGAGGTTTTTGGATCGAGTTAGTCTGGGTCTTCACTCCAGACCTGTTTGCCCTGGGAGACCCTACCAGGAGCACGTTGCTCCCGATGACTTAGCTCTGAAGATCCCTAGACCACACAAGCCCTTCCGCCACGACAAGGCCCCGATCCAGGAAGGGTGTTACAAATTTATTGCTGGAATCCATTTTATGTCATTAAAGGGCCCATATCTTACATTTTGTTTAGTTTAGCTGTTTAGCTTTTTAGCATTTCCCCTGAGCTCCATTTATAACTTTTGTGGGGTTTTATATATTTTCCCCTGAGCTCCAGTTACAGAATTTCACCACCTGTTTAAATGAGGTATGAGTGAGAATTAATGAATATTGAATTACGCTATGTTCTTGTTGTCACCAGTGAAAACAGAAAAATCATGCAATAAAGAAATTCTGAATCAATCTCATGAAATGTACTCCTGATCTCATGAAATGTACTCCTGGAAAAACAGGATATTGCACATTCTCAGGTTGCCGCAGCCCATCAGACATGGGGGGGGTGCAGTAAATTGTGAATAATATGGGTACAACATTGCTGAAAAATGCCTTCTGAAACTTCCCAGGACTTGGAAGGAGGGCAGAAGCACTGGTGTGATCTGACCGTACAATGGCTCCATCTCTCTGTTCCTCTGGCACTCTCTTTCTCAAGAGGATTTATTGATTTGTGTCTCATTTGCTTTTTCCTGACTGGCCTCGCTCTCTGCTGCCAGCTCGCAGAGCACATTAATCTGAGCTGATGGTTGCCATGGCTCTGACTCACGCTATCAGAGCAATATCCATTCGTCAAACACAGTCACGGAAGTTCATCACTCAAACCTCTTCCCCTGAGTTAGATGCATCTTGGACATTAATATGATACGAGAACAAGAAAGAAGGACCAAAATGTGTTTGGCAATGAGACCCTTCTACAACTGATGTTAAAAGAGT